ATGGTTTAGAATAAACTATTCTTGAAACTGAGAATGATTATGTTTTGATGGAAGCTGTGTAAATCGAACCGAAACTGTGCATGGAACCTTGCGTGTATTTCCTGTATTTATCTCACCTACTGTATGGAATACGTGTGAACATCTTCATTATGAATCGGTACATTTCAAAGAGCTACACAAGGAGCAAGAATACTATATACAGAGCGGCAGCTGTAGTGTCAATTATTACTAGTTACACAGAGGATATTATATGGCCGCACGGAGACACGAAATCTCTCTTCGCGTGTTGAAAAACAGGGCGAAAGGAGCTGATGGGGTTAGGACTGGAACTAGTTCGCCTTTTCCGCTCTCTGCTGTCAGGGGAAGGAAATGGCGCCGTCTAGGTGGAGGTAGGTTCGGATTTATTGCTTTACATCTCTAGATCGCTGCAATCTATAATCAAATTTTAATAGTTGGCGTATTTCTATGCGATACACAGAAAATCTTTAGGGTTATTTCATAGTTAGTCGTATAAGGTAATGTGTGTTTTCGCCTTCTATGTTTATGGTGTCAAAATGGCCCGTCGAACATTACAGGTTTATGGTGGCGTTTTATCTTGCCAGTCAAAACCAAATGATAATAAACGGCTACAAAACAAAAAATATATGTAATGGTTTTATAAATTTCGTTTGTGCATGCAAATTTTTAGAGTGAACTTTAATGAACCTTCAAGGTTTTTTAACTTCTGAAGTGACGACTTCATAATGGCGGTAGTAAGGTTTCAGCTTAAGTTTTTTTTGTGTAGGTTGGCGTTTATCTTGTTAGTAAAATAAAAGATTTCGGTTGCCTAATTTGGCGATTTTGCATTTTCAATATACACTAAGAGGGTAAATATTTTTTTTTAGTGACAGAACCGTGACCCAAGAAGGTTTTGACTATTTTTGATGGTGTACTAGAAAATTGCATTTGAATGATCTCGTGTGACAGGCTAAACATAAACAACAGCAAATTCTCCCCCACTGCGGTATAAATCTAAAGGTTGTATTGCACAGAAATAGAATAAAGGCTATGGAGAAATTTGCTTTCAAATCCCATCAAAGATTCCACTGTAAATTAAATCATACGGTATGTTTGTTATTATGATTTTTTGCAAGGCAACAGTGAGGCCCGGCCTGAAAAGATTACTAGAAAACACATTGAAAGATAAACGAGTGCATAATATGAAGAAGAACATGAAGAGGTCTTAATTTGATAGCAAGTAGAATAAATTAAGACTGAGTAGCATTGTATTTTTGTCTTCATAGGCTTACAATTAAGTGTGGTGTTGCACAAACTACAGTCAATTCTCTCAGATGGACACCATTGGGACTGGAACAAAATGTTTGTATTAATTGACAGGTGTAACTCTTATAGAGAGTAAAAAAAATGACTGAAGAATAGTTGGGACCAACCGGATTTCCTGGAGGTGCCTTATCTTTTGATTGTACTACTAGATACATTTATTTCACTTTTGGTTACAATATTTCTTTGAATATTTCCTCTCTCAGTCTTAATATTATATAAGGGGCTGGTTGCTAATTACCTGTGAGGGGGTTGGGCAGCCATTTTGCGAAAGCTTAGAAGATTTTCAAACTGACCCCCCACTTCATCTTAATTTTTCGAAACTGGCCCCCATAAATTTGACATATTGTGAAAGTGACCCACCATCCAAATATTTTACCTAGAAATTGAGCCGAAGTTCACCACATGCTTAATATTTACAGTAGTATTAAAAGATCAGTGTTTTATATTATTCACGTCTGTTACCACAAACCATTGCACGAACAATCCTTTTGTACCATCGTTTTGTATTGTCAGAAGAACTACTGATTATTGTTTTGCATGCTTAACTTAGTACTATTAATATGTATTTACTCTTACTTGACAAGTTGTATTTTTTGCGGCTTTGATCTGAACAGACTAGAGAGATAAATCACCATTGGTTCCAAAAATTATGCAAACCAATGTCTAGCCTCCCACGCAGACGTTCATGCCCCATGCCCCGTTTGTGGGGTAGGAATGATTGCATGACAAACGCCTCAGAACATCTGCGTGGTAGGCTAACCAATGTCCTGCTTGAGTGTTCCAGTTCGCATGTGACAGAATTTGTGGTACACAACCAGGGAAGTAACAGCTGGATCTCACAGGCTAGTCTTTCGCTGTAGTTTCAGCTTTCCGAAAAATTAATATTACAGTGAAACCTGTATTAAGCGGACACCCTCGGGCAATGCTGTAGTGTCCGCTTAATACAGGGTGTCCATCTAATACAGGTTTTGATAGATAATGTCATGTGAGGTGTCAAATGCCATTCAAATGAACAGTGGAAATGTTTAGAATACTCCCAGAGACTATGATGATGTGCATTTGCATTAATTTCTTTTTTTCTTTTAAAGTGGACCAGTTGATCACTTACCAAAACATAGATTGCAACTCAAATTTGAAGAAATCAGATGAGTGAAACAAGCTCTATACAAAAAACAATACTGTACTGTGAAACTAATCAAATAAGTTCGTAAAGTCATGATTTTTAATGGAAAAATCGAAAAATTTGTGGATGGCAATCTTTCGCATTTCCGGTGACTGGCAAGTTGGGTGGTGGAATTTAATTGCAAGTGTCTGTTTAATATAGGTTGCTAACAATAGAAATGGCCATTTCAGGTACTTTTTAGGTGTCTGTGTGTCCGCTTAATTGAGGTGTCTGCTTAATAACGGTTTCATTTAGAGTAAATATTAAAGGAAAATAAATTTGGGGACTTTGGCTACTGTCTACTTAATACGGTGTCCGCTTAATACAGGTTTCACTGTATACCTTACATTGATTTCTTCACTGATATAACAGGTAAATGTATCTTTATACCACTTCCCAAAAATGACCCCTCAGCAAAATGGCTGGCCCCCCTGACAGGTAGTAAACGACTAGCCCCTAAAGTAGTTACAAGGAGGAAAGTATTTTTTGAATCAAGTTTGATTAAGCCTCGCTTAAGTTAATGAATTTAACCAAGAATAAAATTGAATCATGCTGGACATGAATTATTCAAGTGTGCTAGGGTTACTGGTCACACTAACAAGTTTGTTTTCAATGGTTTAATAAGAGTGATCAGCATCAAATTTCTCCTTGTAATATCAATGCTTTGTAAGACAGAGTGGTCATGAGAATTACAGACCTGATCACACATGATGAATTTGCTGGATATTTTATCAACTTCTCACCACTACTTCTGTAGGAAGTGAATAGGGACAAAAAATGAGAATTCAAATTTTGATCAGGGGCACCCAACAAGAATATAGTTCAAAACCACTTATTTTAGGATTTAAACGATAGATATAGGCATATTTTTATCCCCTAAAAAGTTTTCTTCTGTTCGGATTTCCTAGCTGAAAGTCTAGTGATCCAAAACTTATAGGGATCAAAACTTACCTTTTCGAAAATTTCAGCCAGAAAAAAGGCTCCCGAAAATCCTAGGTGAATTTTTTAGCGTAAAAATCCGTTAAAAATGGGCAATAATACCATTTTTTAGATCTTCGAAAATCCTAGGAGAGGCAGGCAAGCAAGAAATTTTACAACAAACGTTCCGAAAATTCTAGATCCCAAATCGTCTTCCGAACAGATATTTTCCAAAAATTGACTTTGGGTGCCCCTGTTTGATCTCAGGATTTAAAGGGTTAATAGCTCCTACAGTTCATTTCTATTTTATTTGTGCATAATTCTGTATTTCTTGTTTGCAGTATACTTTTGAATTTTTATGTTGTACATGTTTTATGTTGTATCAAGAGAGGATAAAGGTTTATCCTCTCTTGGTTGTATCTGCAGGTTTAATCTCCTAGGAATATTATGTCTGGTTTCAATGCAAGAATGTTTAGTGAATGTTTAGTTTCTTTTAAGTTCCTTAGTCTGTTTTGCGTGGGTAGTTTTCAGAGACCATTTCATTACAAAAAGCTGTTATTATCAAGCACAGATATATGCTTGGCTTGTTATTTGTGTTCTTGCAACCTCTTTGTTTAGTTTTTTAATGGCAGTGAATTTTTTTTCTCATACTTATTCTTCATTGCACAGTAGTACAACAACAAAGCTAACTATTAAAACCTATTTACAATTAATTTCGCTGAAGAAGAAAAAAAAATTCAGTCAAAGCACTATTTACAAGTCATGTCATTTCATAAGCAGCTGTTCATTTCGATTAAAACAACTCATTTCAATTAAAAAAAAACTCATTTCAATTAAAAACAATTCATTTCGATGTAAAATGAAATAAAAATATTAAAAAGATCCTAAAATACTAATAGCATTTAAGCGGCAGTCATCAATGAAATCCCCTTGTGGAATTTTGTGGAAGGGTGTCATGGAACCTCTTACACATGTGTGTACTGACCTTAAAAACAGTAGTACTAGTGTGCAAGAAAAAAGTGAAGACAATTTTATTATATTTTAAATTTTCCCTTTATTTAGTTTTCACAAACTGTCTAACTGTAATGCCTAATACTGGAGATAGCTCAATAAAAAAAAGGTGTTGAGTAGAAGAATACCAATGTACAGAATGTACACCAACAAATCCCACCCGGGCAACAAATCCAACTTTTATAGTGAAAACAGATCATCTGGCCTTGAAACTGGGCAGCAAAAAATAACGGCCATAGCTGAGGATGAATTACACAACTTGATATTAAACTGAAGCGGAGAACCGATAATATTAGTCTAAAAATAATGTCAGTGCTATCATCTGAGTTGTGATGCTATTTTCTTACCAAGTCAAGAAATCAGTTAGTCATGGAAGTGGAAAATATATTCAAATTATACAGATATTTGTTCGCGGGGGAAGAAAATTAAAACAGAAAACGATCGTGAGAAAAAGTAATTTGTTCCTTGCTTGTAGCAAATGAATGCCAGGGCATAATGGCTAACGTTTGCTGGATAATATCTCTGACGGTCACAGGCAGACCACTCTCTGTTACAGAGGATGGTCTGCCTGTGCATCAAAAGCAATCTAAACACTCTTTTCCTCTGCCCTTTGTACGATTGCAGGGTACATTCCCGCACTGTCTCTGCTTAAACAATACCTTCGCATTTCATCCTTATATGCATTGGATACAAGAACTGCAAACAAAGATTGATCGTAACGGTGGCATCCTCCAAACACATCATCGGGCAAATGAAAATTACACTCTAATTGAGATCCCTTAGGTGTGATACAGTCTTCAAGAAGCGAGCAGAAAACGACCCATTTCATTACATGCTTTAGCACGTGGTCTGTGTTAAATAAAATCATTCCGGTTGCTTGTTGCATTTTTGCGTTCGATTCTTTCGTTCCCCGCATTGGTAAATAGTCGAGCATGCGTTCATGAGTAGCAAACACAATAGAATGGCGACTTGGTGAAACGTAGTACAAAAACGCTGATTTCCGCTTGATCATCCACTCTAGAAGGTGGGCATATTTGTTGTGCTGTTTGAGGATTACTGAAGAATCCATCCACATAACAGCGCCAAATTGAGCAAGCGTCTCTGCGATGATAAGAGGTTTAAATGCATATGTACGTAGATTTTTCACGTGTTCGGGAAAGCGAGAAAAGTTGAATTTTCTGTAGTCGACATAAGACATCTTGGTGAGTTGGTCAATTTCCTCCTGATTCAGTCCTAGGTCATAAACGACTATTTTCTCGTGAGGCAGTATCTTGCCACCAGGAGTGATATGTTCAAGAAGTTCATTGAAGTGGTTGCTTGAAACAGCTGTGACAAGCACCAGCGTTGGTAGCCGCGAAACACACTCCATCTCAATAGGTCTTCTGTTGTACTCCAGTACAAGATCATCGATTAGCTGAATAGCAGTTTTCATCGCTCTTTCTCCGAGTCTGAATTCATTTTTAGCGACGATACGAGAGTCATGGGGATGCTTGTAGCGAAATGTGGACACCAAGTCACTTAAGCTTACATTCGCCACGTAGGGCTTTTTTGGACAAGATGTCGACGTTTTTCGAAAGAAAACACCTCCAGTTTCCTCAAGAGCGCCATCGCCAGCCATCTGCCAATAAACGAACACGGAGACAATTAGAACACTCACAAGAAGGAGGTGATGCCAATTTAGTTTTAGCATGGCCAACCCGGCGAATGCCATTTTACCGCCATAGACTGGTCATATGACTGGTAACGAGCATAGGGTGTGGTAATTTGAAGAAACTACCCCATTCACAAACAGCTGCAAACAGAGACAAAAAGCTATCGACGGAGAACAAAATATGATGCAATCACATACTCCAAGAAGTAAAATTCATGTTGACTGAAGGGGTCAAAAAGAACAATTGTGCTTACACCAAATCCCCTAAGGAGTAAAAGGTACGTAAAACATTGTTCTTCAAATCTCAACACCAGCCGTGATTTGAATTTGACCGAAAAAATGTTCCAGCAAAGACCGAGGAGCCTATTTTGGATTGATGGTGGGGCTAGCTCGCGCGTAGCACGACCTCAACGGAGTTTTTTTTTTTGCCATGTTTCTGCCTAACTGTGGTTGAATACTCGTCTCGCTACAGATTCAACTCATGGGTAACTAAACCTACAATCTTTTTGGGCAGGCTGGCTTCAGGAAAAGAAAGTGGTTTCTGTAATATTGAAGAACTCAGCTTCTTCGCTGCTGGTACCTGAGAAACGAAGAGGTTGAAATTTGCATTTTGGTAGATGATATGGTAATGTGCCCAGCATTGTTTTGCGAAAACAGTGTTCCATGCCACCTCAAACAAACAATAGTTTAGTATTGTTCTTGCTTGTTTTCATCTGTCAAAACACTTAATACTCAATTAATACTCAATATATAGTTGTTGTTTCTTTCTTACTAACTTTACTTTTTTTTTACTTTGCGGTTGCATTTGTAATTATATTGATTGTTTTGGTACTGAAATCTTCATGTCGAAGATAAAGTCAATAAAGTTGTCAGTATTGTAATTTGCCTTTTGTTTTCTTTGAATCGATTCGAACAATAATAAGTGTGTGCGTTTGACATTCTTGCAATTACTGAAACTCACGTGGATCGGAAAATTTCCAATCGTCAGCTCGAAATCGATAATTACAAGATTATCCGAAGGAACAGAGACGTTAACACGACTGGGGGTGGATGTTTATTCGACATCACCAATCATATATGCTCAACACGGTCAAGTTTCTTGAAATTGCTGGATATTGAGGCTATGTGACTTAGGATTCTGGTAAACTCGTCCGTTTTCATCGTATGAACTGTTTATAGACCACCTTCAGATTCTCTTTTCGTTGATCGATTTCAGGTTATATTTCGGAAACTCTGGATTAAACGCCGCAATGTGGTTATTTACACTGCGATAGTGCTCGTCTGACCGACGGTTCTATTTGCTCTACTTCTGGCCAAAAATTACAGGATTTGTTGTCTCAATTTGTCTACATGGTAATCAACGACAAGCCAACTAGGGTAACCAGTGATACGTAAGACTACGAGTAGTCCCCCATTTTTCCTCAGAGATAGTCAGGAGCGTGCTAAACGCGAGCGCGCGTGAAAATCACCCCACAGGGCGGATAAAGGTTGGGCGGTGAAACGAGCGCGTCCGAGCAAAAAGGTGTGATGCAGTGGACTGGGACTCTGCTTAGAAATGTCGCTTGTTTTCGACTTCGGTCAGGGCTTGCGATATGACGTGGTTTGTACATAAGACACTGCCGCTGTCACTGAATTATGGCGGCTTGAATTGTTTTCTTACACTTCTTCCTCGTTCCTTTGTGCTGGTACGCTGTCTCCGAGAGGAAAATATAAATGTTGCTATTTTTGCGGGACGTTTAGTTGGAGTAGACAAACATCTCTTTCAAAGGGTTTCTTTTATTACTTCCATGACTCTACCACTGAATTATATTCTCGTTCTGCTACTCGCCAATGTCGATGTTACTCCAAAACAAAAACAACTAAGTACTGTCTAAAACACGAAGGAAAATCTCATCCATGGCAAAGCTAAAAGACAGCAGATCGTGTTTCATAACTAGATGACGCGTATTTTATAAATGCGTGCAGCTCGTGCAAGGTGAAATTATGCTAATTTCAATCACCATCATGCTTCTTTTTAATTTTGAAAAAAACATCTCAGACGTTTTTCTGTTTCTTCAAAACTTCAAAATTAGTTTCCCCTCAGTTTTTTCTGTTTACCTTGTTTTGCTTTAGAGAGAAAAACGTAGAAAAAACCTTACAACTAACCTCAATAAATTTTGTTTACATGCGGTTGCCCGATTTGCAACGCATTGCGCGAATCGCCATGGCGCGTTGCACCCGAGAAGCAAAGTTTAAAGAAGTACAACGCCACTATATCAATATATATCAATCTAATTTTTTGCTATGTTATATAAAATTTATCCTCCTTTAACATATGTAAAAATTGAGGTTAAGAAGTGTTAAGCTTTTGCAAACGAAACGGCGAAAGACGATTAGGTAATATTTAGTGGAGGGAAGAGGTATTCAACACTTTCAAATTAAACTCAAATTTTGGCATTATACGACCAACAAGTTTGACTTATAGACGTACAGACACAAACATATGAAACTGTTTATTGATATTGTTATGAAACGAATTTATCTATTTAACACTGTAACCTGAAATTACAGAAAGAAAATAGGATTTCCGGTTTGCAAAAAGGAAAATTTCGCCGGCCTTGAAGCGCACCGGAAGCGCGGAAAGAGCGCTCGTGCCAGTCCTACTCCGCATCACACATTAAATGAAGAGCGGAGCGCTCGTTTCACCGCCCAACCTTTATCCGCCCTGTCACCCCACGCGTAGGGTGATTTTCACGCCCGCTCGCGTTTAGCACGCTCTATACTATCTCTGAGGAAAAATGGGGGACTACTCGTAGCCTAGTGATACGTCTACTTTGATTGACCTGGTAATATGTAGCAAGCGTAACCTGATAAAAAACACGAGGACATTGAGCTTGCAATCTCCCAAGAGGATGTAATTTGCAGGTTTCAGGTCAGAATTTGAAGAACGCGCGAACGGTCAACGCTAAACTGAGTTTGCGAAAAAAAAAAAGAAAAAGTCTTTATAGCGTCATGGAAAACCGGAAATATCGAGGGCCGGTCGGATGTGATTCGTCGCATTATCGCCTATAACATCAATATTTTGTTTTCTTTTTGTCGGAGGGTGTAATTTGCAGGTTGCAGATCGTAGGTCGTAGGTCACAGGTTGCAGGTTACAGGCCAGAATTTGAAGTACACGAGAACGGTCAACGCTTAACTGATTTTGAGAAGAAAACCGACTGTTTTGCAGTGTGAAGTCCTAACGTCTTCATGGCGCCAGGCAAAACCGGAAATATCTTTAGTCTCAGGAAACTGCTTGTTTGGAGTTGGACTTTGTCGAAAATTCTCCGCTTCACACTAAACAAAAAAGCAACGAAAGGTAAGACAACCGGATGTGGAAATTTCCGGTGGTTAATGATCTACCTTCCACGTGTCGGCTATCCACGGCGTGGATCCAACATGGATTTACTAGGAAGGTACGTTAACTGCTCTCTTTTTGCTATTAAACTAATATGAAATTTATTTTGTGTATAATCGAGATCAACATATAAATTACGTCACCATGGCTGTATAATTTCTTACATAGGTACAACACAGTACAACAGTAGCGCTTCATGTAGATAGCGAATCTCTGCTTAATAGAGCTCGCACATTCGCACATTTTCAATAGTGCTACCCGTAATAAAGATGCTATGCCCATTCGATACTCTGACCTCCAATTTTCGATGTGTTGTGATGATCAGCTTCACAGGAGGGGGACATGGGGGTTTACGGTATTGCGGTATTGGGCTTTTTTTCATGCGGTATTTCGGTAATTTTAATTTTAACGTGCGGTATTGCGGTATCATCTAGCTCTGCGGTATGCGGTTTTTCATCATTTTGGCTGACGGTATTCGGTGAAATAAGATCGTTCACGGTATTATGGTACCGTTTATTTGCGCTTTCCTTTCGATACAATACGTAAAACAAAACACAGTAAGACATAAAGGTCAATAAAAGTTAATATTTAGAAGTCTTGAGACATAACGGTAAATGATTACACCATTTGTGGGTCATTTTGTGACAGTTAATGGTCGATAATATACAATGTGATTGTTGTTGCATCCAATGATAATGAGTCGTCTCAAGTTACCTTACCAGGCTTGTCGATCTGTGTACCTGTGCCGGTAATTCGAGGTCTTAAACGTTTTCTCACAATGTCTGAGGTCGCTGAGGTTGAAGACGGCGTGGTCATCATTGACTGTGTGGCAATTTTTTATGAACAGGGCGAAGGAGGCGAACATTATCGCAACAAGAATAAGTTTAGATGTTGGGTTTCGAGAATTGAAAAACGCCTTGCAAAGTTAAAAGAGAAAATTTGGTAAGTTTGCCTCTTAACAGCGCGGCGTCATCCTCGGAGACCCAGGGGCAGATAAAGGGGGCGAGGGAAAGTCTAAACGGGCGGGAAAATATATATGGAACGAAGAAAAGTAAAGAACGGCGAGAAGAGCCCCTGGGGACAATGTCTTACCAGACCAGTTCCAAACGGTCGCCGCCGGTCTGGCTTCTGATTGGTGCCAGAAAACTTGTGTTTTTCTGGCACCAATCAGAAGCCAGAAAGCCAGAACGAGAGACTGACGTGCTAGGCTAGACTCACTTTATATCAAAACTCGCACTAGACGTGCGTGGAAAGGGTTTTGGTTGGTTTGTTTTTCGCGCTTTCAAGAGTTATTTTTATTGGAGTTAATTAGCTGTTGGGTCGAAATACCAAAAGACTGAACGAATGTAGTTTACCTTTCAGTGAAAATTTGCGGAAAATTGCGAACTACCAAAATATTAAAAAAAAAACATGGACATCTGGTGCATAAATGCCTGAGATAATTAAACGCGCTACATGGAAGCAACCATAAGTATGCGGAACCGATTATAAATGTGATTAAAATATGCGGTATCGGTATTTAGACGATTTTCGACGCGGTATTTCGGTATTTGCCATTTTTTCTTACGGTATTGCGGTATTGGGTACCCCCCAATGTCCCCCTCTCACAGGTGCGATTTGAATACATTGTTTGCAGACATTTTTAAAATGGCTCAGCTCAGTGAAGACACACGAATGGCCTGAGTTTAAAGCGAATAATATTCGAAGTCAGAGTTATAACAGGGGCACCCAACGAGAATATAGTTCAAAACCACTTAAACATAGCATTGTTAAACGTATTTTAGGATTTAAACGATAGATAAAGGCATATTTTTATCCCCTAAAAAGTTTTCATCTGTTCGGATTTCCTAGCTGAAAGTCTAGTGATCCGAAACTTATAGGGATCAAAACTTACCTTTTCGAAAATTTCAGCCAGAAAAAAGGCTCCCAAAAATTCTAGGTGACCTTTTTGGGGTAAAAATCTGTTGAAAATGGGCAATAATACCATTTTTCAGATCTTCGAAAATCCTAGGAGAGGCAGGCAAGCAAGAAATTGTACAACAAATGTTCCGAAAATTCTAGATCCCAAATCGTCTTCCGAACAGATATTTTCCAAAAACTGACGTTGGGTGCCCCTGGTTATAATTCAGTTCAAGGTCGGACGCTGTGCAATGTATGCTAGGATAATTCGCTTCTCGTTGGAATCTACGCCGTTGTTGGAAAACATGAAGAGTTTAGTGGAGAATTTCAACGCTGTTTTAAAGCGTAAAACAACCAAAAGAAAGCAAAATATTGATGTTATTGCCGATATTGCAACGAATCACATCCGACCGTCCCCCAATATTTCCACTATTTCCGGTTTTGCCTGACGCTGTAAAGACTTTACACATGCTTTACACGTTCGACTGCAAAACAGTCAGTTTTTTCGCAAAATCAGTTTAGCGTTGACCGTTCGCGCGTTCTTCTCCGGCCCCCTCCTAAGATAATCATAGCCTGTACACAGAAGTTGTCTTATTTTTCTGCACGTCATGCCATCTTCAAACATGCATGCCATCTTCAAAAAATGAGTCAGGTCACTTGCCTCGAACTACAGACCCATGTCCCTCACTTCTGTTTCCTGTAACAGCATGGAACATATCTAGTCACATTATGTCCCACCTTGAAGAAGTTCAAGATCTTGTCCGATATCCAGCATGGCTTCCGCAAATCTAATTCGTGCGAAACTGAACTGCTCATCACCCTCGAAGATCTTGCTAGAAACCTTGATCATGACAAGAAAAGCGATATCATCTAGCTAGACTTTGCTAAAGCTTTTAATAGTGTCCCACACCAACGCCTCTTACTCAAGCAAAGCCACTACGGCGTACAAGGCACATCAACTTCAAGCTTGGCTTTGCTATAGGGAACAATCCGTCTTAGTGGAAGGAGAAAAATCTGCACCTTTATCAGTTATGTCTGACGTCCCGCGGGGCACTATGCTTGGCCCCTTAATGTTCCTCATCGACATTAACGATAAAGGTGTAAATATAAAATCTCACAGTCGGCTTTTTGCCCACGACACGCTCTTACACGCAACCGTGAGCACAGGATACCCACACAATCTGTGTATGTAACCGATGTTATTTTACAATAAATGTAGTGGATTTACCGTTTGCCTCACCCATAGCGATATATCGCTTAGTATGTATATAAATCAATGTTAAATAAACGTTGAATTACCTTATTTGTGGTATATTGTCGTCCTTTTGCCTCAAAAGCGGTTTTTCGAGCGATTAAAGGGATTTTGAGTTCGCCGTTTACTGTTCGTAATAATAGAAGGACAATCCTTGTTTTGAAAGGGCTCCAGCGCCGGAGCGATTTTCCCCCAGAAAATCGCATCGCTCCGCTTTCAAACTTCGCAGCAAAAAGGTCGAAAGATTCAAACTTCTTCTCGTACCCTCCGATCGAAAATCCATCCAAAAGGCCCGGAGCTAGCCCTCGAAGAAAATTAAAATGGTCAAAATGTAGCCTGAGTATCAGGCGTTTCTGGGGGAAAAGGGGAAATATGGAAGCAAAAAAGGGAGAGAGCTGAGGGACAGAAACTCGGCCAGACCGTAAGGTGAGATTTATTTTAGGCGAGCTTTTGGAGACGTGAAGATGACAACGCAATGACCGGAAGTGATTTTGATTGGATGGTATCGAATCATGCCTTGTGGGGGTGAAAGGCTCCAGTAAAAGCATCTGTGTCAGGCATTTCTCTCCTTCAGCTCTCTCCCTTTTTCGCTTCCATCTTTTCCCTTTTTCCCCCAGAAAAGCCTGATACTCAGGCTAATCCTGCTACTGCAGTCATTCCTTTCGTGGAAACAACTAGATCAAAATGTAACCGAACTCCGTTGCTGACAAGATCTCGACAAGAGAGTATGAAAGGTCATTTCATACACTCTTGATCTCGATTATATTCTCATCGGAGCGGAGGGCAAACTGTAACCATAAATAGGTCTTTCCTTGACTCGGACTATCGCTTACCGAACATGAAACGTGTATGTACCTTTCAGAAGGAAGAAATACTGTTCTGGTCAAGTGACAAATTCCAGGATGCCAAAGCCATAAAGACTGGCCAAGAGAGAGTGAGCTTGCACCCAATGCTTCATCTAGAAAAGGAAAGGAGCGCAAAGAACACTACCCTCCCAGCCCCACCTCCGGATTCCGTAGCAATGATATGGAAACCAGAACCTCATCTCCCCGCAGTTATTCTTTGTCTCGTCACACAACGAGGGGAGAAGCGTTGCGTGGAAGTTGAAAGTTAATTTGCAAGTTGACCGCATGCTGCGAAGGAGACAATCGCGTTCCCAGTAGGAGAGGACCCTGGGAACGAGACTAAATTGTACCCAGCTTCAAATTTCAAGAAAAAGATCAAATTTGACTAAACATACGAAAGTATTGGTTGAAAGGTTGCTTTTCAATAGACCCACGATAGGATTTAATTCAGACACTAGAAGTTAGGTTTGGGAAAGCACTCCTCTCATTGTCCCACAAGCTACGAAGGCTAGCAAAGCTTGACAGAAAAAGAAATAGCTTCCATAAAACGTTGTTATTTCTTTTCTAAAATCTGATTTTCATATTACAAATGTGATTAAGTACAAGCACCCGTTACACTGAACGTCGGTACCTCAAACAAACGAGCAGCCATTCTCCTCTAAGTGGTACTTTTTATAGGCTCTAGAATTATTCCATTTTTTTCTTTTAAAATTTTTACAGAACACTGAATTCTTGGCAAATGAATGCTGAATGAGCTCTTTAGACGCCTTAATGTCGCCGTTAAGTGGTAAAGTTCTTGTTCTATCGGACAAAACAAGGGCTCCACAGATTCCACAGTTGAGAAGGCCAAGTCGCATATTCGTTCGGTCTGGTAAACGGCCTTTAACGTTAAATAAAAAAATAAATTAGCATTTTTTCACTCCGACTCCAAGCGGTCGCGTTCTCGTACTCGATAACGCTTTTTAATCCTGAAATTCTTGGGTCAGAGCCGGACAAATGCCACTGCGACCAGGCCGTTTTCGTTTTACGCAATCCCATAGGGAACTGGGGCCGTCGCTACTGCGGTGAACTTTCATTAGCTTGGGACTAATACACTTGGTGCTCAGTCGGACTCTTCGTTTAGTAGCTTGCTTGTTTCACCGGGCTCCGTGTCATTTTCGACTGTTGTATCACTGTTATCCAGAGGCGGAATCTGCCCAGTGACTGGCGGAGACTGATCACGTGATTCCCGACGAGGGCTTGACTGCTGTGCATTAGCCGGGGTAACCTCCTCATCTCCAGAGTTTCCATTCTCCCCCTCTACATCCCCCTCAGGTTCTTCTGGATCCTGAAAGAATGGAAGAATTGGTAGAAGGCTTGGTGCGCACATTACGTTTTTCTGCATTTGTACATACACATCCAGACCTTTTATCTTTGAAAATTAATTCCTGTACCCTCACAACAGTAAACCTCTGTGTTTTGATGATATTATATTAATATATTATATTGAGAAGAGCCTGCGAGCAAGCTCTCTTGGGGCTCGCGGTCTCTATGAAGAAGAGAAATAAGCTTATCAAATTTGGGGCTAAAAACGTGTCAACAAAGAAGGGCGGACCGGGGGTCCAAACCTCCCACCTCCCGACTGTTACATTTCCAGCTCCCGCGCCTTTTTTCTTGGCTTCCTTCCCTTAGCCCTTTTCCTGCTTCAAAATATTACGCATCGTTGCTTAATATCCCCCTTTTCCTCCCGCTTCCCACCCTTTTAGAGCTCCCACCTACCGCTCTTTCCTCTCCCACCTTCCATACCCCTTCTGTCCTCTATTCTCCTGGAGTACAACCCCATGTCTTCCCCTACAAAGAAGCATAGGGAAGAGGGAAAAAGGAATCGGCAATTTCCGAGTTCGTTAAACTTTTACTTTTAAAACGAGGCTAAGTGCAAAACCTTTCTTCACGTTATTCCTGCATGAGAATAAAAGTTCATTTTCATATCAATAGCTTCGCACTTTGCCTCACTTTGAAACAGAGGCTTAAGGCGACTCGGAAATGGCCTATTAACTAAGAAACAACATGAATTACCTCTTCTGGACACAGTTCACAAGCCTTGGCAAGTGTAAGCCGTGCACTATGAGACCGCTCCAAGAAATACCTGGAGTAAGACAACAGATGACAAATTTTCAGTGATTTCTTCTGGATGATATCCTATGGTTTTACCATTCAAATGAAACTTCTTCAAAGGTACTTTCATATGGTATTAATTATTTCGTATGTAGTTCTATTCTAACTTTTAAATCTGTGGATGAAATCCTATGGTGTGACCATTCAAATGAAACCTCTTCAGCAGTACTTTCACATGGTACTATTTAATTAGTATGTAGTTCTAACTTTTGAGTCAGTGGATGAAATCCTATGGTGTCACCATTCAAATGAAACCTCTTCAGCAATACTTTCACATGGTAATATTTAGAATAAATTTCTAACTTGTGATTGTGTAGATGAATTTCTATGGTGTTAGCATTCAAATAAAACCTCTTCAGCAGTACTTTCACATGGTACTATTTACTTAGTTTGTAGTTCCAACTATTGAAAAGGAGAACTCGGGATTTTCCCTCAAATTTGGATTTGGGCATGACAGCTGTAAATATGTGTAATTTGAACCACTAACCCGTTGGAAGTCTCGTTTGACTGTGCGGGAGGAGACCAATTGTTATACGTGTATGATGTACCACCAGTGTAAGGTCTCTAAAACACAACAACGGAACATTTCATAACATCAGCTTTAAACGTGAAAGACATATTAAACCTTATAATTTCTTGCCTTCAAAGTGATAATACTGTACATCTACGTACTTTTTGGCATTTAACTTTCTTAAGCCGCGGTGAGCAAGCTCTTCACGTAGGAACAATGTTAAACCCTTTGAGAGCTTTGGGGTCTTAAGCTTTAACTGCGTATTGTGGTTTTTTCTTTAAGCCCATGGATCAAATACTGGAGTCATTATACGTTTCTGGCAAACTGCCCACCTACGCCTTCCCTAAGCCAACATTAACACTTACTTCTCACTTAGGGCAAAATGTTGGCTTAGGGGAGAGGTAGATGGGCACAAATACTGCCCCCGTAACCACTCAAATCAAAGTTCGCAAGGTGTGGGTTCAACATTCATTCGAATTTTGGTTTAGGGACCACTTGGTAGAGACAGATTAAATAAAATACCACTTGTCTTGGACAACTGACCCTGTCGAGCTCGTCATTAAGCCATTCCACTGCCCATGTCCACTTGCGGCGTAGATCCTGTGCCGACATCAAAATGTGATGCGCCAAAGGGCAGCTGGGAAGACAGAAAAGAGTTACTAAAAGAAAAAGACGGCAAGCTTCCCAGGGTACCATTCACTATTTTCACCGAGACCATAATGCACCTTGTTACCCCATCGGTAATGTCCATAAGTTGTCGGAACATCTTCGGGGATGTACGGAAGTCGTCAAAATATTTTCGAATTTCCGAGGAAAACTAAACCTAATTGACTAACGAAATGGTGGCAGAAAGGAATCTTGCAGCACTTACTTGCAGAAGAGAGTCACCATGAACTTGATACACTGGTAGGCTCTTTTCTGGTAATGATTCTTCGAGCGTTGAATTGTGTCGAATAAACCCTCCTTATCATCAGGTATGCCTAATAAATTAAACGACAAAAAGGCAAATTTTAGGAAAGTTCAACTACGTTATAACACATTGCAATTTTTTCTTAGCTTAGAGGAGATCGCTGAGTGTATGGCGAACAACTGATTATATTTGGAACATCACGTAAACGCTCGCTACACCTGTTTTTGGATAAAATTTGCTTCTAAACCTAAAACTCTAACACGTTTTTACCTTTAAGTGTGTTGTGAATTCTGTGATTCTGCCAAGAATCGGTAATGAGCAACATCTGCAGCAACAAGTCCAAATACGGCCGTAGCTCATAAGTGTACGAAAACGCCACCTGAAAACAGTACCAAAAAGTAACCGATGCATTACTAGTCACTTCACCAGCGTGAGACAAAAATTGTCCCAAACCCATGACCCCACAGGACGCGGAACGGGCGCTCTATCCATTTGTTATGGAAGGCTAGATCATTTATAGCCTGCGAAAACAGACATATTTCCGGTCGTTGCTGCTCTTGACTCTCTCTCTCTCTCTCTCGAACCGAAAAGTAACTTTTCGGTAGCGAGAAGGCACAACAGGAAATACGTCTGCGTTCTCAAGTAAGGCCATTCACTTGATTCATATATGTGACGCACGTCATGCAGATTGTTAACAACAACGCATTCAACGTTATCATGAGGGAGTTTAACAGAAAACAGGGATATCTTTCACACATTTTTCTGCAACGCTATGGCTTAAAGACCAGGCACATTGCTGTTTGTAGTCACGAGATGCTAATCATGTGTCCAAGTTCTTCCTCTGCTTCATTTTCACACCAGGAGAGGGAAAAAGAGAAAACATTGCTTGCACTCGAAAGAGTGTACTGGTGACAATAACAATGACTTTATTTGTGTGTCAAGCTTCTTTAGCATACCTACTAATTGGGGACAAAGTAACAAAGCAAAAATAATAACAGTAAATATTAAATAAATTCTAAGACATCAAAAATACCAATATTATTCTATTAAAATACTACTTATGTCTACGAGCTGCAGAGAAAATGGTCACGTCCACATTCATTATTAACTACGTTTGAGAGATCCATTTGCCTTATTGAATACTTAAAATAACTCAAAGTGCTTGCATTTCTTGTGTCCCGAGGTAGGCGGCGCCATAGTGTCGGTTAATAGAATGCTTTCCGTACGTTACAATATTAAAGCGTGGTATGACGAATACCGAACTTTTTGACCAGCTTTTCAGCAATACAACGGGTATTTTACAAATACAACTACTTATCTCAAAAGAATCTCCACAGTCTGTAAAAACTACTCACGTCTGTATTAAGAACCCTAAGAAAGTATTCCCATTCAAGGTTTTCCGTGCCTGGGCAGCCACTTTGAACAAGTCGTCTACACTAAACATTGGTGTGTAAGAAGTTAGAAGTTAAGAGGTTACCTGCCACAGAAGCTCACTCAACACCACGCGGGAAAAGTGCGGGTTTTCCCAACAGCAAAACTGCAAAGAAATAGTAAATAAACGATCTGTTTAGAGCTAAAACACATAAATCCAAGTACAATTAAGAATGCATTCCCCATTTCGGAACTTAAACGGACATACATACATAACCATAAAAGACATCTCCAAAAGGACAATTTATACCCGACGATATCTCAAACTTTAAGTGAACGGAAAAGAACTTGCTGGGAAAAAGCGGGTTCAGTGTTCTGATATCAAGAGATATTGAGGATGAAATGCAAAGCACGAGACCGTGGTCGGACCGAGAGCCGCAACTTGAACCATCCAAGATTAGGAGTTGCGTTCTCCTGGCGTCGAACGCAATTACTGAACTGAAATTCAGTACTGAATACTGAACTGATTATTTTTACCATTCTCCACAAAAGATTTGTCACTTACTCTTAATAGCTTCACTGTATCTTCTGATGTAGTGCTGTCATCAATGACTTTCTTTAAATACCTATGTAACCATTTCACCATCAGTATTTAACATTATCAATGCCAACTTACAGGTAGTAATATGTCAAGAGCACTTGTAACACATTTTGAAAGATAAACAACGTATTCCGCTTAAAAATTAATATTAAATTTCACTCATTCAAGTTTAACTTAAATATATTTTGTATTGTTTTTACTTAAGTTAACTGATGACAATAAAATTAAAATTAAGGGGGAAAAAAATCGAACTTCCAGGATGAAACTGAACTACATCACAGGAAAACAAACTTTCGCAGCTTCCAATATCATAACACGGGCGTGTCACAGGCATACCAACCCAGAGAACATCATAAGTCAGGAATAACAAGTTTTTAGTGTGGCTTTGGTGACGATACAGGACAACCAACTTTCGTAGTTCCGCTGGCAAAATTAACATGACACAGGACCACCAAGAAGTATACAAGAGAGCCAACTTACGTAGCTTTGTTAAACAAGATATCAGCGACTAGGGGCTGTATCTCCATGAGAGGAGGTCCTTCGCCAAATGGGTTGGGTTTTGGTTTGCTTCCCTGTTAATAACGGAAATAATGTAAAGGTCACCGTTTAACTTGAATTTTTAAAATTCACAAGTGCACTGCAGAAAGAAGCGTTCTTTTTTGCGCTTTTTTTTGCGGTCCATGGAAACGCAATAAAACAACTTGGTCAATAACCAGCCATCTTAAACGAAAAAGCTTAGTCAATAACGCATATATAAAGCCCAGCTTACTTGAGAGGAAGACCGCATTCTCGAAGAGACGTCACAGCAGCGGACCAACTGAGACACGACCGAGTAGAGTTTGCCCAGTTCAGCGTACTGGTACCGAATTGGCGGGCCTGGGCCTTCATCCAGCGCCACCAGCATGAAAGTGGCGGGAACACCGAGCTGAAGAAGCTGTAACCGCTGCCAGGGGAAAAATATACGAGCAAAGAGGTATAAGCTGATCGAGCAAAACTAATGTACTACTTATCATCAAGCACGGCCGCTCCACATGAGCAATACTCAGGGTCCCAGAAACTTTTCATGCGCGGTTTCAGGTTTCGGCCAAGTCAATAAAATAAAATGCATTTCTGTTATTTACCCTCGGCAGTATTTATAGCACTAATGCTAATGGGGCCAAGCAAATGACTGAAACAAATTAATTAAATCAGGCAGAAACGGGTTAAGAATCCCAACTGGCCGGAGGTGAGCCAGTTGGCTATTTACAAGCGTGGTCCCGAAGATTTGAACTTGGGACTACTTCGTGACTTCGACCTTGGGCCGAAGATTTGTCGGCCTGCAGCCGACAACAAGACACCCGGCCGCACTTGAGAAAAAAAAAGCTCTCTGGTACCCAGGGTACATGAGCAGTCTTCGTGTGACAAATTTATCGCTAAGCGCAAAATTCTTTCCAAAATGCGTGAGTATAAAAAACAGTAAGCAGTGATGCGAAGGGGAAAAACCGGGACGATCGCAATCGCCTGGATAAAAAGGAAACTAGTAGTGGGCTTTAATAAGTAAAGGCGGTTTGGTGCGACGCATGTCAACCGGAAGTGAAGCCTGATCCCTTTTCAACAAAACCTTGACTAAAAGAGTTGGTATTGGCAGGTGTCTTTTCTCTTACGGAGACGATCTGCCCAAAAATTTGGGCAAAACCATTGTCCACGTGCGTGACTCAAAAACGTATTTGCTAAAGGTGGCTTCCTGCTGAACATCTATATCGCCTCAAACATTTTTTAAGACGGTTACCGGCCGTTTCGATAGAGGCTAATTCCTTCGAGGTGTAAATAGTTTCACGAACTTGGCTTAAAGAACGAAGAATATTCACCCAAAATGTTTTTTTTGGGGGTTCAACTGCAAACTTAACTTGAAGTGATCGAAAATTTTGTGCAGTTTCACTGCTCGAGTTCGTATCGAAACGACTTGTATCGAATCGACTTAGTAAATATAGAAACGACCAGTTTCCTTTTAGACCACTACAGCGATTCAGTAGCGATTGGGACGATCGAGCAATGAGACGAATTGTACATACCTCAGGAGGTCCTATCATAGAGTACATGAGAAAGAAGTGAAAGTATTGTTGTAAATGGCGGCCATGTTCGGGAACTTCTTTCTTTAACAGGCCCAGTACAGCTGTTAAGATATGGTCGCTTAGTGTTGCTTTGTTGTCCAGCTCTGCCAAACAAACAAATAAAGAAAGCATCACTACAGACAGTAGGGAAATTTTGAACAAAAACAAAAAACCGTTGAAACAAAATTTCGCGTTGTCACATCAGAGTGTTCGTAGCATGTTCGGGAAACCCAAACTACCGCTCACGTCTGCGTCTTACTTGCGACAAACGTGCAATCTCAAGCAGCTTTTCAACTGTTGCCATTTGCATTGACATAAGTAAAAGATGATATTTGCAAGCAAAGCGAAGTGTAAACTTTGGGCGCAGCTAATTTGTGGCTTCAAAGAGTAAGCCCAGCAGAGAGAAGAAAAAGAGATGTCGTGATGATGACCAATTTTTGTCAATTGTGCTTATCAACCTGCATCTCATGAACCTTGTTACCAGGGGTCTCTCTTTTTTTTCGTCCGAAAGACTCTGATAACAAAGTTGCGACCTTAAATAAATATTGCGCTAAGACGTCCCCAAATATGTTCAGGCGATCGAGATACGCCTCTAACGCGACGCGGACCATCGATACCATCTTAAAATTGTCTGGCTACTGACGACCGAGCTTTAGCCTCTGTGTGACTAAAGAGTTTTCCTTTATGATGATTATGGAAATGAAAACGCACCAATTACAAGCATTACGCCGCAAAGTACAAAAAAGGCAAAGAGCATCGGAGAAGTGAAGTCCTTCCCACTCGTACTCGACATCACGGGTCATCTGCTACGCAAACACACAAGTGCACAACGTGCCACATATACTATCCTAACCAACAATGTGATCAAAAACCAAGTGAACGTACCAGTCTCGTGTCTAATACTCTCTGGGTAAGGAGAACACGGTCCATCTTGACGGGAAAAGTGCGCTAAGAACACCAGAGTTTTGGCAAAAGCACTTCGTACCTACAACATGAGAATATCACCAGAATAAAATTTAACAATCCGGAGAGAAAAAAAATATGAATAAATATATCTTTAGGTGAAAATATGATATCTCGTATGAAGTACGTATCAAGAAAAGAGGAAACTTGTCACGTAGGTAAAGAGAAAACTTATTTTTCGAATTTTAGTTTTTGCCACGTGAAAAGTCCTTATCTTAGAATAAAGTACTACTTTTAACCCTTTAAGTCCCAATGGTGACCAACATCAATTTTCTCCTAACGATGACCATACACTGTCAATAGATGAGGTTGTGAGAATTAATAAAATGATCACCAAAGAGAAAATGCCTTGATCTTTCATTAAATTCCCTCAAGTAATTCTTAAAGGAAACGTCTGGAGATCTGTTTGGAGAATTTGTATGTGGGTATTGGGGCTAAAAGGGTTGATGTTTACGAGCATGACAGAAGGCATAAGCCTAAATTTCTCCCTGAGGGTGTCCAGTCAAGAGAGTAATGTAGGGTTCACTGTTACGTTATATGTTATCTCACCTCTCCACTGGGGCACTCTAGCAAATACTCTGAGAAGCGGTCAGGATAGGAGAACAGCATATACTTAGCGAACCATTCCCTCACTGCTTTGCCTTGTCTGAGTAACATACACACGGCATCATGCCACTCACCAGCAGGACCTCTGTAAGGAGTACAACATACAGTCAAATCTGTAATAAGGCAGCTGTCATCCTTCATCGAGTGGTCACTTCCTAAAGTCTCGAAATCAATTAGGCGGATACCTCTACTTAATTGTAGCGTTTCCCTTTTAACAAGTCTTGCCGAGCTTATTCACCTATATTTAATTGTCAATCTATTTCCATCAGACAGTTTGCCTTATTTAACACAGGTTTGAATTTACTGTTGAAACCTCAAATCAAGCGATTGTGTAGTTTACGCGCTGAGATTAGCTACTAGACCGTGGAAATAACACTAGCTAGGCTTCTTCAAGCATTTCAATATGGACCGTTACGTATGCGTCGCACCAGAGACTGAATATAGCAAATAAGATACAGTCTGTATAAAACTGCCCATTTTGCGGCGAATTTCCAAACGTTTTGGGCGTGTCATCAGTGGAGTGCTGCTGGAATGTTTCCCAGCTATGACATCGGGTTTGGAATCCGACAGGAAAAAGCTCAGCTCGTAGCTTAGTTTTTCCACGAAGAATTGCTTAATAGCAAAAGGCATATAATTCAATTTTCAGTACTTGTCCGTCTAATTCAGAGCCAGTGGTACGAAGGATGTGCAGCCATACACCATACCACAGAACGCCACTTTAAACAAGCATAGTTGTATTAGACCTTTAGATTCTAAGACGAGGACGACTACGTGTACGAGATTTTCTCAATACTGAGTATTGCACGCGCGTGAACCAGCGTCATTTTGGCGGAAAATTGTGATGGTTTTCCTCATTTTATTGAGAGTTTTAGTTAGAATGTCGTAGTGGCGGAAGCGAGTTATCAAATGTTAGAAGTTTTATCATTTTGAGATCGAGAGAGGGCTTTACCCCCTTCAATAAAGCGCTAACTTTTCTAGTGAAAAAGTACAATGAAGCCAGTTCCGGCGTGTCTATTTATTGAAGAATACGCGTAAAAAACTTCAAATCAAATCTCGTACTAGTCAGGTCGCTCTCGCCCTCGAATCTAAAGGTCTCTATTAAGTCATTACCTGACGGTTTTCTTCGTGCGGAACCCAGTCGTGAAAAGAAACTTGGAAACTAGCTGAATGCTGATCATAGACAACTGCTCTATTTCAGCCTGTAAGTAAACGAATCCATTACAGTTAAGCTTCAATCGGATTGCGTCCACACTTTTACTTTTATCTACCAAATAAATATAATGAAATTTCCGTCGTAACGCTAGGGTTTTACAACTTCGTAAGGGGTCTTGGGTTTGCTTATAAAAGAAGGGGCTTATATCCGGTTGGGCTTATAAACGGTTAAAAGGATGTTTGGAATTGCCGTTAAGCAGGAATAAGAAACACATTGCTCAGCGTCTAGATTCTATAAGTTAAGTGATGACACATACCCGGATTTGCAGGAAAACAGGGGGAAAGGAGGGATTCTACCGCGGCGGTGTACATGTATTCGGACTGAGCCGGTGCAGAAAACACAAATTCGTTTGTTCTATAAGTCAACTATTAGCTTCGCCTTCTAAGAAGCAATAGCTAAAGCAACACAAGTCTTCACGTACCGAATTTTCTAATCCAGCATTAGCAGTAGCCAGCTTTCTCATGAACTGGAAGAATTCCACACTGTACTGAATTCGATTGTGGAGAAAGTGAACGTTTTGTTTACGAACTGCTCTCTCAATCACCGCAGGCATTTTGCAGTCTGAACAAGAAAAAAAATAAACATTTGGTTATTTCCTTGATAAAAAACAGTATAGCACGGTGGTTACACAACAAAAATTCCTAAAAATTCGCCATGATTTCCTCTTTCACTGGCTTTTGAATTTTTAATGCGTTTTAGAAGTAGAGCTGTTTTGTGCCGCTTACAAAATCTCTTTCTGTTTTACAAACGGCAAGCAACTTACTTCTGTCCACATCAACTCTTCTGTTTGTGTCCATGACATCAAGACGTTCGTAAAAGAGCATGTAAGCGTTCCACCATCTCTTCTGCCTTCTATAGGACATCCTGACAAAGACAATGAGTAAGTGACATTGGCTATGGCATGAAACAAAAAGATAAAATAAGGCGGACCGGAGCAAAGAGAGGAGAAATGCTATTTAAATCCCTGTGTGCTACCAAATGATACTAGGAGAATCACAATGATCCCACAGGTAAATAACCTTTGTCTAATTTTGTATTCTCACTGATGAAAAAACATTCGTCCCAAACCGTTTGAGTTTGTTAAACCTTAATCTGTAAGCACGGTTTCCTTAGGACCCGCCATTTTGAAAATGAAATAACGTGGTTTTCCAGTGTCGCGTTATTTTTACCTGCGTAAACAAATTAAATACGATAAATGAAAGGTCGCGCCTAAAACTTTCATTCACGTGCGACATTTCGCATCGCATCTCTACAACAAGATTTGCTGCATTAAATGTAGCAGCGTGCAGCCACGCGGATTAAAAAAAAAGATGCTCGCATTTGCAGGCAGGCAATGTTGCACCGAGAGCCCTGAATTTCTAGTTTTCTTGAGTTAGAATGGAGAGTTAATTCACTGATCTGATCAGAGCGATTTTAACATTATGGAATGGTCACAGCAGCACATCGAGGATTGGGCGCACCTTTTTAGCATGTGGTCAAACACTTCTCCCATGTACTCCCCACCAAAACACTGAGTCTTCAACTCCTGTTAATCAATTAAAAACACCATCAGCTACCAAAAGAAACACTGCGACGCAAAAGAATAACTCACGAACAGAAAAGAAAGAGAGGAAATCACAAATGAATGAATAACTAAATGAATAACTACATCAGCAAGTCACAAGTACCTCATCGTCATCCATTTTGCATTCTGAGACCTCGCCGTCATCAAACTTGAACCATTTAGGGGCCAAGTCGGGACACACTCTAAACAACAACAACAAAAAGAACAAAAAATTGACTATCAAAATATAATAACGAGTGTAAGGCAGGCTATGTGTTTCTGGTATAAAGTGACAAGGGATTGCCTATCTCTATTCCCTGCCTCTTGTCACGGAAGTCGATGTCACGCAAGTTGACGAATGTCACTCGACTACGGGTACGCGATTTTCTCAATACTGAGTATTGCTCACGCGTGAACTAGCGTCATTTTTGGGGGGGAAGGGGAACGTCATAGCCGTCGTCATTCTTCTAAGAGTTTAAGCGAGAATATCGAAGTGGCGGAAACAAGTCATCAAATGTTGCAAGTTCTATCATTTTGCGATCGGGAGAGGGTGTAACCTCCTTCACTAAAGGTAACAGTGCTAACGTTTCTGGTGAAAAATGGTAAAATGAAGCTTTCCAGGGAGTCTATATTTTGAGAATACGCGAAAAAGCTTTACGTCAGATCTGACACTCGTTGTCGTACTCGTCTTAGAATCTGAAAGTCTCTATTCTCGCTAAAACTCGTAGTAGACAGACAACGGCTACCACATTTTCCTGCCAAAATTACGTTGGTTCGCGCGCGTGCACTACCTAGTAGTCTATTGAAAAAATCTCGTTCTTGTAGTCGTACTTGTCTTAGAATCTAAAGCTCTCTGATGACTAGTACCTCTGAAGAACGTAAGAATAATAGTGTCCCCCACTCGCTTGTCCACTGTGAACTAAGATGCCCACCAAGCGGAACTTTGTGCTTTTCACTTCTTTAATCTTCTTGTCTTCCTCAGATACATATTCAATGGTGTCCTCTGTCATTTCACCTTGAACAAAAGTTATATTTTAAGACAGCAACTTGTAAGAATAAGACCCCGTCCACAAGTATCTGTATATTTTTGAAAACAGAGATTTTGATATTCTGTATTAGCCTTCCGAAGGGACAACTGACATTTCAGACTAATGACTTACCTTGAAGCTTGGCTAATCCAAGTTCTGTAAACGGTTCCATGTCAATGTCACGGGGAAACTCAAAGTAGTCATTGAATTTAACCGCACACTCCCTGAAAGACAAAAGAATGAGGATGGTATTCCTTCATTCAGTGCTTACCTGAGCTGTGCATGTATACCGCTGAATAAATACTTTGTCATGCAACGCCAGACAGAAACAACCGTACAAGCCTCTTGCACCATAAAGCGTAATTTCTTGAAAAAACCTCAGTTTTGTTAATGCAGTTTTTGTCCAGTGTTGCTAATTTCAAAAGGTTTCAATACCAACTCAACCGCATACTTTAACAGAGGAATCGCCGCGACGATTTTAGCCGCGACACGGCATTGTAACATTGTTGCGACATTGTTTTGAAAAGTTACAGCATTGTTCGAACATAGCAACGCTGTGTTGCGCTAAAAATCGTCGTTGCGAATCGTCCCGTAAAACACCACCTTGAGAGAATGAATCAAACGTGGTGCGGATACGTTCCGCATACTTTGAAGTACTTTTGATGCAGTTTGGGGGGTAAATTAAGAGCTTGCGAGCACAGGACTCTCAAAATTTGTCTCCAGAAAGAAACTAAAGGAATTCCGGGCCCGCTATAATTTGCCACAGCTGTTGCGGTGTCCCTGCCAACGTTCTTTCTGTTTGTTTGTTTGTTTGTTTTTTTGGCGAAGAAAATAAAAAAAATTAAATTAAATTAAAAAATAAAGGGTTACCTTTCCCAGTCGTAGTCAAAGCGCTTGAGCTGAATAGCCAACACTCTAGGAAGCTTCTTTATGCACATTCTCTTCACTGTATCAACCTGAAAAAGCAATAAAAATAATATCCAAATATAGAAATAAATAAGAATCAGCTAGGTTACTTCCGTTAGGGTTAACAATAATAACAGTGTACATTATGCGAGCATGCGACTGAATTCTAACTTTAAAACAAGGAATTTGCTGGAATACAACATTAAGGTACCTTCTTGTCACACTTTTCACAATGATATGCGTTGGCGCCTTCAAGTAAGTCACCCTTGACAAACTGCTCCAACGAGTCCACTAAGCTGTGATGATTGCGTATGTCCACGTTCAGTGCAATGAATGGAGCCTCGCGAGAATACCTGCATCGGCAAACAACACAAATAATATAATTTAGATTAACCCAGTTTTCACTGAAGAACGACACAAAAAGCTCTCTCTGAGACGGACGCCTTTGGGGCCAGCACCAAATATCCGTGTACAAAAGGTATCCACCTTACAGACACAGGCTGATTTAGCAACAGAACGGGAACGTCAGTTGACGACGGCGTCCACAAATCAAACAACTGGCTTGACCGATGGCAGAGCGACAAACTGGGCACTGGAAGTCGAGTTTAGTCCTTTCCTCGCGCTTTCCCACCGTCAAATGACGTTCCCGTTCTGTTGCTAAATCCCGTGACCTTCACTTAACATTACTGTTTTCTGGTCTTTCACAAAAAGATCTGTCTAAAGGAAAGTAAAGTTTGGTGAAAATTTATTCCAAACAAAATTATTGTCACGCTTGTCACACAAGGTTTGCCGTCTTCTTTCCTCTTCCGTCCAGTTGCGTAAGTTCACTAGCAACAAAAGACTACTGAAGAACAACAAGGACCAACACTGGGCGCACGTTAAGAGAGAGTGGACTGAGTACAATGAAAAAGATGACGTCACTTCACAGGCAATTCGAGTTTGGACTTCACAACTGATCGCAAGCTAATTTTGATGACCAGGCAGCAGAGGTGTTGGATCCTTGCTTTCTTGAATTCAGTGAGTTCCCAGAAGTAATGGAAGACTAAGTCTCAATTCGCCACTCAAGAACGAGAAGAGAACTGGATCGAGCTAACGTTCGCAAAGACTTCTGGGACTGTTACTAGGGACAACGCGTTCCTAGTAACGATCCCAGAAACAATTGCGGGACGTATTTCGGCTCCAGTTCCCTCCTCGTTTCCGTAGTTGCGAATGGGATGAGAGGACTGAATACGGCATTACTGTCCTCACCAGTAACATAGCAATAGAAAGGGTATTCATACCTATGCGGACATCCTTTACAGATCTTCTGATCAGCAAAGCTTCCACCCAGTATGTCAGAGAACAGTGGTTTGCTGCTTAACGCCTTTAGGCCTTCGTCTAAGTTGTCAAGCAAGTTGTTGAAAAACTCCAAGGCATCGTGTTGTTCGCGTAAATTTACAGGCTCACCCCAGAGTCTGTCCAAAGGCAAGAGCACAACTTGGTTAGCAACTCCTTAAGTTCTTAACGCTTCATCGTCAAAAACCCGACGAGATCGTAAAGAATCTCTTCTAGTCATTTTAAAATCGTACCGACCAAGAACTACTGAGCAGTACTGACGTTGTGTATGTGGATAGCATTCCTAACCCCGATTAAGAGATTTTTTTTATAATTAAAGCATTGTGAGACGGTTTGCCTTCCACCATTTTACAAAATCAAATTACGCATAAAACTCACTTGAAAGTTTTCCAAAATCCTTGGGGAACGTGGAACTGTAACTGGCTCTGGGCAAGGTGTCCAAAGATAAACTGAATCTGATTTAGCACGCTGACTTGATATCTCTTTAACTTCTCCTCTTGGTCTTTTACCTCGATTTCTTTGTCATTCTCCCGACTGTCCTCCGACTGATACCCAGTGTCGATAGTGTTCTCGCTCTCCGATTTCTCTTCCACATCGACTCCATCTTCGTCTTCTTTTGTTGCAGCTCCGTCCACCTCCAGCACGCCCTCGCGCAGTTCAGGTATCATAAACAACTGGAACGGGGAGTAGAACACTTAACCCTTTAAGTCCCAAGATTGACCAACATCAACTTTCTCCTCACAACATCAATACATTATCAAAAGAAAAAGTTATGAGATTTTAAAAAATGATCACCTCAGGGAAAATGCTTTGATCTTTTATCAAATTCTCTCAACTATTTCTTTAAGGAAATCTATGGAGATCAGTTTGGAGAATTTGTATGTGGATATCAGGGTTCAAAGGGTTAACAAGGAGAGAGCCAAGATGGCTGTGAGCCCAAGTATAAAAAGGGCTATATGGGGTAAGCACAATTATTCGAGCTACCTAGTAGTTTACTTTGGCCCAAAACGTTTTCTTCTCATTGCACTATTTATCTCTTTTGGATACGAAAACGTTAAAGAGTATTTAAGTAGAAGTGGTACAGGTCCTAGCTCCACTCCTGTTAGGAGACGTGGGATTTTTTCCGAGTCACTTGTGTCACTAACTGAAGAAACATCACCCTCGCTCACAATCGTATAACCAATTTTGTGGGCTTCTTGCATCGCCCTCTCTCCACCTATGTTCTATCACCAATTTATTGGACACAATTACATGAAAATTATTGAACATGGTTTGATTACACCTTGAAGAATGAAGCAATGCCTTTAAGTTCTTTTGTTGTTTAAGGCCATCTTCTGCCTCACCGAGCATAAATTCAAACGTAGTTTACACGTTATTGGGAAGATTCTCATGATGCTCCCCTGATAACAAAACGTGTTTGCACTTGACTTAGAGAGTCTTAATATACCTACCTGCTGAATAACTGAGTTCATGTAACACGTAGCCCCGGCATTCTTGAGTCCCACATATCCTTTATATGGGCGTGGTCCGATAGGGGGAAGATGTTCCCACTCGTTCAAGACGGCATCCTCACCTGACGTGAAAGGCAAAAAAGATGAACCATTAAAGCCAGAATAGAGAATAGATATTGATCTTAGTGAACTGGTAATAACAAAAGGTTAGGGGGTACGGGCGAGTTTCAGGCCTCTAATCGAAAGTCAAAACGCTCTTGCTCCAGTGCTGACGTTTTGCATAAGATAGCCGATGTCAAAACGCGCGTGATCGGATCACGAGTTACAGAATACAGACTGTGTTCTATGCATTCCATTCAAAAGGTGATGTTACACGGAACACAACGTTGCAATGTTGGAAAAGTGTTGCAACCATTTGAAACAATGTCGCAACAATGTTGGAGCGCTGTGTTGCACTAATAATAGTCGTTGCAAATGTAACATCACCTTAAGATTAATATTGCGGGCTGCTCTTGTCGCCCGCAAATAAACTGTCACAAAAAAGGTGCAGCAATAAATCTAAGACTGAAAAAAAAAGTAAACGACTGCCAAAGAAAAACAATTTTCAAAAATGCTAAAAACTCTCAGATAGTAAAAATTTTACCATTTTAACTTGTTTAACATCAACGTTTAGTTTGTTTATTAATTCAACGCTGAAAAACACTGTAAGATACTCTCTAACTGCAGTGATTATTTACCAGAGTAGTAGAAATCACAGAGAATGTCGGACAAGACTTTAAGGTTTTGAACACATCCTCGACACAGGGCAACCAAGAGATCAAACGCAGCCACAAGTGTTTGTGGGGTGGAACAGATTGGTGTGACTCGCTTACTCCACACTTCATCTGGCAAAATACAAAAATACATACAATATACATGCTTTAGACCAATGGTGTCTGAAATGATTTAATTGCCTTGAGGCAGTGAATGAACAGGTTACGCGCTCTTTTGTGCTCTTCAAATTTCGTGACTTTCCATGACTTTTCCATGACCTTTTCCACTTTTCTATGAATTAAGATATAGCTGTCACTTTCGATAATTTTCGAAACTCTGCAAAACTATTCTTGTTTTTTTTTTTTTTCGTTTTTTTTTTTTTTTTAACACCGAAATCAGTTCGACAGACAAACTCTGGTGTCCACCATAACGTGCGCCGTTCGTACCACTATAAATTGCATTTCTTTAAAATTACACGTCCTTGCTTTGACATTTGCAGTAACTGATCTATTAAACTTAAATTCAATTAATTTTTAATGACTTTCCATGACCGACAATTAAATTCCATGACTTTCCACGCCTGGAAAATGAAATTCTTAAACTTTCTCGACTTTCCAGGTTTTCCATGACCTCTCCGAGCCCTGAAAGCCCCAGATGTATGATCGAAATAATCACCTACAACTTTAAGCAACTGTGGTGCTCTTTTGAACTATTGCTGTGATTTGCCTCCCCCAATAATACTTGAACGAATAGACAAAAACAACACTAACACCAGTAGGTTGGAATTATTGAACCCATTTGTGGTCTTTGAACTGTTACTTTATCACTACTATATTCACGTTTTCCTCGCTTTCCAAATTACATTCAAAAGTAAAAAAATAATAATAATAATTTGAACTATACATAAAAAGTTTTTAACGGGCCACACGTACCACTGCCGTTCCTGGCTTCAACAATAAGTTTGGAAGCAGGAAAAACAAAATCCTCCACAAGATCCTGAAAAAAAAAATTACAAAACACTGGTTTTACTTTAAGCTCAACATCAGCGCCAAGTAAACAAGATAATATTTTTTTACTTCTCCCTACGACAATTTTTTACATGTCCAAATCACAGTTTTAACTTTTCACGTCCATGGTTGCTCATTTAAAAGAAACCTTTTTAAATTGGGCATTATTCCTGCATGATGCCATTTGTTTTTCCACACTGTTTAATCGGTGCAGAAGATAACGTTGTTTTGTTTATGATTCATAAAGCAGTCTCTAAACTAGTTAGAGACCGTTAGATTCGAGGAAGAGGACCAGATTTATAAAACTTGACGTTTTTTCGCCTATTCTCTATAAATATATACCATAGAAAGCTTCATTGTACTTTTTGCATTGCTATTTTTGTTGAAGGAGGTTAAAAAAATAAATTTAAAAAAAAACTTGTTTCCGCCACTACGACGTTTTAGCTAAACCCGGGGTAGAATGACCACGGCTACTGCGTTTTCCTGTCAAAATGAGCTTACGCAACAGGACAGGAGCGGAAAGACGACACCAAAACCTTGCGTGACAAGCATGTCTGGTGCTTAAGTTCCCTAATGACGCTGGTTCACCCACGCGCCTTATTTAGTATTAAGAAAATCTCGTCCTCGTCTTAGAATCAATAGGTTTCTATAAATATTGCGAATCACAACATGAGATGACACTGAAATAAACTAATCACCTCTCAGTGTAAGCAAATGCAAGTAATATTTACCTTAATGAGATTATAACCATCCTTTTGTGAGCCAATAGCGTACTTCTTCGGAGCAGGCTGGAAGAGAAGAAGTTCTCTAGTGACTCCTAAATGACCCTCCAAAAGAGCGTCATCAACAGGAGAACGTCCTTCCTCGTGGGACAAAACAAGTTCCTGAAACCAATATCATTGCATTAGTACAGACAAAAACATCCGATATCAATAGCTTCCTCCGTAAAATCAACTATTGGATTGTCCCGGAGACGAGGACTGCGTGACGAGCCAAAAAATAAGAAGCTTAAGAAAAACGACTGCGACGACTACGAAAACGTCAGTTAAAACGCGTGTTCGCGCTGCCATATTATCCATTACAACGGCAATGTCTTTCAGAAAACGTTTCCAAAATCCACTGTCTAAACTGTGATGGGGTGCCCGGGGATGTACTTCGTTATATATGGCCTACACGGTGAGGTGCCGCTGGACATGGTATGGTTTTTGACCTCTCTATCCTTACCAGGGCAAATAATTTCGCGCGAGTCTGTCCTGAACAGGGTATATAATTTTGTGAGAGTCTGTCCTAATTATAAACAAGGTATTGCCTGCTCGATTGATTTGATTTTCTTGATGAAATCTGACTGTACTCCAAGTATACAAAGGCAATAACTATAAATAAATAAATAAATGTTATACAAGGCTTCAAAACAGGACGGCGTACAATTTGGCCTTTGTCATAAACAGCCCAGGGTTCTCATTAAGTTTTAAAGTAGGCAGCTAGAGTGTAAAATTAGGAAGCTTAGCAATCGAGTATTGTAGGCAATTTCAGGCTTTCATTCCCTATTTTACCCCTTTTCCCCAAAACGTACAGGGCTCAAACCTCAAAGTAGCCGGTTTTTTAGCCGGTTGACGGCACTTAATGAGAACCCTGCTGTAACAGGGTAACAAAATTGAGGGTATGATCCTAAACAGGGTATGTAGTTTAGGATTTTTTTTGTCCTAAACAGGGTCAGTTTTTCAAACCCTAAGTGACTCATCAATACCCAAATATTGGACGAGTACCAACCCTACCCTTCCCCCCCCCCCCCCCCTGGTGTTTGATTTTTGGTTTTTTTTTTTCTAAAAACGGTGAGTTTTTTCCACCCCAAAGTCACACACAAACACCAAAAATGTGGGAGAGACCCCCCCCCCCCCCCCCCCCCCCCCCCCCCGAGGGGATCGTTGCTGATCCGCCAATGGGCCCCTAAATACAGCTTGGGGGAAGAACATGTGACGAAGCCCTCAGAACGCCTGCACGGGAGGCTGCCTTAAGTGCGACCCACCTTTGTCTTTTTCAGCCATCCAATTTCAGTATTAAGCATTTTTTCTGCCGTGGGTAACGGACAATGCGTCATGTAAGCGTGAGCTAATAACCTGTATAAAAAGAAGCCCATACGGTGAGCCTGAAACTCTCAAAGTGCCAAAGATGAAAGAAAAAAAAAAAAACAGTCACATACTTAATTTTTACAAAGTACTTTTACAAGCTAATAGTATCATTCGAGAGGAGAGCTTTCAACGGTAACACCACAGGAGTTCATCTACAGAATCAAAAGTTTAAACTGATCACTTCAAATTAAATAAATAGTAACGTGAACGTACTGCTAAAAAGGTTTAGTTTGAATACTTACACTACAGAATCAAAAGTAGAAACTACAGGTACTAAATAAATATGACCATGTAAAATTATCGCTGAAGAGATTCCATTTGAATAGCCTCGTTACAACAAGAGTAATACATGCAACAAACAGCAAAGATTGATTTTTGAAGTAAAGCTTGTTAATGCGGCAGAAATGAGAACTGAGCGCACGGTTGGTGGGGTTAGTAGTGTCCCTCAGTGTCATCAACACCATTCCTTTTCGGACCTACTCGAAGAGAGGAAACTGGGACTCCATATTCAACTTTTTTAACACCGTAATATGATCACTCATGAGGGGGATTTACTGAAAATGCACTTCCCGAATCACCGAAGATGAATGTGATAATTGTAATTCTTGGTTGACAAGGCGGCCATGTTGGCGGTCAATAAAACAGAATTTATTTTTCTCGAAGCATGTACATGAAAATAGAGTATAGTTCCCAGCGAAGTGAAATGCTTTTGTTCTTCACCACCAATATGGCCGCCGTGACGTCACGTGCAAACCAGAAACACTGCATGTAACTCACTTGCAAAATAAGCTGAAGTACTCGTAGGAGGAACCAGCGTGATCCTTTATGGAGTTCTGCCAAAAAAAAAAAAGTATGAGTAATTAATACAACAACACGCCACAACCACCTTTAGACCTGCTTTAAGTTTGTACACCGTGTGTGTACTGGAAAACAAGTCAGGAAGACTATAGTTCATAAGCCCCTGGCGTTGTTTTTTTTCTTGGCTTCCTTGTTATTACCACTTTGATCATTTGTAAAATAATTTGTTCAGAATAGCCTATCAGCTTTAACATATTAAAAATTTCTTGTGTATTGTATATGTATTTTTATGTGGTGAATGAATGATTGCTTGCTTGCTTGCTTGCTTGCTTGAATGAATGAATGAATGAATGAATGAATGAATGAATGAATGAATGAATGAATGAATGAATGAATGAATGAATGAATGAATGAATGAATGAATGAATGAACATCAACCACAAGGCCTTGGGCTTCTACTAAAGCTGCCAGTGGCTAATACGCCACTTCCACCTTTCCATTTGCCCCTCAAAATTTGGCATAAGCATTGATTTCAGTCTCTCTTAGGACGGCTGTAATACCCAGGAGAAATGAAAAGCAAAGGTTATGCAAAATTTGGGGGGGGGGGGGGGGCAAATAAGGTGCATTATGGGAAATGTGGAAGTGGCGTATATGAAAATTGGAGGAAAAAATTTTGAATTTCATTTTGTGAAATACAGAAAAACGAGTAGTGCCATGCAAAAGTACTGTTGACGAGGCTTCAAACACCATTTAACTCTAATGGATAGATGTGATGAAGTTGAAGGGAAAACTCGGTCACGTGGTACAAATTGATTTTTAAAGTCAGTAGAGGGTTTAAGCTTCGCGTATACGGCAATCGTTAGATTCAAGTTGAGAATTTCTCAGAATAGAAAATGAGCACATAAAAACAGCTCAAAACAATTCTTCTGGATAAAACATTGCGTGAAACTACGTATTTAGGTGTAGATATAATGAACAGTAAACGACAAGTAAGGAGGGCCGCGTGGTAAAAATTCGCGTTTGACGTTAACCTCTCTAGTTACTGACCAAAAACGTGATTCTATTTTAAATCAGTATCTGTAATATTTTGTTAAATTGTTGTCGAACTGAAACAAGCCCCAACTGCATATTCCAGAGACTTACCAGAAGCACAGTGAAAAGAAGTGTAATAAAAAAGACAAGAGGTCTATGCCCTTGGGAACATCTTGTAGCCACAAGGAAGAACTGTTCTGCTGTGCTGAATCGAATTGCTCTGAAAAGAAGAAAAGAAAAGTAAAGACGACTCAAACTTTTTCAATATAACATCCCGTTCTGGTACTATCAGTTTAGAACTTAAATGAGCTGTATCACGAAACACAGCAAATATAAAAAGAAACACGGATGGACAAACTTAAAGAAGATTGAAACGGATTGAAATGTCACTTTTTGAAAACTTGTTAGCCTCACAAACAGTTTTTCAAAGGTTCATTTTGTTTCACCGAGCTTAAAATTTACCATCTTTCATTTCTTTCACCACGCAGAGCGACATCGACATTGCTGATCCTAGCAGTATGCAGGACGCGTGTCAAATATGAACCTAGTATATGGCCTCGCTCTCCATGAATTCTCTGTAGCAACCCTCCAAGTTGCGACCATTTTAGTCGCCATGGCGCCTAAAATTTTGCAGCTGGCGACTTGATTTGTAAAAAAAGTCTGCCTAAACCAAAAGAGTTGGTTGCCAAATGGTGACCGAGAAAAAACTTTAACTTGGAGGGTTGCGTAGCTCAAGTGGATAGAGCGCCCGCCCGGGGTTTGGGAGGTCGTAGGTTCGAATCTTGTCGGGAACTCAGATTTTTTCTTCGTCCCACGCTCGTGACAAGATGATTATTTCGTTTTCACATTCATTTTTGATGTCTGTAATGTTTGGTAAAATGCATGGGAGACATTTGTTTGAAATGAAGCCCTGAGTTTATTATTCACAAAGAGGTCCCAACACTTTTGAACTCCACTGTAGGCAACGTGTTACAAGCAATCTGTTGTGGGGATCGGTCAAAGACACAGATCACCTACAGTGGCGTATTCAGCTGTACATCCGAAACAGCTGTCGTGGGTACAAAATTTGGCTGAGCAAACGAATCGCGGTACTCCTGCATTCAATCTGGTGTGATTTTGTCCGATCACACCCACATCTTAGCTGCGCAACGTATGTATTGTTTAGTGTGATTTATCTTCACTACAACATCAAAACAAACCGAACGGATTGATATTTCTTTTCATGATCCATGCAACCTGTCGCTGCAACAACAGCAGGCATGAGGACGTTTGCCCCCTATGAATTGTCAATACATTAAGTTTACTGCTGTGAATGGACCTTCAAGGATACTGGCCTGCTTATCAGCAAGTAGGCTCTCCATTTCGGCGAGCCGCGCGAGAACGAGCGAGAGAGGCCGTTCTCTCACGTCTCCTCTTGCGTGTCACTGGCTTACTTCTCACAATGTTCCCCAAATGGATTGCTTGCTCGCAGGCTAAAAAGATACAACTACGTGTGGTGTCTCAATAACATAGGGACTGTTTACAAGGAGGTGGAGGACCCCAGGTAGGTGAGGTGACCCGCTAAGTTGGTGTAACCAGCCTTTCCATATACGTAATCTCTCATATGGTCACCCCTCCTATCATGTAAACGCGATCACATTAAAATGAGAGATTATATGAACAGGCGGGTTACGCGGGTAAGCTCACATACCTGAGGTCCCCCACCTCCATGTAAACAGGCCCGAAGTCTAGCATTGAGGGCAGACATTGAGGGGTTGAGTCGACCCTGATCATAGTACCTGCTCTGACACAAGATAAGAAGATCAATGATAAAACACTGCCATGACTTGTCTTTGGTAAGAGCATCCAAAGCATTGGGACAAAGGGCTAGGCACACACTCAGCACCTAAAATATGACAACCGTCAACCTAGTTAGTAATCAAATTAAACGCCACCCGTCATTTAACTCAAAAGAGAACCTACGCAACGCTGTTTTTGAGCGACGCAAGTAAGTGGGTTTTTTGTATTCTTGGGCGGTGGTTTGGCCCAAATGTTTGGGTATAACGTCTCTATAAGAGTTAAGACACTAAAGATGATGTTACACAGGACGATTCGCAACAACAATTTTTAGCACAACGCAACGCTGCAATGTTGGAACAATGTTGCAACCATTCGAAACAATGTCACAACGCTGTGTTGCGCTAAAAATCGTCGTTGCGAGTCGTTTCGTGTAACATCACCTTAGCAATACAAATTTGGTAGCGTCAAGGCATATTAAAAGGACTCACTTCCGGACTCACTTCCGGACTCGCTTCCGGGAAAAAGGACTCACCTCCGAACTCACTTCCGGGGAAAAAGACTCACTTCCGCACTCACTTCCGGAGAAAAGGACTCACTTCCGGACTCACTTCCGGGGAGAAGGACTCCGTTCCGGTTGGCGTACGTCGCCCAAAACGCATTTGCTTAAGCTCTCTATTTAAGCACAGAATCTACAGAGAAGGCGTCGCGGTATATATCTGAGTAACCTAAGCAAACTTAAGTTCTTTGCAAGATACATTTCAGGAAATATCAGCCATTAAAACACGGCAGAATTGACAGGTGACAAAACATTAATGAGTGAAACAGTGATAGTCCTTGCAAAATGCCAGGTTCACACGAACCCGTTAAACTTTGTAAACGTACACACTTAGCGACCGGATAAAAGAGGAATTAAAGACTACACAGTCTGTAAAATAATTGTTAAAAATGTCTTAAAGTAGGTAAGGCAGGGTGGGATAAAACGAAAAAAAACAAGTATAACAAATATAGTCAAAGTGATGGCCGACATTGCCAAACTTACTTCCAGAGCTTCCCTTGCTACTTGAACATCATCATTTTGGAGTCCTTTCGGATTAGGCTATTTATTAATGAAAAGAAAAAAGCTGGTTATCATTCAAAAGTAATTAGATAACCGGTCATCTCGCCACCAACGAAGTTTCTACCAAGAAGTCAACTCACCGCCAACCAACTCGCCACCAAGTAATAACTCTGTAATCAAATTCGAATTAGCTTGGCGAAGTAGTAGAAATTCTAGGTAAGTAATCCCAGGTGAGTAAACACGTCGATTAATGCATAGTCATTACTTGGTGGCGAGTTGGTTGGCGGCGAGTCGACTTCTTGGTGGCGAGATGACCGTAAACCTTCTTATAAATGCTCCCCATGACAATTACTCCAAACCACTCGGAATTAGCAAAACGAAGCAAAATCATTCAATTTATTCAGTATCCTGATTTATTAACAAGGTTTTGCGCATTGTATCTTGTTCCCATGTAAGTGCAAAGTAAGGATAGACTAACGATGACCACAAAATGACCCTGAGCGAGGATTATGACATCGATGTTGAGCTGAAAGAGAGAGATGGATCTTTAGACTGCCTAAACGTATCAATTGATTGAATGAGTATTCCACCGAAAGCATGTTAGTTTTGTTGAGCTTGTTATAATTATGAGAATAAACGCCCCTCTCTTTTAAATGCCTCCAATCTTCTAAACGCCCCCTCTTGGACCCTGAAATATAAATACCGTTCTAGGTTCTTATAGACGCCCAGGGTTTTTATTTAATTTTAGGGGTCCAAGAGGGGGTGATTAATGGATAGGAGACATTTAAAGAGAGAGGTGTTTATTTTCATTTGTAACAATCTATGAAGAGAGTAATATCCTATTAGACGGAGAGACTTCGATGTCAGAATTCTTGCTCAGGGTCATTGTGTTGTCATCATTAAGCTATCCTTAATTTGATCTTGACATTGAAGGAACAAAACGAAATGTGCGAACCCTAATGATTTTGCTCCTTTTTGTTAATTCTTAGTATTTTCGTGTAAGTGTGATAGGGGGCGTCTATTAGACAAGGGCCATTTTTGAGAGGGGCGTCTAAGGACAAAATTATGGAGCTTAAGCAACGACGACGGCGACGTTAACGAGAACGGCCAAAAAGGAATTGGTTTAGATTGGAAAAACAACAACTTTGCACATGCATCACGCGTTTTTGTACAATTCCTTTGCCGTCACCGCACGAGTACGACGTGAAAATGCTTATTTTCACATTTTGTGGAGGACGCGACTTTCTTTCTCCGTTTCTTTTCTTTTAGAATTCAACTCCAGAAAAAATTGCCAATATTTGGAGAATTGAAAAGATGGAATAGACGCGACAACGTTTGAAGCAGTATGATTATTTTCGTAGCCGCCGCCCGGCGCCGCCGCCGTCGTTGCTTAAGCTCCCTTGTATTAACATCATACAGGGGGCGTTTATTTTAGAGAGGGCGCCTATCACACGGTAAGTCAATATGAACAGTTCTGTTTTACCTTTTCGTAAGCTTTGTGGATCTCTTCGTTTGAAGACTGCATTAAGTCCAACATGCCAACTCCAGCCGCCCAGGATAACCGCTGTATTGACTTAATGGCAGCTAATTCAGGTAGAGGACCTGCGACCTACAAATTACAAAACGCAACAAATTTGCCACCTTCAGAATTTCTCAAAAACAATGTTTTGGGGTTTTGACTAAAACCCTCACAACCTGAACAAAGTAGAGCAGAAACTCGACGGGTAAAAAAAGTCTTTGCCATTTAACTTCAAACATAACAACGGGGTTTAAAAAGACATACTATGAAGGGGGCCTTTTATTCCCCGGGATAACCCCAGGTGGTACTCCCTATAATATAGGGGGAGGCTCCGCTTGATAAGGGTGCCTTTTACAGGCCTCAGGTATATGAAGGGTTAGGGATTTCACTATACTTAAGGTATAGAAATGGGTACGGAAATCTTTCATTTCCGTCTGTGAAAATATCTTATAGGGCCAATAGAAGAATAAATGCCTGAGAAAAAATCGAGAAAATTTCCTGGTTTTACGTTATTTTCATATTTTCATTGCTGTGCGTTCACATAAGTTAAAAGGGTTAGGGCTTTCGTAACTAGGTATGTAAAAGGTAGTCTAACTGTTAATAGAAGGTATAAAAAAGAGGTGCCTTTTCTGTCAAAATGGTTTATAAAAGGGTAAGGGGTTGGACCTCGTGGCGGAGCCTCCCCCGATAAAACTTTGTTGAGTACCCCCCGGAAAATTGACGAAAGCTACCAAATGCAATTGTGAAATACTTAGAAACAAATGGCACCTTTTGAACGTACCACTGACGAGAATTCATTTAAATGGCCACACCATAGGATTGCGGGGGAGGCATTCCCGTATTTTTCCCAAACTGGTATGTGCCCCCCAACAGGTCTTGAGCCATAACAGGTATACAATTACACTATTTAACGTGCTAAACATGCACATGTACCACCACAGGATATCGTCCTTAGACTCAATAGACATAATAAATAAATGGTATCACGAGAAAGTACTACTGAAGAGGTTTCTTTTGAATGGTAAAACCATAGGATTTCATCCTCAGACTCACAAGTTAGAACTACATACTAAATAAATAGTACCACGTGAAAGGATTGCTGAAGAGGTTTTATTTGAATGGTCACACCATAGGATTTCATCCTCAGACTCACAAGTTAGAACTACATACTAAATAAATAGTACCATGTGAAAGGATTGCTGAAAAGGGTTCATCTGAATGGTAACACCATAGGATTTCATCAATTGACTTAAAAGTTAGACCTTCGTCATAAATAAATAGCATCACGTGAAAGTGCTGCTGAAGAGGCTTTATTTCAATGGTCACACTACAGAATTTCGTCCAGAGTCACAAGCTAATCAAATGCCCCTTCTTACATGTATACTAACTTACCAAGTTACTCAAATGTCCAGCAAGTCTAACAGCCATATTTCTTAACATACACTCAGTAGCAGGGTTTGGAATGTACTGCAAAGCTTGCTGTAAAATCACGGCGGCATTATGGGCACTAGCAGAAACGGGAGGTGGGGTGCACGTGGGGTCCGATGGCTGAATAGCTTCTGCAACAACGGTCACCTGTGCATAGCCGACCACGGTCAGCAACAACTTCGACATTTTAAGAAGTGTGTAGTATGCAGCTCTGTAGAAAAATAATAGCATTTTATGTGTAAAAGTTTGGCTGGATGTAATTGAGGCACTGAATTAGTCCTGTGCCTGGATTAAACAAATCGACAACATTTTTCAATGATCTTTTCTCTTATCGACCATAGAAAATGTTCAAAACTCAGGTAGAACCACGAACCGCAGGTGAGTGTTTTCACTGCAAAGTAAACTCGAACTTGAATGATCTCCCCAAACTTTCAACTCTTGAAAAATTAGCCTGCATTTGACTGAGGAGTTTCAAATAATCGCGATAAAGTTTTAGCGAATGTAAGCGCTTTTAAAAGTGACGTGTTGGCTACCGTCGGCGTCGTAGTTGTTAAACTCCCTTTAGAGTTAGAGTGGTTTTCGTTTGAGTGTCGTAAAACCAAAACCAAAGTAATTACTCTGGCCAATCACATAGGACACAGACAATACATTGAACCAATCAAAACTCGAAGTAATTACATGTGGCTGACGCAAAGTGCGTCACAATTGGCTTTGGTCTTACTTCTGATTGGATGAAAAGGTGGCGCGAATCTTTTAAGCCAATCGCATCGTGTAGAAAGTGCAAAACCAATTACTTTTCGACACTCAAATGAAAACCGCTCTAAAGGCGGCAGTCCAAGGTCCTTCATCCCGCTTGTCTCTGTAATTCTTTATTTCCACGCCACTTAACCGGGCGGCACATTTTTTCAAGGGATTTCTCTAGGCCGGCAACTGATAAATAGTGCCTTGCTTTGAAGTTTGTCCCATCACTCAACACCTTGCAAATGAAAGGATACAACGAAAACGAGGGTTTTATATTAACAGCTCAGCTGGCACCTTCCTACCTTTTAGTTAAAACATCAGCATGTTCAAGGAAATCTGTTCTTGTCAACATGTTAAGTGCACACTGAATACCACCACATTTTAAGAAGTGAACCTGCATACAAAATTGAGATATATTTTCACCTCCTTTCTTTCAGTTGTAGCCAAGGGGTTCTCTGTGTAGCTCCTTTTAGAATTGCAAAAAACGTCTGGTAACTATCAAACTGGTAGTCTGAGAAAACAGCCAAAATTTCGCGAGGCCAGCATTGTTTTCGGCGCGAAATGACGTCTCAGAAACGGGAACAGAAATTCCATATTGATGACGCGTAAGTGGGTAGTGCTTCTGATTGGTCGTGCAGCGAGGGAAATTTTCTTCAGCCAATCAAAAGCACAAGCCAGATCTGAGTAATGAAACGTCATCAGTATGGAATTTCAGCAGTCGTTCCTCCGACGTCATTTTGGGGGGATACCAGTGGTGGCATTGCGAAATGTCGGCCGCTTTCTCAGGCTAATAAACTGGTGGTCTTAGTAAGCCTTTCGAAGGACTATTTATTGTCCCCTAGCCACTTCCTCTCACCATACTTGAGTAACAAAACCAATGTTATTACTGATGTTGTTGTTGATAACAACTTTCTAAGATATTTTACTAACCGTTTTAATGAGCACTGCAGAGGTTATTAAATGAAGTTATGACATTTAGAAAAGAGGAGACTGCATGATAAAATGACATTAAACAAAAATTAATATATATTTTTTTTCAATAAAAATGCAATGTAGCGCTCCGTTCAATAAATTATAATCCTACACAGGAATAAATTTCCACAGGTGGGTTTCAAGAGCAAAACACGATGGTCAGCCAGACCATCAAAAACACGGACAGACGACACACAAAGAACAAAGACTAGCATGTAGACATATTCCAAACCTACTTGAAATTCTAAAGTTTGGTGATCTTGCGCTGGTAAGGAAGCAGGCATAAGAAGAGAATAGACAATCTAAAAGATAAAAAAAAATTACGTCATTGGTATAATGCTCCTCCGTTTTGCTTCACTTTGTTTTACAAAATAATTAACTTCAAGTGAAGACTTCACTTTTTTCTCTACTAACTTCCGGCACAACCATCTCTTAACCCTTTCACTGCCAAATGTGGCCAAAGGCAAATTTCGACCAAATTTCCAAATTTCATTTCTAAAATTCTGACAAACAAGTACCCACATGTGAAAGTACAGGCAGAGAGCTGTCAGCTGAATGGTCACACCATAGGATTTCGTCCACAGACTCAAAAAATAGAGTCACCTTACAAAACTCCATCAAGCACTTTGGCAGTGAAAGGGTTAAAACTATACCCAGGATAACGCAGAAAAATAAAACAAATTGGAAAAATTTTGACTCCGCTTAAAAGATTCTGACGCGATGAACCGAACAGATATCCTCAGTTCTCTGATAATAACTGGCAGGCAGGTAGACATACGGACGGACGGACCGACGGACAGAGACAGACAGACAGACAATACATACAGACAGACAGACAAGGCAGGTATGCAGGTGCAGTCACAAAACAGACACGCTAACAAAGCTACCTAGCCATACACATCCCACATATAAGGTTGTTACCTCTAGGTTATAAAGAACTTGAGTGGAAGAGGGTATGAAAAACATGGCATCTAATGAAGGAGACGAGGTCTTTGAAAAGTTTTCGGAACAAGCTCGACAAACATTCTTGATATTTCCTACTGTTTCGGTGTCTGAAAAAAAAGAACATAGACAAAATGTATAGCAAGTACTACAATAGGATTCCGCCACAGCTAATCAGAGGCTCCCATTCCAGCCAACATCCAGTCACTCGCAACCACAGCGCTCAAGGGAACACAAACCAAATAAATAAAAACAAAATTTGGTTAAAAAAATGGTTAATATTAGAAGAAAACTAATTATTCACCTGTAGTCCGTTGTTTGTTTCGTTTACGAGAGTATAATAACCAGATACAGTAAATAATGATAAAGATACAAGCGATTTACCTGAAGGGATGAGGTTTAGTAGCTGCTGTACTCTATCTCTTAGATCAGGAACATCGTGGACAATTCCTTGATCCGCAAGATTAATTAGGTACTGCATAAAGCTATGGCGTTTTGACAACATCTAAAAAACAAACAAAACAGTTCTGATTCAGTAAAAACACGAAGATCTTCGTCAATATGATGCAATAGACCAATTCCGATATATTAAAATACTTACTTAGCTGCGAGGCTTGGGGAATAAAACAAAAGTAATCTATTATTCATTACTGAGCCTCACGATGACTTCTATTGTTTTATTCCCCCAAGCCTCGCAGCCAAGTATGAATTTTAACATATCGGACACTAGTATGGTGTACTTGTGAGGTGGTTCTAACTTTTGAGTCTGCAGATAAAATTTTACAGTGTGGCCATTCAAATGAAACCTCTTCAGCAGTAATTTCTGTTTCATATTGTACAGTTTATTTAGTATGAAGCTCTAACTTGTGAGTCTGTGGATGAAATCCTATGGTGTTACCATTCCAAAAAACCTTTTCAGCAGTAATTTCACATGATACTATTTATTTAGTATGCAGTTCTAACTTTTGAGTCTGTGGATGAAATCCTAAGGTGTTACCATTCAAATGAAACCTCTTCAGCAGTACTTTCACATGGTACTATTTATTTATAATGTAGTTCTAACTTTTGAGTCTGTTGATGAAATCCTATGGTGTTACAATTCAAATAAAACCTCTTTGGCAGTACAATCACAAGGTACAGTTTGTTTATCAGCATTTTTAAAATGAAATTTGGACATTTTGTCATTTTGGCCATTTCCGGAGTGAAAGGGTAATACCGGAACTATTCATTCACTTTGTAACCTACCACTCCTGGCAAGCAGTTCTCAGCTTCCAGGTTTGGCCCATCTAGAGCAGCTGGAGTGGATCCACCAGATGAATCAGACGAGGAATCTGGCGAGGACGGCATGGAACTGTTGAGTGTTCCAATTTTGGCTGTTATTAACTACAAGAAAAAATAACAAGCACGCAGGGTCATGAAATAAGAAAGACGTTTTTCTCAGCAGGTCATAAGCGTGGCCACTATGTGAGCAGCGCCTACCTCTGCTAGCCTACCAGTTTGTAGATATCGCAAGAGAGTAGCTCGCAGGGTAAAGCACTGCGCAATGAAAAATGTACGATGTTCGTAATAAGGAATCGAAAAAAACAAGAGAAGTTATTATTCAATGAGAACCTTAATAACTGGTAGATCACGGCTCATTTTCGCTGCCTCAATTTTCTTAAACAAAATGATCCAAAATCCACTGCTTTGCATACCTTAGACCTCCTGCTAAGCTCACATTTTCCAAAATGGCGTCTGACAAGGCGCAACGGAGCATATATTATTACGTGTACAGTTACATATCAAGTACCCAAGGTTTGAACGCAATACCACTCTGTGCCAGTACCCTGGCACTAGTGCTCAAGCACCCCGTGTGAACAGAGCCTAACTTATAGTTTCATAACTATCAATACTTACCGTTCTGTCTCGAAGTGGTACTTGTGAAATAAGTCTCTTATCATCAGAGGGGGATAAAATCTCTCCATTGACGTAAAGGTCAAGTCTCGCTGCCTGCAGAGAGCCCTTCACCCTTTTGTTACAACGTTTACAGATAAGGATTAGGATTAGGATAACGATTAGGATTAAACAGTATAATGATCCCTTACTTGTTACTACCCTCTCGCGAGAGCCAAACTGTGTCGCGCGCTACGCGATTCTCGTAACGCGCGACGACCTAAAAACTGTGAGTATCATGGCTAAAACTTTGGTACGATTTCAAGAATCTATGGTAATAGCTCTAGCGTGACTAAACACAGGAACAATTTTTTTTTACCTCTACAACCTGTAGACTGTTGAGTATAATTCACTTTGTGAAAGATCGACGACATCGGCGTGTATCGATAATTAGTAAAATCCAACAAGTGGTCTATTATCAATGCTGCATTCTGATTGGTTGAGCTACTACTAGGCTATATGTTATAGCCCACTAGTAGCGAAGAACGCCGGATTTTTGGCGGCAAAAAGGGATTTGCGTCTAGCTTTAACCAGCTAAAAGTTGTTTTGTCTCGATATTTTTGACCAACTAGTTGGATTTTACTAAAACAATTATTCCTCTCGCCCTCATGGCCCCTGAGTCAATAGCCCATTCGGCCTTCGGCCTCATGGGCTATTAACTCAGAGCCCATTCGGGCTTGAGGAATAATTGTTAATAACTTCATAAATAAAATAGGCAGATTTACAAATGAAAACGCGGCGGAAAATGAGAACACGAAAGCGCGCGGAAAAGACTGGACGCTACTGACGCTTAATTTCCCGCTCTGTCACTGGTCAAGCTGGTTTTTACATCTGCGAACGCCGACGACCCTTCTGTTGCGTTTATTTCTACATTTGCGTAATAAGTAATACTAGGACTAGAATGAAAATAACATAATCTTCAATCAACATAGTCAAGGTGCTTCAACATTTTTTATCTCGTACTTCCAAAAATGCTTTGAGTCAAAATCCATACACACTGCAAATTATCCTTAACAAAATACTTTAAAACAAGTGGGACTTAGCCAAGGCGCGTTTTATCTAAGGGGCTATTTCTGTGATACCGTAATGACCTACATTCCGGAATGAGTTTCATTCCAAAGTGAAGTTCGAACTGCATTCACCTGATAAAATCGAACGGTACCGCCTAAGGCATTCTCGCTCGCGTGGTTTTCGCGCCAGATCAAATACGTATGCGCCACTCGCCCTAAACTAAACAATTTACGATTTTCAATCCGAAACGAAGTTCGTTTTCAGTTTTCATGATATCAGAAGGAAATTTCGTACCAGAATGAGAATTTCATTCGGAATGAAAACCGGAATGACTTGTATTGGTTCGATATCGTGTAAACAATTACAGAGAACTATATGGAGATGGAATAAACTCGTTCCAGAATGAAAGTCATTCCGGTATCATGTTAATAGCCCCTGAGAGAACATGCGTTAAGAGCTGTTCATAAACAAGACACGCCTTACTTTTCTCGTAAAAAATGACCCTAATATGCCGTGTCAGCGTGCAGGTAAAGTTAGTTGGGCATTTTATCAACTTTTGTTAGACTATGTCTGATGACTGCAATCTATATTTATAGCTTTAATGGACTTGTGACTTATTTAGACCACGAGCAGTCTCTCTTTCATCTTAATCCGTCGAGAAAAACGCACGAGACACGAAAATGACCATTCGCGTGACTAAAGGCTCCCGCCCTCATTTCTCGCGTCTCATCGCCTCGCCGCTCGAGCGCGCGTGAACTGCCCTCATTAAATCTGAGGGAAAAGAGAGACTACTCGCAGACTAAGACTTTAGAATATTCGGACGTACCTGCTTAAAATTTGTCTTCTAACAGATGCTATTGACTCGTTTGCGTGAGACCAGATTTCAAAGTCATCTCCCTGGCGACCATGTGAGGGAAATCTGACAATGAGTGACACGTGCTGACCACGACATGATCTAAAGAAAGATATCAAGTCTTGTAATAGAATATTAAAGTAAATTATTATTCAGTCAAAATATTTCTCCGTTTCTGATTGGCTAAAATCCCACGCATCATAACCAGCTATTGTCGACCAAATTTGGAAGAATTTTGCGATATGTGAAAAATGACGTCAAGTGTGCAGCAAAATTGCCGGATTATTGAACAGTTAACCAAGAAGACCTGGGGACAACGTTGAGTTGTTTTGGTAGTGCGTAAAAAATAGCGCACTACAAGTACAAGATTTTCTCAATATTAAGTATTGCGCGCGCGTGAGTCACCGTTATTTTGGCATGAAATTGTGAAAGTCATCGTCATTCTACTACGCGTTTTAGCAGGAACGTTGTAGTGGCGACATTAAATTATCAAATGTTAGCATTTTGCGATCGGGAGAGGGTTTACCCTCCTCCCACACAGTTAACAGTGCTAACTTTTCTAGTGAAAAAAAGTACAAGGAACCATTCAAACTTTTGAATCAAATCTCGTACTTGTAATCGTTCTCGTCCCCGAATCTTATGGTCTCTATCGTACCCCTGTAAGTCTGCAGTTTTACAGTTTTCATCTATCTTTATTCCAGTTTCGCAGTAGCCTTCCCGCAGACGTCCTCTGGGGTTCGTTCGTCACGCATTCACTTCTTCCTCGTTCTAGAATTGGGGGCTAAGTTACCGGGGCGAAATGACTTGGGGGCGAGATTACCGGTAACTGTCACGGCTGTCTAGTTCATTTTATTAATAATGCCAAGTACGCGGTTTTATTTGCTATGGAACCCGAGAAATTTCAAGTAAATGACAAAATCACAGCTTCTTGTCAAACAAATGTCTCCCAAGCATTATTTCAATGTTACAAACAAATAAAATGAACTTTTCTGTAAAAAAAAACTGTTAAACTAACAAGTTTTTACAAACACAATAGCAATCCGTTTCAATCTTCTTGAAATTTATCCATCCGTGCCTCCTTTGTGTATTTGCTCTGATCTTCATACTTTCTTTATTATTTTGAACGGTTATTTTTATGTTTCCATCAATCTGGTGGCAGTTAAAACTGCTTGAATTTTTTTTATTAATTTCTTGACACAGATTCTTTAACAACAAGCGTTACACTTACCTTCCGTGAGGAAGAATAGCTCTTTCCTCCGCATGTTCATCGTCACATTCGCCCACATACTCCCTGAGGACTGTCAAACATCGCACTGTTTTCTTAGCCTCCTGCTGGAGCTTTTCTCTGGGTAACTCTGACTTCTTGTCTATAGTTGCATTCTCTGTACTCTTATTGACTGAAATTAAGTCTGCAGACTGACGAATCTGATTGGTGCAGTTCATGATAAACTTATCATGGATTTCAACCTATGAGAAACATGAAACAATTTGTCGGCTAGCTGTTACAACAGGTAATTACTCAACAATAACAAACTAATGTGCGCCATTAAATTTCTATGCAAGTTTATCGGATAGCTCTTGCGCACGCACGCAAATCATTCCGGATAGGGATTCTGTTCACACATAGGAACGGTGATTTCGGCGGGATTTCTGTAACGGAACGAAGCGGCGAGGCACTGATCTCGAAAGTGGAGCATCACATTTTAGATAGGTTCTGTGTCACACTTTAGTACCGTGTGAATAGCTTGGTATTCGGACCTTAGATAGTCTGCTACACAGCCGTTTTTAGTGTCGTCACGCAACGCTCCTCCCCACTAACTTGGTGGGGAGGAGCGTTGCGTGAGGCGCGTTGCGTGATGACACTAAAAACGGCTGTGTAGCAGACTAGACCTTAGAGGGAAGTGAATGAGCAATGGACTCCACTGAGACGGAAGTAAATATTCAGGAGTGAGGACTGGAATTTAGTTCATCAAACCCTCTCGGCCAACCGTTCCGGAACAATTCTCTGGAAAGATGTTCGATGTCGAATGTGTCAGTGTGTGAATAACTTGTGCACGACAATTTCATACAAATCACTGTGTTTTGTCAACTCAAGTCCTGACTTGGTGCCTTCGTTCAAAATAATGAAGGAAATGTCTACTCTGTGCACGGGCGAAGTTTCTGCGCAAACTGACTTTTGCGACAGTTTACGACTAGTTTTTCTACCTGCAAATTACTATGGTGATTAAAAGTGAGTCGCATACTGTTACAACAGTTTTGTGTTTGAGTATAACAAGCAACCAAAATTTGGTTGACACAATTTGTACAATGTACAATTTGTCATACTTACTAATTCCGGGAGAACCAATCTACGTTATTCTATTACATTTGCACCTTAAGCTTGAGTCATTCAAAGCTCTAATTTACTTGTATGCATGTGCTCCAAGATTTTGTGTTCATTTTAGAGTCACTTTTTGTCCCATGAATCGAAAAAAATTTTGAACACGGATTGAAAAAGACATTTTTGAGGTAAATTTTTCCCGAATTTTCGGGATTGAGAACAAAACAGCAAGAATTGCAAAAAAGAGAAACGAAGAAACGTAACAGAGGCAGTGGTAGTACAGACAGCTGAGGCTGACGCTAAAGGAGGGGGGGGGGGTGCAGATGAATTGTCAATTGCTTAAGCAAATCAGTTTTTTCAAAGAAATTCTGTTTTGTACCCCTCCTAGCCCCTTCAACATGACACCACCGTTTCTTTAAAACCTACATGAAACCACTTTGTCCATTCATTGCTTCATGCGAGGGATTTTCATGATGCACCAGTACACATACCTGACTTGCTCTTAGTTTAGGTCCTAAAGAAGTGAACGTTTCCTTAAGTAGTTCAATAGCTCGACTTGCAATGTCATCTGATCCCTGTAGTACCACCTGAAAATTCACAATGCAAGATTTGCAAATTATGACATACCAAAAAGGTACTACCGGTACTCTTTTTTTAGCTTTCAAACACTATTTATAATCAGCATCTAAATTCTGCTTACAATGTTGCTAGGTGACAAAACATAACCCTTCAATTTCTAAGAGTGACCAACATTAATTTTCTCATAACAACGTAACAATATAAATACACAATCAACAGAAAAAATTTACGAGAAATAACAAAGACAAGAGTGTTCTCTCTACTAATTCTGTTTAACAAATAGATTCCATTTTGCCGTGCGTCTGTTTAGTAATAGATAACCTCAAAATGTGGCAAAAACAAAAAAGTGGCACATGAGCCGCAGGCGAGTGTGTCATTGATGTCACTGAGGCTTTCGCTTGCTTTAATACGAAAGAATCTCACAAACATTTTCAACACCACGCGCCATGTTGAACAAAACAAAGAAAACAAGTTTGCCGTGACGTCAACGATGCATCTGTACTCTGATAGATCATGGGCAACAACCAATCACAGCGCACGTAGCATTCAATCAGTGTGTGAGTATTAATGCCAAAAAGGTTAAAGTTTATGACAAAGTTGAGAGTAAAGGATAACCAAGGCTTAAGTCAAAATGTCATGAAAGGCTACTACTACAAAGTAACATAATATACGTTTGTACAGATTTAGGCAGAGCTAAAAGCGAAGCTCCGGTTTATGCATTTTGAATTTACATCAGACAATGGACTTCAAACCATTGCAAAGAAATCCACGAATCTATATCCATATCACTGAAAAACATAAACTTGAACTTGGGAACAATTAAAAGCCAACAACTGGTCAAAAGACACGTGACCTCGATGAGTTGCCATCCTAGCCCGCGATACAGTCATGTAACACTGTTCGGCAGATACCCTGTGCTGACAGCTGTCAATTGACCACAATATGGATGTCTATTATCAAGTTAAACACAGGTTACAGGCTCCCATACTAGTTAGAAAGTTTGACATTTCACGCTGGATTCCCTGTGGTGCGTACGGACGGGCGTATACATGCCGTGTATTCATAATAGCAACCTGGAGGTTAGGATTGCGGGCTCCTCTTGTCACCTGCAACTAGCAACAGTTAGACAGTAGACTGGCTGCCTGGCTCCGCTAGTAGCCCCTATACTTATTCCACGCAGCAAGTACTCTAAGTTTACTTTTAATAGCTGCATTGTGTTAATTTCTTGTTGAACAAGAGAGTGAGTACAAATGAAGATTGCTGTTGTTGTTGTTGAGACTACAGTAGTTACCTGCCACAAGTAATCCACTCCAATTAAATTTAAATCTTCCATTAAGTATGCTCTTCTTTTTGCCACTAGTTTACCCTCCTTGACATTTACTCCCCTGAAAAACCTTTCAAAACACCTGAGGGAGGAAAATAATCCATGGGTCATAAAACAAGAGCTGTACAGTGGAAAGTAAACAATTAAAAGACCTTTTTGGGTTATAGAAAAACGAGCACCCTCTATAAAGAACAAAGAAGAAAAGCTACGACTAAAAACCAAAACAAAAAACTAAGACCCCCTCTTTTCTTTTGTTAACTAGGGTTCTAGTTTTGACAGGGAGGTCTTGGCTTTGCGTCTCAGTTTTGGGTCTTAAATTTTGCTCTTAAATTCAGTCTTCAATAATGGGTCTTCATTTTATGAGGTATTTGTTTTCACAACAGGTGGAAAAGTCTGAGAGAGTAACTGCTTTGCTATGAAGCTTACAAGAGTATTGTAAACGAAAAATCTTGCAAATAACAGAGAGTAATAAATGATGATGATGATGATGATAATGATAATGCGTAGTTCAATTTTGCTCTAAGGCAGTTATTGTCGGGTGAATTTTCAGAAAGTCCAAACAAAGATTTTTTCAATGACGGGAGTAAACAAAAACATTTCTAAGTCTCAGTGAATATATGGAGAGCTTATTTAAATAAGCTTCAACAGTGCCATTCTGTAGTTGCAGGATTGTTTCTGTACCAGAGCTGTCATTAAGGGCCGCAATACACAACAACTGTCATATCTACGCTCAATTAATGTTACAGGTGATCAAAGTGGAAAGCTAAAGATCACACCATCAACTTTTTGTGAGATGTTAGGGATGAATTAATATTAGCTATGGCTGCTTCAAAACTTTATGACAGCCCTGTAGATAAGAACAAATAATTTAAGTAGAATTCACCTAAAAAGTGACAAATCTCTTACGGACAAAACGAAATTAATTGTATTACTAACCTTATACCATTTTCTGTTAACAGGGAGGGGTCCAACTTGAGGACATTCCCCTCAAAGAATGATCTGCTGATTTCTGGATCAAGGTCAGGTTCATCCCCCATTAACTAAAAGAAATTATCACAATGACAACTGAAAATCTGTCGTTATTACTCATACATTTTGAGCCACGGCAATAAGTGTTAACATATATGGGGCCATGATTACATGATATTGCTGCACTAAGTTACTTAATCTTCGTCATCCCAGCTAGGGAATAACGCCAATCATGGTTTGATCAATGCTTTGAAAAACTCAATTTTTCGTTAACAATAATATTTCCCTCAAAGAATTTTCCCTTAAAGTCCTCCTGAAGTAATGTGAAAAAAAATTGTTTTTATTGTTGCTGGTCACTTTCTCATGTTTTGGAATGTGATCATTAAAACATAAATAGAGTTAAAGTGACAACAGAAAACATTCTGGTGTGGCATAAAGTAGTCCCATTAAGCCAGATCCTAAACACACTCCTGCCTCATCATAAGAGTCAATAATAACTAGCAGCTTTTATTCACAGGAGATGTAGTGTGATTCAATCTTATCCTTCGTTCAAAATGTCATTTTTGGTTGTTTTGGGATCTGGCAATGAATGATAATGATTTTGAATTAAAGGACAACAAAATTTGCACCCACCAAGTATGAGCTTCTGTATAGGTACCTGCAGACGTTGGTCTCATCACGCATTTTCCATCCAATTGTCAGTTTTTCAGGTGAAATAATTGCATATCACGAAACGTTTCACATGGTAAAGCTACTAACGAGCTCAGCGCAACCACAATGACAACAGAAATGGGAACATCGAAAAAGCAACAGGTATAATAAGGAAACCAAAAACTCTGAATGGGCAACACACTTTTTGGCAGATTTCTATGCCATCATTGTGTGACTAACATGAACTTAAAGTGTCAAACTTGATTAGAATCGCCATGTGATCGTTACGTAAATCTCTAAGATCTTCTCTTTATCAATAGCAATCGTTGCAACTTCTATTTTGTTGGAAATACCCATACAGAGGTTCAAGTATAAAATTGAACCACAGCGTAATTCCATAGCAAGATGGCATCTTGATCTGACAGTTACAGAGTAAAATGGATCTTCGACTTCAGAGAGTAGATTGTTTTACCTTTGAAAACCACTTGAAGCAGCACTCTCTGTCTGATGGTAGCACAGCTTTTTCCGCAAGCCACTGCCAGATCTAGAATTCACACAAAACCAGATAATCAATTTTGTTGGTTCTGTGTGTTTGGTTGCTCCATCAAGATTTTAACTGTTAACCGACAAGATGCTGAAACCAATGTTTTCTTTAATAACATTATGCATTACTGTGTAGCTGTTGAATATTGAAACAAGTTGAGGAGATATGTAGGGGCAAAAGAGAAACGATTGTCTGATTGTCAACATGCAGACTCTACAAAATTATTAATTATATCGATAAAATTATATTCTAGTGCATATTAAACAAAACTTATAGTAAATATTAAATCAAACAACAATAATATGTTGTAATTCAAAACAAAATTCAGGTTAAAATTGTTTCAACCTACATTGTAGGCTGTTTGATTTTCAAATATACGACTATGACTACAAGTAACATTGTCAAGGAAAAAGACCACAGAGAAAGACAAAGACAAGGAAAAATCAAACTAGGTGAAACCTACTTAAACCTGAATTCAATTTTGAGCTACAATTTCTAAAAGTAACTACAAGTGTATTAATTTCACAAAATGAAGAAAAATTATTGTAACTTTAATAATTTATGTAATGATTTCCGGTAATTTACCAGTTTAGCCTGTGGCTCACACAGCCATAACTGTCCATCTTTTAAAAGAAATCTGTGGAAAGAAATCACAAAAATGTCTCAGCATTATACACTCCAACTTACTTAGTCAGTTTCCTATAATTATAAGAAAATATTTCTAAATCAACAACTTGTGAGTTAAAGAAAAAAGCCACACTCTTCTGTATAACTCGTCTTTCTTAATTATGCTGACCTTTAAAATTTCATACCATGAAAATCAAGTAGGTTCAAGAATCCATCTATGGTCGTTTTGGAAATTGGGGACATGAGACACCACTCTTCTGCCTTAAAATCCTGCCTAAGCAACCCTCCAAGTTAAAGTTTTTGCTTGGTTGCCATTTGGCAACCAACTCTTTTGGTTTAGGGAGACCTTTTACTAATCAAGTTGCCAGCTCCAAAATTTTAGGTGCCATGGCGACCAAAATGGTCGCAACTTGGAGGGTTGCTAGGGCAACTCTTTTTTCAGAATTGTTGCATTCAGTGTAGACTGCAAAACAGCCCATATTTTTGTGTATTCAAGTACGCGCGAGCAGTCAAACAAAAGGTCTGGAACGAGGCTGAAAACAGAGAGCGAGACTGGAAAGAGACGCTAAAAATTCTGTCGCCTCACACGCAAGACTCTTACACCACGTTTAACTGATTTCTTTACTGATTTTGAGAAAAAAACCGACTATTTTGCAGTCTATATTCAGTGGGTAAAAATTTTCACCAATTCACAGCACAATCAAACCCCGTTAATACGGAAACTGAAGGGACCATAGAAAGTGTCTGTATTAAGTGGGTTGGATTTAGAGAAAATGTAAGGGCTTTTTTTTCCTAGGGACAAAGCAAACTGTCCATAATAATGAGTTGTCCATATTAAGTGGGTGCCATCTGTAAAGCAAGGTTTGACTTTACCTTCCTGAATGGGAGCTTGAAATTAAGACTTGCCATGGACACAGTTTATAGTCCACTTCCAGAAAAAAAGAAAATTACCTGAGGAAGTTGAGTCTTTCCTGGACTTGAAAGGAATGGTTATATCTCCCATCAATTTGAATTTCACTAGGGTCCACATTGGGTTTACCTTAAAAATAAGCCACAAAATTTACCACATTCCATTTTATTTTAATTCTATGAAATATCAATTGACCAATCAAATTCCCTTAAGTGACTGACTAGTTTAACCCTGCTTAGACAGTGCTAACAAATGCTACTAAATGGAATTTTGCAGATATCACCAGTCAGCGGCAGCTGCAATATGTGGGGCTTTTCAGGGACGCTTTGATGTGCCCTTGTTTTTGCCAGCTTTGCTTAGACTGAGACATTGCCCACCCACCCTCAATCCTATTCATAATTGTTGAAATGCTTGCTAATTTTTCTGCTCCTTCCCCTTCAATGTTGGTTTTCACATGGTATGTGGCCAAAAAACCCATCACTTCAACATTGAGAAAAGGGAAGTAAGCCATACGTGTCCCTATACCAGACAGTCAAGTCTCTTAGGTTTCATATCAGTGGTTTAAAGAATTATGACTGTGATTGATGGTAATGTAAGTATGAGGTAAGCATTTTTGTGCAGCATGGCTCTTACTGTGTTAACAGGTTCCTTGAGGTGGGCTTTGGCCAGGTTTCCATGGACACTTTTTAGTTGCCACATAACTTCTTGCCCTCCTTTTCTGCTACCTTAGCGTACCTACCCTTCAAATTTCAATTGAGTTTTAACCATGGTCAAAGCGATGGTAGATCAATTCAGAGAGAACCCATTTAAATAGACATGGGAAAATCTTCACTACAATCCTGACAAAAGCACACAGTTATTGTACATGCAGTTGTTAATACTATTTGTCATTTCTTACTTTCAAGCAGGGAATACACTTTTTTCATATAGCTTGCCAGATTGTCAGCCACTATTGTAACCAGGGAGTGGGTCTGCTGTAACTGGTTTATAACCTCATGTCGGTAGTACACATGAGGGTTACGTTGAGTATGAGAGTAATTTTGGGGAGCCTAAAAAGGAAGTTAAAACATCTGTTAGTTAGCTCTCTGTAGTGCCTGAATTCAGGTGAAATGATAGTGTATCAAATTAACCTTTCACTCTTAGACCAAGGTGTGGCAACATCACTTTGTCACACTAACTTTGATGGATCAAAGAGCAAAGATAAGCACATGCAAGCAAACCCCATAACCAGGAACTTATTAACATTGTTGCTCGTCTTTTAGTTCACCTGTCTGATTAGCTTTTTTCTTGCAACACAATAATATTACAGAAACATTTCTGGTGGTTTTGGTTTTCCGAGTTTTACAGCAATGAATGATATGCCAGTAATTCCAGACCGGTGTTATATGCAGGATTCTGGGATCACCAGGAGGCAGATGTAATTTCAAGTTGCATACAACTCCAAATTTGATTGCATAGTTAAGCAGGAATCAATTTCGACATGAAAGGCTGATTAACACGCATACATTGTATTAACTGGTTAATTAATTTACAAATCGTATAATGATGAGAGTCATACTTCATAAAATAGAGAACAAATTTCTTTGATTTGCTTGAGAGCTGGTAAGACCCAAGTGTCACTACGGAGCTCTTCTATGCAGCGATCGATCCATTCCGTTTTTTGAGAGTCACGATCCTGTGAAAGCAGAAAGAAATAAATGAAACCTCAGACATTGTCCTTCTTTAAATAAACGTCATCTCAAGTCAGGGTGCTGTGAGAAAAATCACACTGAGAGATGTGACACTGTTGGTGCACGGAAGGGAAATCCCTATAAAATGATGGGGGTAATAGTTGCAAGGCTTCCATAACACCCATAAAAGTTACTAGAATTCTTTTTAGTGGGCGTGGCAATGATTCATTATTACCAACATAATGTTTGACATTGACAATAAAATAATGGTGATGGCTACAATAGCCTATGTGTACTTTGACAACTCTAGCAGTAGTCATGTTACATTTTGGAACACAAAGGGAACCAATCCAAGTATTTTAACCCCTAAAAGGTATGTCAAGATTCCCTGTCCCATGTTATAGTAAAGCCCCATCTTGGATGATGGCATACCTGTGAACAGCTGTAGTCTAAAATTTTAATGTGAGCACTAAGTGCCAAGTCCATGATATCAGTTGGTACATCTTCACTGTGAGCTAAGTTCCACAGTAAGCCCAGCACCTAAAAATGAAATCCAAGAGATAGAATCAGTATTTGGAAGATTAATGTTAATCCCAAGGAGGAAGTGTGGCAAAGTGGTTAGAGTGCTGTTCTTGCTATCCAAAGGCCTCCAAGTTCAAGCCCCACTCCAACTCAGGGTTCTCAATAGGATTTGAAGTAGGTGTCTGCCCAACCTTAAGTACGTGGCTGTGACAAACAGAGGGGCTGTAAACTAGGGAGTGAAAAGCAACCAATAAAATACAAAGTAAGAGGCAACAAGTATTAAAGTAGGCGGTGATGAATTGCCAGTTGCCGGCTTCTACTGAGAACCCTACTAACTGCTGACTAGATTTGTCCTCAGAAGTCTTGAGTTCATGTCCTCAAGCATGCTTGTAAATAGCCAACTGGTTAGCCTCCAATGTACTAGGATTCTTAACCATAGTAGTGTACACTTTAACTATTTGCCCAGCCCCACTAGCCTTTGTGCCTTCATTATTTACTTTTAATTTTTATTTGCTTTGTACCTTATGAGCCATTACACCTTCTTTGTCATCTTCAGCCAGCCGTCTTATTAACTCTAGCAATTTCTCTCTCTGCTTTTTGCTGGCATTTGTCCAACTTTCCTGTGTATTATATGAAAATATCATTTTAACACACTGTGTAACCACAGTTTCAAATTCTCAAAATAACAATTGAAGCAACGAACTGTAAAGACATCACTTTAAATCCTATCACCCTAAGGTCAATTATGGATGCTTGAGATAATACTCAGTAACCTTTGTGCTTGGGAAGGATTAAACTATAATGGTGTCACCTATGTCTAATTTGTCTGTGGAAATCTTTTAATGGGTCGTACTTTCCTTTCCTTACCCTAAGATTTATCATTCTCAGGGTGCAAAGAAAGTCAGTTTTACAGCCTAACTTTCAGGCAAGCTGTAGCTAGCATGTACTAGCCCACAAGTCATTTCAACTAGCCAAAAACCCTTTTTGATTGGTAGGATTGATTACAATCCTTCCGTAATTTGAATTCCCCCAGAAAACAGCACTTGCCCGTTGGGCAAGTTAAGAACAAAAATCACTTGCCCAATGGCAAAATCCACTAGCCCGGGGCTATCGGACAAGGCTTTCTTTGCATGCTGATCCTTGATATATTATGTATGTAGCTAACAGGCACACTAATGCCGCAGGCACTTTATACACTTCATCCACGTATAACTCAAACTTAGCAGATCTTGGTGGGATGAGCAAAGAGGTCCACCTAATTCCTCACATTCCACCTCTTCTCCCACAAGCAAATCCATCACTTTTTACCCTATCTTATCAAAAAGAATTTGATAGGTTGTATAAGCTGTATAAGGTGGGTCTAAATGTTACCTAATATACTGAGATTCTGGATAACAATCTCAATTTAGGACTGTGAATAGGGAAGAGTAGAAGGGATGGGTTGTTCCTCATACAAATTAATTAGAATACAAACATTTCTACTAAATGTTGATCTTAAACAATTTGAAATAAACAGCTCTAAAGCCTGCTTACTGTAGTTTACCTGGAAGCATGAAAAAAGGTGATCAAGTTGATCTGCAGAGAAGTCCCAAGCTAACTTTGCCAACAGATCATGGATATTCTTTACAATGGCATCATGCTTACCAGCCTAGAAATAAGCATTAAAAATATGGTTGACAACTACTTTAGAAGAATTATTCCTCATATGGTAGAAAAATTTAAAAGTGCAGCTTATTCATGAGTGAAAGAAAGTCAAAAAAATAAAATACACAAACCTGAGCAGCCCAGATGTTGTCTAAATCATCCAAGGACAATGCTTTTTCTTTTATAACAAAACGAAGAATTTTTTCTAGTTTTTCAACATACTGCAAAGAGAAAAAAAGATAACCTTAAACTCAATCTGTTGACCGGCAACCACCATGGCTCTTGAAGAAGCGCGAAGAGATCATTCTAAAGATCTCTCCCAGTAACCTACTCAAGACAAAGGACAGCACAATAGGGGTGATAACTGCCACAGATTCATTATACCTATGGTGATTAATTTATGTGCCACAGAACCAAGTAACCAAAAAGCGCTGGGAGACAAAGCCTTCAGACAAAGCCCAGCAACTTCAAGGCCTGGGGTAACTGGGCCACAAATCACAAAATTCTGGTGAGAACATTGAAATGATCACCTAACTGAAAATACTTTGTTGATTTTTCAACAAATTCTTTCAACTAATTTTTCAAGGCAATGTATAGAGATCGGTATGGAGATTTGAATGTAGTATGGACTAGGGCATAACTGATGGAAACCCTGAGTGCTGGTCCAGTGGAGCCTTAAACCTGGCCTACCCACTCTAAAATCTGCTGCATAACCAAGAAAAATTTAGCCGGCCATGATGAAACTAATTTTAAGGAGTAATACCCCCAGACATGTAGCAACTTAACTCAGGGTGAAAGGAAAATAATAAAATAAGCTTGCCTAATGGACAAGATTAGAGGCTTACAACTTAATCTTACAAAGCACCATTAGATGTATTTCAGAATATTAAGTTTTTGCGAACTTGACAAGTTACCTGAGGTTGATGAAGATTATCTTTTAATACAATGGAAAGGACACCATTTTTCTGTATCCATTCCTGCAATGCAAAGCAAACATTACTGATTCATAAACAAAACAAGTATTGTAATGAGACCATGACAAACTAATTGTGACAGGAAATGTGAAGACAACTTAGCAACTATTATCTTAAACAGTTGATTTATGTTTGACACTTTTGATATAAAATGCAGATCAGAGATAAGCACAACAAAATATTATTTTAATGCATGTAATGGACCCAAAACTAAGTGTATGGCTTGTGTCTGACCAAAAACACACAGAGATACATTTGAGCACACATACAACCGTATTTACATCAACATCATATTTTATGCATCTGCTTTGACACATTATCTATGTACATGTACAGCAAAATCATTTGCATATACATGTAGTAGCTAACTCTTACTTTCCTGTTGAAAATGGATTTAGCAGTAAACCTAGTTTTACTTACAGCCATTCTTTCTGCAGTCAGCCACTCCTCCTCCTCGGTAACAGTGTGACGATGAGTGAAATATGATACACCTGTGATAACTTTGTTAATCTGCCAAACAACAACATCAGCAACAATGAATCCTAACTGAAACGTTTACTGTCCTTACGGGGCCTGAGAAAAGTCCACTTGCCTGTGGGCAAGGGTCCAGGCAATGGCCCTTATGCATGATTACATCATACAAGCAAATTTCACTACCACCCCTTGTCTGAAAGAAAAATTCTTCGCTTTGCACTTGTTGTGCTCGGTTATTCTATTCAACTCAACTGGCTTGGGAATTTATTTATGCTAAACTTAGCAACTTTACAATTTCAAAACAAGGCTTGGTGGTGAAATTTGCTTGTCTGACGTAAACATACGTAAACGCCAATCATCCTCCAAATAAATTGTTAACTAAGTAGAACAACTTGCATGTTGCCCGAGGAAGCAAAATGTGAGAGCTGCTTGCCCAAAGGACAAGCAGGAATTCAAGTATTTTTCAGGCCCTGACCTTAGCAAAATGTTTCACTGGAATTGAAGAGATGAAAAAAGGCCAATTGTGACTTCTGATCCTAATGTTTTGCAAGCAAAATACAAGGCGTCAAGCAGTTCTTCAGAAGTCAAAAGGTCAATTTCAAACTGTTTAAACTCACACTAGGCTTGAAAGCTGAGGGGTATACTGCTAAAACAAATGAAATCACCTTGAGATTCAAGGATTAAGAAGTCTTTATAAAGAAATCAGTCACAACAGATGTGCGGCTTTACAATCAATAACGAGCTAAACTAAGGTAAAAAACATATCATATGTATTACAAAATTTAAAAAAAGGATTTAAAGATGAATAATGTTATTCATTTTCTTTTGCTTTATTCCCCTCAGCCTATCCACATGCATTCAGGGTGTTCATTAGGCATCGGAGATCCGAGAATTCTCCATTTACTACACTGTTTCTCTGGCTAACGTTTGGTAGCATAGGGCGGTATTTTATTCAGACATGGAGCTGCATTCAAAATATTCTCCGTAATATTACATCTTTTTCCTGCTACTAGAATTCTTAATTAAAACCCTGGCATTATACATATACTCCATCAACAATATTGCTTAGGTGACATTTTAAACTTCTGAGGATCATTCAAAGCAGGTTGTCATTTAAACCAGCAAAATGTTAAATGAAAGGAGGCAAATATTCATAAATTAGTTTCTACAAGATTCCAACTCTTACCTCATTTAAAGCATTCATCTTTCCATTAAAAGAAGAAATTTGAAGTAATCTAAGGAAAAAGAAAGCTATTAAGAAACCATTCATAAAAGTTATCAACCTGACAAATGAAGGTGCTTCCCTACCAACCTGAGAATCATTTTTAACTTGAATGTTTCCAGCTGTTTACCAATGTCTTCACGGGATGTTAGTCTTGATGCAAGACTTTTAAGAGCCTAAAAAGACACCCAGCAGTTAGCACTATAACCGTACAGGTTTACATTTTTCACAGTGACCTGAGTGTAAACTTAAAAATGTAGACAGAAATCTAGCTTAAAATACACTTCACTGTAGATCTACATTGTAACGTTTAGACACAACCTGCAGTACAATGGCTTCAGGGTTTTTAGCTTCATTAACATCTATGGGGAATGTTTTTTTTTCACGAAAAGCCTGAGAAAACAGCTGACATTTTGTGATGCCTTCACAAATTTCCCTCAATTATCAAGTCTGAGGAACGACCACAGAAAATTACATACTGATGACATCTCACTATCCAGATCTAGGTAGTGCTTCTGATTGGATGAAACAAATTTTCAGCCAATCAGAAGCACTACCCACATTCAATAATTGGTCAAATCATTTAGGAATTTCTGCACTCATTCATCGGTAGCCATTTTGCATGGAAACTAGTGGTGGCATTTGCGAAATGTTGACTGTTTTCTCAAGCTATCCAAGAAAAAGTGATTTTTTTTTCAACATCTCAGTTTAAGAACTGCTGTCTTAAAGAGTTTTTTTTAATGTGGCTAAATATCATTTAGGCAAAGTTAAACTCGAGCGAGTTGGCCAGCAGTCTTCTCCCACTTCAGTATGTGACCTACGGGGCGGCCCGCGGGGAATTGCAGGGCTCCTTGTGTGCCCTTTTGCTAGTGTTGCTTTGCATTGTAGCTTTGCTTGCTGATTGTAGCGGATCATTTCTTAGCCTTCTTGCAAATCAGTGCGGATTCTTGCTGATAGTCGCGGATCAATGTTTGCCTTCTTGCGAATCATTGCGGATTCTTGCCGTCTTCGCCGTTGCTTGCTGATCGTAGCGGATCATTTTTAGCCTTCTTGCGAATCATTGCGGATTCTTGCTGATAGTAGCGGATCAATTTTTGCCTACTTGCGAATCATTGCGGATTCTTGCTGATCGTAGCGGATCAATGTTTGCCTACTTGCGAATCATTGTGGATTCTTGCCGTCTTCGCCGTTACACACCGTTTTCTACTCGCCGCATGTCTCTACGTAACACAAACAACAGCCTTGCGGCCGGTTTTTTGCCGCTGGATTCACGACTGCCCACTTTGACAACGGGTGCCATCCCAGAAGTTCCTCCTTCTTCTGCGAACGATGTTTGGGAGCCCATCGCATCTGACTAGCGTTCCGGACGTGCCGTCCTTTGCCTTTTTGGCCGCGCCTCCGTGGTCGCTGCCGTTAAATCAGCGCTCTCAGCCGAACAAACTACATCTACAATAAGCGTTCCGGTAGCCTCAAGCGTGGCTGGGGGCGTTCCCACGACGTTCGTTTGCATTCTCAAGCTTTGGATCTGGCTGCGTCTAGTCTTGGTTTCCCACCAATTTCTGCTACCAGCATCGGATCGGTTAACCAATTGCAAGGTAGGCCAAACTTTGTTGTCCCTTCTTTGTGTCAACTTTTTCGCCGCCGGTATCGCCCGTTGTTCCTTCCCCCCGAGCGTCTAAAAAGCCAAAACGGCGTATGAACGATATTGGCGGTTGGCTGGAGGCCTTTTAGTGTATTGTCTCGTGTTGACGTCATTTTTCGTTCACCGGCCGCGTGTGGTTAGCGTACGATCGGGCCTCTAGCAAGCATGCAGCCGCAACAAATTTGAGACTGGTAAGCTTTTCATGTCCAAGCGTTCTACCCCTTGCTTTTTAACTCAAGTGCATTGCATCATTATTTAGATAATAAATGCGTATCTCGCAATAACCCTCGCGAAACTCGATGTTTTAGTAGCTTCCCTTCAAGTTAAGCCCTGTCGGGCGAGGCTAGGAACTGGTTGGGCGACCCACTGCCAACATCATCGTGAAGGTCCTTGCTTTGTTCTTTCTCTCATTTTTCTGCTGTTTTACAATTTGTATGGTGTTTTTAAAAAGTGTATTAGGAAGCATATTTAGCATTATGTCGGCGGCAATATGAAAAAAAAAAAAACAACAACAACTGCAACCACCACAACAGTACAATTCGCTTGCAATTATTGTTCCTTTGCCGCAGTACAGAGCAGAAACTTTGATCTATCGGCGAGGAAACCAGGACACCAATACACTTGGGTGGGCCACGGTGTGAATTGAATTCCAAACTAGATTTCAAAAAAAAAACGAAAAAGGTTTCGACGGTAAAAAGCCAAACTGAACAAAACACTCTGGAGAACCATATCGCGCGACATACACAAACTCGTCTGCGAAGTGAGATGCACTGAAAAATGCCCTTGTATCTCGATTTTCGCTCTTATTTTGAAGCTACTGGCCCAAATTGCTTCAATGTATTCTGGAAAGTACTTCTGCAGTCAATGTTTCTAGCCAAAATTATTTCTTGACGGCCAAAACGGGCCAAAAAATCAGTCAGTTGGAACGTAGTTGCCACATCGTTGCTAGGCAATCTTGGATACCAAACCAAAAGAAAGAAAGATTTATGACAGAAGCAAAATTGCAGCGGTGCAGCCTGCTGACAATGACATCACGCTGCTGAGCTCAATTGGGACGCTGTCATGACTGTTGCTAGGCAAGTGCGGATACCAAACCAATAGAAAGAAAGAGTTATGACCAAAGCCAAATGACTCTGCTTACGATCCTCGAGTGTTCCGGGCGACATCACATGACTAAATTATCAATTCTCTTTCGCGAAAGGCGCTTTGTGTCTTGCTTTACTCTGAATGACTTCGTGACCGCTGTCTCCCCCTCCCCACACTGTGTGCACAACATGAGTACCGCGCTAGCAGTTTGCAAATGGCCAGGCCTAGCTCTCCATTTGAGAACTGTGAGGGCCCTGCAACGGTGCTTGTAGTATTGGGAATTGAATTTGATTTTATCAATCAAGCTGCCCGCTTGCCAGCAGACAAACTATCGGTCTTGCAGAGCCTGATAAGCTCATGGCTTCCGCATAGGTGGTGCAACAGACGCAAACTGGAGTCCCTCTTTGGCCATCTACATTATGCTGCCAATGTGGTGTGGCCAGGAAGAGCCTTCCTACATTGCATGATCGACCTTTTGTGCTGCTTCCACAAGAAGGATCACCTGATTAGCCTCAACAGAGAGTGTCATCTGGACTTGCTTTGGTAGCATCAGTTCTTGTCACAGTGGAATGGGGTTGGTTTTTGGCTCCTTCCAGGCTTGCTCCCTAAAGCTGATGTGGCAGTTCCTTTGGATGAAGCTGGATCACTGGGCTATTGAATGTTCCTAAAGGGCTTCTGGGTCCCAGGTTCCTGCTCAGCAGCAGCAATCTATCGCTTATAAGGAGCTGTTCCTGCCAGAAATTGCTTCCCACATTTTTTGGTGCCACCACTGGGGCTGAAAGCATGACTCTTTCGCTCTGACCACGATGCTGTCGTCCACATCTCGAATGCTAGGACTTCTAAAGTTCCCTGCTTAATGCGGTTGCTTCGCATTTTGCTGCTCGCAGTGGTACATCATAGCTTCTCCCAACATGTGCAAGGTGTTATGAATCAGAGTGCTGATGCTGGCTCTCATTGTCGTTGGCAGGAATCCAGGCAGCTGGCTCCAAATACTCAGCCTTTGTCCAGCTTCGATGCGGAGTTCTCGTCCTGCTTACCGACTTGACTTCCCTGATTTAGAACAGCAGTGCTACTCCTTTCGTACTCATGGCCTGGCTCCCTTGATTCGGCATTCCTATGCGTCAGCCCAAGCGAAATTCATTTCCTTCTGCTGACAGCTTGGCAACTTGCACCCATCAAGGTCTCCATGCTTAATGGACGAATGGATGCCTTGTCTAATTGTTGTGTTTCTGGTCAGGACTCTCCAGCATTTGTTGATTAAGGTTAATGTATCAGGCTTTAGAGCTCCCCACATGGATCAGGGGTGCTCGCATCTGCTTGCAAATTGTCTCCGCCTGCAAAGGGACATTCATGGCATCAAGTGCTGTCAGGGTACTCCTTCGTCCATGCAGCTGCTTATAAGGGATGAGATTAATTGATGCTAGTTACCTCGCAGTCTTTGGATCTCGGCCCTCCAGATCATCAGATGTTCTGGGCAGCTCGTTTCTGGGGTACTTAGGCTTCCTGCGTGCGTCTGAGTTCATGGTACCTAACCTATCTAGCTACTCGTCATCCCTCCACTTGAGTGTCCCGGACTTTGCAGTGGATTCTTCATCGGCCGCATCGTCCTTGCACATACGAATCAAGGGCTCCAAGACAGACCCGTCCCGGAAAGGCTCTTTTCATTCACATTGGCCTTGACAAGCATCCTCTCTATGCAGTGCACGCTATGATGATATTCCCTGCTTCTAGGGGGTATTCGTCTGGCCCCTTGTTTTTGTTTGCGAATGGCAGCCTCTCACTCGCACTATTCTTACAGATTGGCTTAGGCAGATCATAACTTCAGCTCAGATACCGGGCAATTCCTTCTCCCCTAGCTTTCCTATTGGAGCTGCCTCTGTCGCTGCTCGCAGTGGGATTCTGAATCAATGGGCCATTGGCCCAACAACGCTTATCAGCCTTGTATTAGGACACTGGCTGACTCGTTAGCTGCACTCTCGCAAAAACTAGCTTCATGTTCCACAGTTCCATGCAGAATCCCTTCACGGCACAGTCCTCACTGCTTCCCGGGGTAGCTTTCTTGGCAGCCATCTGTCCTGGTTCAGGACCTTTTGCCTATTTCAGCTGGCGGATCAGCTAGATTTGTGGAGCGTAGTCGCCACATTGTTGCTAGGCAACCTTGGATACCCAACCAAAAGAAACAAAGATTTATTACAGAAGCAAAATTGCAGCGGCGCAGCCTGCTTACAATGACATCACTAGCTGACTCGCTAGCTGCATTGTCACAAAAACTAGCTTCAGCGCGTTCCACAGTTCCATGCAGAATCCCGTCACTGCACAATCCTCATTGCTTCCCGGGGTAGCTTGCTTGGCAGCCATCTGTCCTGGTTCAGGATTTTTTGCCTATTTCAGCTTGCGGATCAGCTACAAAATTGTAGGTTAGTGCCTTCGTAATTTGCGCAGCTGTGGGAGTTGTTTGGTGCTTGGGGATTTGTTTGGGTGATCGGAGGTACCAAGTCACCCTGTTGACGGGTCCCTCCGTTCTCCAAGCACCTGGAGACGGGTTTCTTTGGGTGGTTCCCGCTTCCAGGGTTGCCATGGATACCTCCTCTCTGCTTATTGCATTTGGCCCCCCACTAACCTTTAAGGCACCAGTTCCCAAGCTCATCATTAGCGATGAGTTTAAATGTGGCTAAATATCATTTAGGCAAAGTTAAACTCGAGCGAGTTGGCCAGCAGTCTTCTCCCACTTCAGTATGTGACCTACGGGGCGGCCCGCGGGGAATTGCAGGGCTCCTTGTGTGCCCTTTTGCTAGTGTTGCTTTGCATTGTAGCTTTGCTTGCTGATTGTAGCGGATCATTTCTTAGCCTTCTTGCAAATCAGTGCGGATTCTTGCTGATAGTCGCGGATCAATGTTTGCCTTCTTGCGAATCATTGCGGATTCTTGCTCCCTCTCCTCCCTCCCTGCCTGGTGGTTTGGTAAGTATTTTCTCAGGTAAGTATTCTCTTAGGTAAGTATCTCCACTGAATTTATTCAGTGTGACGGTGCCGGTTAGTGGCTGCTCCTGGGGTGGTTCCCGCTTCCAGGGTTGCCATGGATACCTCCTCTCTGCTTATTGCATTTGGCCCCCCACTAACCTTTAAGGCACCAGTTCCCAAGCTCATCATTAGCGATGAGTTTAAATGTGGCTAAATATCATTTAGGCAAAGTTAAACTCGAGCGAGTTGGCCAGCAGTCTTCTCCCACTTCAGTATGTGACCTACGGGGCGGCCCGCGGGGAATTGCAGGGCTCCTTGTGTGCCCTTTTGCTAGTGTTGCTTTGCATTGTAGCTTTGCTTGCTGATTGTAGCGGATCATTTCTTAGCCTTCTTGCAAATCAGTGCGGATTCTTGCTGATAGTCACGGATCAATGTTTGCCTTCTTGCGAATCATTGCGGATTCTTGCTCCCTCTCCTCCCTCCCTGCCTGGTGGTTTGGTAAGTATTTTCTCAGGTAAGTATCTCCACTGAATTTATTCAGTGTGACGGTGCCGGTTAGTGGCTGCTCCTGGGGTGGTTCCCGCTTCCAGGGTTGCCATGGATACCTCCTCTCTGCTTATTGCATTTGGCCCCCCACTAACCTTTAAGGCACCAGTTCCCAAGCTCATCATTAGCGATGAGTTTAAAAGCAAATTTGGAAATCATTTGCCCTCTATAATTTAATTCCTTGCGTGCAGGGACCCCTTGCTGACAACCAATGACAATATCCTGGCTAAAACATCCTGCTTTGCTTTAGTCCTCTTAGACACAAGCAAATCATTGATTTTGTAATAGCAATATTACACAAAGCATGACTTGTGAAAAAAAGTGACAATTACAATAAAATTTAAAACTTTGTACCTTGATTATTGATGAAAGGGCATCGTTCTTAACCTCATTTTTAGCCTCTTTTTTAAGTTCATCATCAGTTAAACTTTCAAGAAATTTAGGTACAAAATCCTGAAAAACAAGTAAGAAAGAATGTTTCAGTACAAGTTTGACAAAAGTACACTTGCTGGAAAATCTCCCACCTACAATGTAAATTTTATTTTAAATCCATTTTCATAAATTTAAATTTGATTCCTTTTCCATACAACAAACTTTTCCAATCAATGCAGAGTTCCTTGTCTGTCTGTGTTTCTGTAACCCATCATTTTTTGTATCATGTACAATTTCTGAGAAATAAAATATAATGAAACTGAAACAAAAGCAACTTACTATTACGGGTAAAAAGTATTTTTCAACAGTTCCAGGTGTAAGAACTTCAGCACATGATCCAAAAGGTCTGAAATACAAATCATGTTTATTATTCAAACGTAAATCACATCACAAACAAAACAAACAAAACCTCAAAACATCCAAAAAAGCTAATAGCAATAATTGTCAATGGGATGACGCAGTTATCCAGAAAAACATGAACAAGTAAAGGCATATTGTGGTTCAAGTTTATATGGGTATTAATTAAACTCCGGTTATTCACCTCATTGGACACTCAAGTCAACATTAATTTTTATTGGTTGTCTGTCAATTAGGTCAATAACCTGTCTGCAGTGACTTAGACTCTCAAAATGACTACAACAGGTTGTCAAAACATCAGTCACTGACACCTTTACTTATTGCAGCCAACTTTCCCTAAACAGACACTTCTACTGGACAGACACCTACACTTGGCCCTGGCTATTTTGAAATGGACCAAGGAAACTTGGTACCTAAATGTTTGTATTAATCCCATTACAACGTTAGTCTTCAACAGAGAGTTAAACATACATGTACCACAGAGTGTGACTGAAATGTAACTACACACCACTTCATACACCACTCTTCTTTCAAAATTCAACTCTACTCCCTCGTGTAAAAAGCACGTTCAGAATTTCATCACATTGTTATATACAAGTTTGGTTTTCATCCATTTTCCTGCTCATATGAAGAATTTGTTTTCACTCCAGTCCACCTTCTATGATCTTCATGGCAACTACATTCTTTCACTTAGTAAACCTAAAACAACTACCTATGGTCTTAACTCCTTTTGTTACCTTTCAGCTAAGCAGTGGAATGCACTGACTGAATTTTTCATATGAGTTTTTTTTTGTAGACTTGAAGACTAAAATACAGGGTGTTACCTTTATGACTGTATATTCTTTTTGCTTGTACATACTTGTCCTCAAAATCGTAAATAATATTTTCTTTTATGTGTTTATTTACTATTATGATTGTTATTATTATTATTATTATTATTATTATTATTATTACCCATATTATTGTTATTATGATTTTATTATTATTGTTATTCATAATGTATTTAATGTATTTTTTTTTTATTTAGCATCAGCTCAAAGATAATTATTAACTTGTTAGCTACTCTAAAATTCAAGTATAAATAAAGTTTATGTTATGTTAACTTTGTTATGTTACTAACCTTAGAAGAGCTGCTAAGAGTGGAACACTGAGACTTTCTCCACTACATATCCGCTCCTGTAAAATACTGAAGCCTCCAAGATTACCAAACCTGTTCACTAGATCCACCAGCCAACCCTGTAAAAATTCAGAAACACTCATACATGTAACTCAAAGTATACTTTAAGCTCTGCTACTTGCAAATCAGTGCCACTACTATAGTCAAACACCATTAATAAGGACACTGAGGGGCCATAGAAAGAGTCTGTTTTAATGGGCTGTCTGTAAGTGGGTTGAATTTAGAGAAAATGTGAGGGCTTTCTTTACTAAGGGACAAAACAAATAGTGGGCGCTTGCCATTCAATAAAAATTCCAGATTGAAATTTCACAAATTCTACTTGCTCAATGGAACAATACATTCCAGCTGAACAAACCCAACCCAAGCCAAGGCACATTTAGTTATTGTTCTCGTAAGCAGGATGCAAAAGAGTGCTACTGGAGACAACAATTATGTCAAATGATAAGGGACATTTCAGTCTGACCGACCAAGATAACTGGACCGGTAAAAGTGGACCAACTTCGAAGGTGGTCCCAAATATGCCGGTCAAACCAAACCAAAAATTAATGGTCTGTTCCATTTTGATTTCTAACCGAAACTCCAGTCTATAATAATGTCTATAATAATGAGGTGACCATATCAAGCGGGTGACCATAGCGCAGGGTATGACTGTAATGTCATTTCAGCACAGAATTCCAATATTACATACATCTCAGCCTCATGCTAACTTGTAAGCAAACATTCTTAGAGCTTTTTCAAGCCTTTCTTCCGCGCGCATGTCAAGCACACTAATTCACCTTTGTTTTAAAAAGACAATCAGCATCCACTCATTGAATTGCATACAGCTAATCATGAGCCAAAAAAATGGCAAATTACAACTGTGCAGTTATTTCCAACACAATGTTTTATTGCATATCATTATCATTTTTTTTGTTTTCAGGACACAGCTTGTCAATAAAATACACATACACACAGGGTCAAAGTTTCACTTCCAAGAAAGTGAAAATGTACCTTAAAATTATTGGCCAAACCCTCTGAAAGAAAGCACAAATTTGCGGGGAAGGAAAATGTAGTGAACACCTACCATCCAAGAGTCAGCTATTTATTATGGGACATGTAGATGTAACACACATCTATCTTTTGTGTTTACTGGACAATACTCTATTTCATCACCCTAAATTAAACCTTTCCAGCAGTACGTTTGCATCAACAATGTCTTTTTGGTTTGTTACATACAGTTGAACCTCAATATGCAACCACCACCTACAAGCAACCACTTATCCAAAACATCAAAAATTTCCCCAGTCAAAGTTGTACAACAGAACCTCTGGTAATTAACCACTTCGCAAACATGACTAGGGCCACTGTTTGGGCAAATGGTTTTCACTGCTTTTAACCTCTTGTAAGCAACCATTAATCCCATGGTGTATGTTCGTACTATGCCACTCAGAGTATAAAAAGAACATTCAGTGACAACATATTTTGAACTACTCATATAATAACTTAGAAATTGCATGTACTAAAATAATCGTATTCCAAAAAGTAAATGTGTCAGGACCCGTTCTTGGAAGAGACCACTTGTCCGTCCATTCTCGTCAGCAGTCACCTCACATAAACGACCACTAAATCTTTGCATTTTGGGTGGTTGCTTACAGAAGGTTTAACTGTATTTAGAATTTTCCATAGATGTTGAGTTCCTTCACCTTGGAGGGTGCAAGGGTAAACAAAATTTATTAAAGCTTACTTTTGGTGATCTAGCATCTGGAGGTTTTGCATAAACTGAACTCTCAGCCACCTAGGAGGCAAAGAAACTCAACTTGTTAATACACAATGTAAAATGGAAGTTATTTTTACAGTTATCACGCATACTTCCTATAACATACTGAACTAAAGCAGAAAATTTTCAGTTAAGAATCACCTGTGTCCCTGCAGGAACTGTCTCTGAAGGTCTTGCACCATTATAGATATTAAACCTGAAAAGAACAATTGATCACAAAATTATGAGTTGGTCACCCTCCCCTCCCTTCTTCATCTCTTCTTAATTCAAGTATCATTCATCATTCAATTCAAGTATGTCTGGATTAATACTCTTTCTTATGCAAGAACTGAATTTGTTCTTCAAAAGAATAACAAATCTATCTGAAATGCACCTTTCTATGCTTAAATAGAAATAAAATCATTATCCTTAGATTTGATGATTATTTATTCAGACACTCATGAAAAAACTGGGACTAGAGAAAAAAGTCCAGATAATCCAAAAGTGGGATTGATCAAGGACCCAATAATCATGGTCAATTGGCATCATTCTTAACTCTCTAAACAGTAATATTAAAATTCAGATTCTCATTTATTGTCCTTATATGTTTCCTAAGATGTAGTGGGGAGAATTTGTTGAGGTATCAATTAGATTCATCTTGTTTCATTGTGTCCTTAATTCTCAACACCAATGTGTTTTGGAAAGCATTCATATTACAAGGAAAAATTTGATGACGATCACTCTAAGGGCTTGAAGAATTAATGTGATGTTATAGATAAAAAATATTCCAACAACGTAATTGTTAGACAAGCAGAATTTCTACCTGGACATAGGATTAAACACCAAAGAAAGAAGGTCAAGCAAAGGAAACCAATCCTGTGAAAGTTTTGTTACACACAACTCTACAAGCTTCTCTGTGTTTTTGAGAATGGCTTTCTGTTGAGAAGCAAAAGAGATCAATGATTAACACCTTTTCCCAAAAGAGCTTCTTGTAGGAAGAAGATCACATACAGTCACCCCTCCACAACAGGACACTGACACCATCACAGAAGCTTTTTCTGACTTTGTATGTTAAACCCTTCACTGCCTGTGTGAGGTACTGTGTACATCATATAATTTGCAACTCGTATGCCTGCATGACATACTCAGTACGTCAAAAATCAGAGAGTAATCATCAATCCCCAGCACTAAAGATGTAATACAACCTGGCATCTCAAGCCTAAAACAAGTTAGTAGACACGTAACTACTAGTTAAACAGTTCCGTCCGCCATATTGCTTTCAAGTAGCATGTGGTGTGAAGAGCAAAGTAAAATTTCGGATCAATTTTAAAAATGGAGAGATATCAAACTGCTCAACATGTGATAAATGAGATATGGAATGATTCTGGTATGGAAAAGTCTTACAGTGATTTGAGGCAAACTCTTCGCAAATGAGGAAAATAAAACATTAACTCTCAAGATCTGGGGGGTAGGAGGTAAGTGTTTGCAGAGGTTCAACTGTAGTATGCTGTTTTACTAACTATTAATACAGCACATCCAACAACTTCAACTTACATGGATTTCATATTTCCATCCATTCACTGCCTCATCATTAAGAATTTTATGAAAAGACGTTGTCAATCCATCTCTGAAGAACCTCTGGCACTCTTCACTCTTGGTGTCTAACTCTGTTGAAACAGAATTGTCAACCATTAAAATGATAGTTAACCTCTTCAACCTTAATGCCAACAGAAACACATATATGGTTATTTGAGGTTGCCAGCTAATTACTGTATAATGATCTAATAGATGCCAGATGCATTTGTTTAATTTTAGGGGTCCAAGGAGGCGGGGAGGAATAGGTAGGGGGCATTTAAAAATCAGAGGCATTTATTCTCACAACTGTGACAAGCTCAACAAAACTAATATGCTTTCAGCAAAAACACCAAAAGAGTTTATGTTAATAGCAAAATATCCAGTTCATCATTGATACATGTACGTCTAGGCCTTCAAGACCTCCACATCACTCTCAGTCAAATGTCAACTGCAATGTCAGAATCCTTGTTCAGGGTCATTGTGTTGTCATCGTTAGCCTATTCTTACTTTACATGTGACTTTGAACAAGATGCAATGGGCAAATCCTTGTTAATCAAGCAAGAAACTGAATAAAGTGAAAGATTTCGCTTCTTTTAACTTTTTCCTAGTATTTTTGAGTAATTGTTATGGGGGCAGTACAAACTTAACATCAAAGGGGAGCCATTTATTAGACACAAGGTGTTTATTTGAGAGTGGGCATCAATTAAATGTGCTATTTTCTTACAAGCAAACTGTATGACAGCCCTGGAAGTTCAAAAGTGCTGTATTGACAATTTGTGCACATGTTTAGTCTCAAGGCCATACTGTGCAGAACACAGAAATGTTTCAGTTTCAGTACCTGAGTACAATGTATATGCTACAGGTTAAAATTAAATTCAGGTTAAAATTCTTTACCCTGGGTTGATTTTCTATTTTCTTTGTCTCCTAGCTCTAATAATTCATGAATTAGGGCTAGGTGACAAAGGAAATAAGTTAATGTTAAAGTTAATGATTTTCATAAGTAAGTTGAGTATGATCATCTGGGTGAACATAGTTCTGAATAGGACTGTTGTTGTTGACAATGACTGATGTATTGACAACCTGTGTGGCGGTCATCTTCAGAGTCAAAGTGAGTTGTATTAAACCCTGGTTACTGACCTGATTGGTCAATTAAGTCACAATGTTATTGGTCGTCTATCAGTTAAGCCGTGAGTTATTAGCCATGAAGACTTGTAATGTCATTGGTGTGTTTCAATCCGTTCATTGTCTATTGATTTTGTTAGAGGATGACTTGCCTGGACAATTGCCCATTGGGCAAGAAAGCTTTTTAACCCTTTAAGCCCTAAGATCAAAATTTGAATTCTCATTTGTTGCCTCTATTCATTTCCTACAGAAGTAGTGGGGAGAAGTTTATAAAATATCAAGCAAATTCATCCATGACCATGTCTATGATTTTCATGACCACTCTGTTTTACAAAACATTGATATTACAAGGAGAAATTTGATGCTGATCACTCTTAGGGCTTAAAGGGTTAAGTTACTTGCCAGCATGAAAATCTACCTGCAGGGCTGTTGCTAAGGCCCTGGACGTGCAGGCTAGAATGTTTGATGATTAGTTTGTTTGTCAATGCTCCTTGAAATAAAAACATACATGACCACATACATGTCTACATTGGGGCCAAAGAAAAGCTGTAATATAAACTAACTCATTCTATGGAAATTACTTTCACCTGCACGGCAAAGTTTGATGGATGCCTCCAAAAGCACCTCAAGTTCACCCTTTGGAAGAACAGGTACCACCCATCGTGGCCTATTTATCATTTCATCAAGTTTAGAGAGTTCAGTAATAGGAAACACCACATCCCCATTGGGTAACAAAAGGCCTGCGGTGTCATCTTCCTGTGTAGTAGAGTTATCGTTGTCTTCTTGTTGATTAGGTTCATTTATTTGGCCACTTTGTTGTGTTGACGTGGTATTGTTGGGAGGTTGACCTGGGGGTCCCGACTCCCCACTTGTTCCTCCACGAACTGAAAGAACTGTCATTTTGGTAAAATGCAATGTGAAGTGTCACCTTAGAAGCATTGACTTTTCCAAACATTAATGTGCTATCTACGAAAATATGTTACTTTTTGCCAGGTTAAAAAAATAGCTCCACTTTGTAGTTTCAATTGAGAAGGAATAATGGATTTCCTGAAAGAACAAGAAGAAAATAGAAAATTAACCAGTGTGCAAACTAAAGGACCAATGATGGTAGGGAACACCTCGATTCTGTAATAATGCAAGAGGAAAAGAACTCAATTTACTAAACAACTTAGTTATTTCTCATTCTGTGATTATTCTATTTGCAATCCATAATGTTTTGAATGGGCTGAAATGCAAAGTGTGCCTAAACAGAAACAGAAACAGAAATAAAGTTAGCAAAATGTATTTTGGTTATAATTTCTTAGCTTAGAAACTGTTGTAATACACTCTTGTTTACCTGCTCCATAAGAAAAGTATGACTTTATACCAGTCTAATTCCATAGTCAGGGGCCTACTTCTGGTTTCAAAAAATGAAAGCCATACCATCACCATCGACTCATCAGAGCCTTTAAATAACTCACAGGGTTTCAACTGTATACATTTCATAAGCTTTGCTTTCTTGATTCATACTGTAAATTACATAACCCTTTTTTCAGGAATTCTGGCCCACAGACAACATGCATGGGCACTATAAGGACCTCAAACTAATGAGAGGTAATCTGCATGCATATGGAGGGTGGCATTTTATTTTAGCTGGCTTTTACAAAGTGCTGACAAGGTTTCGTTACAAAATACACATTCAATATTTAAGACCTGTATGGGTTAAGATAAACACTAGCAACTGGATCAACCTGATCTTCACCAAAGTGCTGTATTTTGTAAGCACACAGGCGGCAACCGCTTAGAAGAGTACAGTAAACTGTTAAAATCATTTCAGGGCAAGTCCTTAAAAAATTCAATATTTACTTTTTGCACTGAAAACACTGCAGTTAACGACTAGGTGTTCGTAAACGCTAGCAAAACAAATGTTGTATAAAGACAACATAATTAAGGAAACCCAACATAATATATGTATCATCCCGCCGGCATATAATAGGAAAGGAAATGTAGGAAGTAGCTAATTGCATTTTCACTGAATCATCTTTGCAGTCAACAAACAAAATTAAGCAGTAAGTTGGAATTACGGTTTATGAGAAGTTTCCCTTTCCTATTATAGCTTATTTAAGATCTTTTAAAGTAACTGATTGCACAAGTTTCCTTATTTCTTTCAAAAGTGACAGGAAAACAGCTTTTATGCAGAGGACACAGTGCCTTCGACATCGAGCCAAAAAACTCTCTGTGGTGAACTTAAAATCTTACCTCGTTTGACGAGAAGAATCTCACATAAAAGATTATTCATAAACAAATAGAAACCAAGGGTTCGCCAGCTTCAAGGTATTTTTCTCGTCCTTTGGATTTTTATCAAAACTACTGTTTTGCATGTGGAGCAGAATCCTCCTTCACGTAGGTAGAGTCATGCGCAGTGGCTTCGGAAAGTCACGTGCCTGACTAGAGTTTGTTTCCAGGTCCCGACGCGGTTATAAAATAAGCGAAATTTTAGAGGCATGGATTGATTATACAAAGACTGTTACAATCAGGTAGAAGACAGCGACATCAGGAGAAAATTGTGCGATTTTGCAAATAAAAGTTTCCAGACAGCAACTACAGAGCCACCTTATTTGAGACAAAAAGGGTTTTTTTTTTTTTCAATTACTGTTTTTAAACTTAAACTTAAACTTAAAAGTTTCAAAAGTGGACGTTTTCAGGGCTAGCCCCATGGGGGAATTACATATGAAAGGGAAAGCGTTGGGCTGGTCGGGATCTTAGAGTTGAACCCTGAGATCAGGCTCCATTCTGCGTAAGCGAGAACGTATGAGAGTTGTTTAAAGACAAGGCCAGTTAAATCAGCCTCTAGCTAGGTGACATTGTTCCTGAAGAGATCTCCTTTTCAGAGTGTTTGTGAAACACATCAGGGGTACGAATCCTTAGAAGGTGTAATTTATGAACTCAGAAGTAAACACCGTTCATTTGGAGACAAAGAAGTCCTTAAAACGTTCATACTAAAAAAATTCTCCCATACATTTTCTGTAACTTGGATATACAAACAGACCCGAAACACAACTTCTTCTAGCAATCGGCTAAACCTACCCCTTGATCTTTTCACACACGTTTTGAAATAGAATGAAAGTACTATGAGATGAAACCGCATTTCCTCAAGCAGGTTAACTAGAGAACATCTTTAAGAGAAATGCCATAGGCTACGCAAGTCGGACTTTGATATTCCAAGGTACAAGACGGCGAAATGTGGTCCTGCGCCCGGGATACTTAAATTGGGGTGTGCCGCTAAGTCTTTGAGAATCATGTGTCCAGACAACTACAGTGAAACCCCGTTAATAATTAAGGACACTGAGGGCCCGGGGGGGGGGAACTCCGCATATGAAAGGGGTAGGGATGCTCGTCGTCTCGCTTAGGGGTGTAAATTTCGGATTTTGGTCTCACTTAGGGTGTTCTGAGCAAAACGCTATCATATTTAGCCGTGAAGGTCTCGTTTAGGGTTGCACGCGAAAAAATATAAACACATATATATTGTCTGTGTTTTAACATGGTTTCTTTTAGAGGTCAAAAAAGCTTGGGCCACGCTGAGATCGGTCTCCTTTACTGGGGGTTTAATTCAAAATTTCCAACGAGCATCCCCACCCCCTTCATATGCGGAGTCCACCCCTCCCCGGGACTGAGGTGGCCATAGGAAGTGTCCGTATTAATGGGATTTCCATGTTAAACTGATTGAGTTAAGAGAAAATGTAAGAGCTTTCTTTACTAAGGGACCCCGTTAGGGACAAAGTAAACTGTCCGTAATAATGAGGTGTACGTTTATACAATTCACTCACAAAATTCTCGAATGCCTACGTGTTATAATATTCTCACATCGAAACAAAGTTTCGGCGTTGTTGTTGAATTGGACTTTGAAACCTTTTGGGGGAAGAAGTTAATAGCATTACTTGTGTTAGTCAACGAAAGAGGTGACAGCGTCCCCAAAAAGTCCAATAGTACGATTCGACACCTCAAGGACCCAGTCTCACGGCAACTGGAAGTTGCGCGCGCTCCTCTTCCTATTTTCGCGTGGCTCTACAATAAGTGTAAAGATCGAGCACGAGTCAAGCACGGTTTCAGACCTCGCAAAAACCAGCGTGCTTGTAGAATAATGTTTTTTTTTTCAGGCATACTTTGTCAATCAGTCGCTTCTAAGGCAGCATGCACCAGCAACTAGCTTACGACAGGATCTTACGAGGAAGGATTCAGAACGTTCTTTAACGAATACAAATTCTACAACATACCAGTGCTGATTGGGAAAAACAACCTTGACAAAGTAATTAAAGTCATCCTGATTAACCCTGACTAAAAAATCTAAAATTTTTAATATTCTTTTTAAGAGATATGTTGTTCTTGTACCTAGTCTGGAAACAGTTTATAAGAGTCTAGTTCAACCAAATTTTGAATATTGTTCCCCCGGGGTTGTGGGACACCTGAGGGAAAATGTATACTTATATTAACATTCGGTGGAGCTAAACGAAGCGGCAGTGACAGAGAATGCAAATACCGTATTTATTCGGTTAACCACCCAGGTTGCTTATCAAATTTTTGGACCTTGAGAGTGGGTGCTTATTCGAGGCTGGGCGCTTGTTAAATTTTCACCATTTTCAGTAAGTGTAGTATGTTTATTTTGCAACAAAATAATAAATGGTAATAACAAAACGCGAAGATGAAACAAAACAAGGTTTCTGGAAAATACTCTGAAGAAAACTCCGTCTTCGGGGAAGCCTCTTATTAGTATTTATTCAGATTCAATTTCAATCTCGTTGTCACTCAAGTCAGTAAGTGATTTAAAATTCCTTGGTGTTGCCTCCTCGATGTCTGACATCGTAACGTGGACAAATGGGTTAGTCGCCAGAGAAGCAGATAAAACTTGCTGGATGGATGTTAGGCGATCTAGACCCGTTTGACAATGCTGACCCTCCTTTAGGAAATGAATTTGGTTATCTTAATGACTGTCAGGAGCCACAGTCTTAGCTTCTGAAAGAACGTATAATAAGATCTCTATCCAAACTATCCCAGGCCTCAAGAGTCCATCGCACGATTTCGCGACGTGGTGGGGCACGCATGTTTCCTGCACCTAAGTGGGAGGGGAAGGGGGGTGGGTGCTTATTTAATTTTGAGTCGGAGTGAAGGGGGTAGGGTGTTGGTGGGCGCTTATTCGAGGCCGAGCGCTTACTAAAGTTTTCTGCCTTTAGGATGCGCGCTTATTCGAGGTGGGCGCTAATTCGAGGTTGGGTGCTTATTCGAATAAATACGGTACTTTCTTATTGGTATGAACGCACGTGAGCCGTTATGGCGTTCATGATTGACTCTATTGTTGTAAGGCATATAAGGTTTTGACAGTTGTAATGTATTCATCTTTCATATCTTACTTTATTTATCTATTGATCGATTATTTTTTACCTTTAACCCCCAGAGGTTGTGCGACCACAACAGAGGACGTGACAACACCCTTACGATGACCACCCTGGTCGGAGTGCCTCTTTGTTCAAGGGTGGAGTGGGGACGATGTGATCAATAATGGACTAAAACTTGAGACTGAAGTCATAAACACATCCCCATGTCAATAAAAAAAAACAAAACCTGGCTCCTACTTGCCCCCGTTTGAGTGATATGCGCCTCGGGGTTCGAGTTTAAATTACACGAGATATGACAAAACAAGGGTCGAGTATTTTAAATACGCCCTTCAAAATGTCTGTCTTCGGGAGTGGATGTGAAAAAATGCGATTATTTTCATTTGACTCCTGACCCTTCAACTTCGAAAGAGCAATTCAAACGACGTGCTTGTTACCACGAAAAGCTTAGGCCTAGTGGAACATTCATTAAGAACCTTGGGAGCTAACTCGACCAAGTTTTATTTTCGCGGAGGCTCCACCCTAAGGTCTAACCGCTTACCACTTCATATACCATTTTTAAAGGGACAAGTTCACGGTTCAGCGCATGCTCGTTAATCAAAATGTTGTTTTTCTACCGGGACATGCTGTATCGTCTATGAAAGCAATATGATCATGTCATAATATTGTCAAACAACCAATCTGTACACTCCCCTGGCAGTCACTTGATCAACTTAGGTACAAATAGCTGTAAATTAATCAACCATAAAACCTTCGGGTCAACAATAAATTCGGCGTTGGTAGTATAGTGTTGGCATAATCCACTAATTTTCCTGCGATTTTAACATTCCTCCATCCCACTTCAGGTTACTCTGAAATACACGGGGATCAGGAAAAGGGGCATATTTTGAATCCTATATGCTGTCTTACCGAAAAGGAGATGTATGATGTATATTTCATCAAAATAGAGTGGTTTTCGTTTGAGTGTCGTAAAACCAAAACCAAAGTAATTACTCTGGCCAATCACATAGGACACAGACAATACATTGAACCAATCAAAACTCGAAGTAATTACACGTGGCTGACGCAAAGCGCTTCACAATTGGCTTTGGTTTTACTTCTGATTGGATGAAAAGGTGGCGCGAATCTTTTAAGCCAATCGCATCGTGTAGAAAGTGCAAAACCAATTACTTTTCGACACTCAAATGAAAACCGCTCTAAAACTATACGCAGCAATATCAGTACTTCGACGAGAGACGGGAGTATAAATCCGTCTACGAGAATTTGACCTACCTGACGTCATTTTGATTTTAGTGGAACTGAAGTCTTCAGTTTCCGGCCCTTAACACTATCTCCAAAGTAAATACGCAGAAAAAAAATCAACTTAACTTTCAGTTTCTGGAGGGTCAAAGTCCGTGTGATGCTGACGTTTGAATTTTCACGGCACCAATATTTTGAACCTGATTTAGCGCCGAAACGTTAACAAACAGTATGCAATGGCTGTATCGTGATGATGAAGTAACTTTGTATATATATAGGTTTTAGTTTATGTTCTGTGTTGTATGTTGTATGTTTAGGCAGTTGTTTGAGGTTCAGTGTTTTCGTGTTTTCCCCCTGCTGTGATATTCCAAGACAGAGCTTTCGAAAGAGGAAAAAAAAGTACAGACACACTTGTCCTTGTAGTTACTAACTATAAACAAAAACACATTATCCGTGGCATAACATGTGAGGCATTTGACTGTGATTCCTTTCAAAAAACAGAATGTTCTGAAACCTGAAAGAAACTCGCGAAAAATCTTATTTCTCAGTTTTTAAAATTTCAGAAAAGGTTTTGGAAAAAAGTGTTGAATGGCGAAGGGCTGAACTTCATGATCAGAGGGCTAAGCTTGAAGCGGACTAACTGTCTCAGTGTTTTCGATAACTGTCTCAGTGCCTACTTCTACCTTAACAAAACTGTTAAACGGCATGCTGGACTCTATGACACGGTCATGGGTTGACAAGGAAAGCATGTGAAGAGTACATGTTACTCGCAGCTCTGTCTTCATTCCTTCCATCCAGGGCTTTTTCCTAAGGAAAGGGAAAAACCCTGGGAGCGAGGCTTCGTGGCATTTTCGGCAGAGCAACTGACGATAGATCTAATCCGGAGGTCGTGTGTTTCGAATCCCACCGATTTGAAAAGTCTTTTTTGTCTTTACTTCATGTCATTCTCCTAATTCCCTTTGCTAGGGCAAACGCTCAGGGCTATCTATAGCACTTGAATTTTCACCGCAGAGTTAATTCTCTGTCCCATCATTGGGTCTTGAGATGGTTTAGCCTCACGACCTGCAACAAGAGCCTTTCTCTTCCACGAAGAAACCAGGAGATTTCTAGCGGCTGACATTTCTGAGTTAGGAGCGAGATTAGCAATGTTTGCATAGGTAGAAGTCGTCATGTCAAAACACCGCGGTGGTCGTGCTTGGTAATCACTCTGACGGCTAGAGTCCTATTATCCTCTATTGCTCTAGCCAATCACAGGGCGTGCTGACCATCACGTGACATATATTAACCAATTACAGGTCGAGTGTAAATCACTTTTCTGTTTTAGAATTGGTTAATTGCTACTGCAAAATTTCACATTACGAACGACTCCCAGAATTATCTTTAGAATCTTGGCCTATATCGGTACTTTCCTTAGAGCCAGTTAAATTACTTAATTCTGAATCAATGGACATTTTTGGGCCACAGAACAAACAAGGAAAATGCAACTGAAGAAATGACTTGAATCGAAAACATCGGCAAAAGGTAATCAAATCAACTGATGTCATGAGACATCATCAGCTTGGCTCGGACCCCATTTTCTCGATGTCCAAAATTGAAACAAGTTATTTCGAGGACACATTTTTGAACTTCAGAACTATTAAATACACTCAATGAAGGACCAAAAAATATGGGTTAACTACCCTTCAAGCCACACACTAAAAACGGGATTATATCACCTTTGTTGGTTTTTTTTTTTTGCGTGATTTTTTTCTAACGAACACTTTTGTCGATGGATTACCCGGAGACTACACCTTGGACATGAGCTGACTTGGCTGTGTACCCGAGGGGTTCAATATTCATCAGATTGGTAGCCCGTGAATCCGTGAAGTCGATGCGTGCATGGGTTTCACAGAAGATCACCCTCTATAGGGCTATTTACAACGAAGGAGGAGGATTCTAGCAGCAGCGGAAGATTCTAGAAGGTGGATCATCCTAGCGCCATATGTTGTTTTTATTCTAGACTGCAACACAGTCCGTATTTTTGAGTGTTCAAGTACGCGCGAGCAGTCGAACAAAAGGTCTGCAACGAGGCTGAGAACAGAGAGCGAGACTCTTACGCCACGCTTTACCGATTTCTTTACTGATTTTGAAAAAAACCCGACTGTTTTGCAGTCTATTTTTATTCATGATCAATCTACATGTAAAGGGATGTACTTGTCCCTAGCGCCGGGTCTCTAGCGCTAGGATCTTTCTAGCTCAGTGAGAGAGGAACGAGATGAAGGAAGATCCTAGTACTAGCGACAAACCAGACAAAAATGGCGGCGGTGATTATGGCCTGTAATTAAGCCAGCCGACCATTTCGTTTGGCGTTACCACGAGCTAATATCTGGGATAATTCTGCTAAAAAGTGGTCACTAACGCCAGTAAAGAGAGCAGAAACGCACAAATTGTATTTCTGTTTTTGTCGCGCGCCATCCTAATTACTTCTCTACTTGAGCACCTCACGGACCGAAATTTCTGCATTTAAAACTAGCGAAAAGTTGTTCTGCCTTCAATATTCCTCCACCCCCCGCTTGTACAGATCGGGAGCCGCCGTTTCTCCTAGCTTCTCGCCGCCAGGGACGTTTCGCCAGGAGAAAACCAGGGGCACCCAACGACTGTTTTCTTTAAAATATCTGTTCGGAGAAGCAAATATTGCCTAGAATTTTTATACTACTTGACGAGGGCTGAAAATCTCTAGATGACCGTTCCATTAATGTACAATTTTCGAAGCTTATCTAATAAATTCCCTACGATTTTCTGAAGTTTAATCTTCCCATTTTACTTCGCAAGCTAGGCTATTTTTCATTGAAAAAAGGAAACCTACAATCTTTGGATTCAAAAATGTGATGGAGAGACGAATTAGAAAATGTCTCACTTTCGTAATGCGTCAAATTTCACCTAAAATTTTCGGGGAAATAATGCTCAAGCCCTTGTAATTTCGAAAAGACACAAGTTCCCCTAGGATGACCGAACAGAAACAAATTTTACAGTGCCGCTCAGAATGCTTTTCTAGAGATCTAAAAGTACTCTGGATAGCCTAAAAAGTGTAATTTTCAATGTATTTGGGAGGAAACTGGCGCTGGCCGGGTGCCCCTGAGAAAACGTCCTTAGCGGCGAGAACTAAGAACGAAAAGTCCAAAGACTACTGCAAAGCTGAATGAAAACAACATATATTGTTTTTTATAACAATATTTCGGCTGGCCATACCAGCCTTCTTCAGGTTTACAGATGTTACTGAACTTATGTAGCCATCACAATATTATATATATATAGATGGAGAATGTCGCAATAAAAATTGTTTAAAAGGGAGAGGCGGAAATGAGGCCAGCAAGGAGAAATGGCTGTATTCGCAGGCTACACACTACCTAGATCAACGGAAAATTCTAAACCTCCCAGTCTTCAAATCGCTAATTTAGCATTCCGACTCTGGTCTTTACCGAAATTGGAAAAAAAATATGATAAAAATTAAGGGGATCCTTTCATCCTCTTTTGTAGAAATATTTGGGCCAAAGTCCATCACTTAACATCACTAGCTTAATTAAAGCCAATGACAAAATAATAACATCCTTCCTGTTTGATTATTGATTGTGTTGTCTTTTTCAAAGGGAACTTCCTAAAATAAAGGTCGAGTCGCCCCAGTTGTTTTTCTTTTCATTGGTGCATGGTAAAAAGTCTTTACTCCTCGTTATACATCTAAACCCCTGAAATGCAAAGAAACAAGATTTATCTGGAAATACACCCGTCCAATTTTTTTTTCAAACGTCTTAACATTCGAAAAGTTTCGAGAGCTTATTTAGATTTTTTTAGTTAAGTTGGCAGAGTTTAAAAGGGGCAAAAAGCCAACACGCAGTGAATACGCACAAACAATGACGGATGAAAGCAAACGAGAGAAAAATAGTAGGTTTTTTGTATTTATATTATTTCTTAAAATAGGTATTCAAGACGCTAAGTCGCCGGCGCTCTTGGCCTATGCAATGCGCAAAAATTAGGAGCCATATTCGGGTTCCTGCGAACTGTACTGTACAATACAGTACAGCGAATAATTTTGCAGTCTCAGGAGTCTACATACAGTCCCTCAATGAACCATTTCTAAGAGGAAGATAACAATGACAGGTTGTGGCGTCCAGAGGTTTTAGTGAAAACAAGGGTTTGGGTGGGGTTTTCAGTCTCGCGGAATCATAATACCTGGTCGGGGTGGTTCTTATCGAAAGATTTAGATTTTCTTTTCAAGATCACCCAAGCCTCCGTTTGAAAACGAGGGTCAGTGCAAAGTATTTGATATAACGATGACTTTTTTTATTCTCATGCAAAAAAAAAGCTCACTTCGACCACACACAGGTTTAATTTGTACTCAGCCTTGACAGCGATGGTTCCTGGAACATTGCCAGTGCGAAGATTTTGGGGATTTACTCTTTTTAATCAGTGATGGAGTAGTATGTATTATGTCATCAAAATGTTGAGCAAAAATAGCGGGAATATTTACCATGCGTGAGCCCATTCCTTCTCCACCCCCAAGAGAGCTCTTCTGTGCATGCTAACGATGAACCTTGACCGACCTTGGTGGTGCCACTCACGCAATACAAACTCGGTTATGTAAACCCTTCTATTTATTAGTTTATCCAACAATAACACTCGCGGGATCAATAACTCTCTTTGTGGAAAAACCACATCCTTTAGGTCAAAGTCCGCCAAAAACCAATTATTTATTGCAAGAAACGTTGGGTTGAAGTTGGCATTTTCAGCTACCGTGGTCTTCCGTGCGATTCAGTGGATTTACTAACTAAAGTTAATAATCTTGCGCATCCTATTCAGAAGTTTTTTTACTCACATCAACTAAATTTTCGTCATAATAGTCCAGGTAAGTGTCTGATCTATTGATTTTAATCTGCTTCACACACAGTTAAATCAGTCATGTCACTTAATATAGTCGATACAAAAACTGAGATTTCCCTAAGGACACGAATGACGGGAAAATGTTCCATAGCGAAATCTGTTTTACGTATATTAACAAATTTTCGACTTTCGTTGTTACTGGAGAAAAGGTCACCTTCATAGGGTACTCACAGTATTTCTTTTGCGGTTTCGTAATTATAGTAGGTTTTCTCACGCAACCTGTATGCCCTACGCTGAAGTCAGCTTAGGAGACAAATTCTCTGGCATAACTAAGACCTCCGTTGCATCTTCCCGTGGCCAATGAATCTCTTTCCTGAAATCCAAATTTTTAGTAACATTCAAAACCCTTTGCCTCCACCTGTTAATGTTAGTCTCTATCAGACTCGATCAAACTGTCTTAGGTTTAAAAAGAATTGATTTCGAATGAAAAACAACATTCGATTAACTTTCCTCCTCGTAAAACAACCTACTCAAATCGTGCATGGGTTTCTGGTTGATCAAGCAAGCTTTTAAAAAAAGAAGAAACAACTATATTTTATTTTGTAAATTTATATTTACAGATACCTGTAAAAGTCTTAGCGATGTAATTGTCCGTTTCGGACATTATGGTCCGCAGTCAGTAGTTTTTTTCGCGTCCAGTACACTGATCAAAACTGCTTCTGCGACTTCGGAACAAAAAGAATCTGACGATATTGGGGGTTTCAAACCTTTTCCGTGGGAATAATTAGTAAGAGATATATACCGTCTTCTTTTCATTGAAACTGTGGTCAATGTGTGGGAGGACAAGCACAGTTTACAAGGTGACCCAAGTCGGGCAAAAAAAGTAAAAAAAAAAAAAAAAAACGGGTTAAAAGTTGAGTAGCCAAGGAAACACCACAAAGACCCTATCCCACTGTAGTCTGGCAGTAGGAGCACGTCGTTTTGGTCTCCATCAGTGCAACGAAGAACAGGTATAGTGTGGGACAAGAAGAGTTCCTTGCTGGGCAAGTAACGAAGAGGAACATAAGTGGCCATGGGGAAGCAGAATGAAAGAGCTACGTAGCTGCTTTTCCAAAGGACAAGCTGGAATTCAGGTCATTTTCTTTTCGTCGAGCCCTGCTTCGAAACCGAATAGATATTTTTATTTTTTTTATGACCATATTTCTTTGACAAAGTTTGCCCTAAGAGTAAAACAATTCATCAAGAGGGCTCACTTCGAAAAAACATTAAATAAAAAAAATTATACTAGAAATAGTTATCAGTGGGTGAGTTATGCAATTCTGAGTCAATTTCCCCGGCATTGGCCGGGTCTCAAACCCTTTTTTCTTAGTTTAATTGCAGTTAGTACCCAACACAAGCGTGGGCAAAATATGCTGTTAAGTTACTGTTTTTGTAAAAAAGAAAAGAAAGGAAAATCTCTGCAAAACTATGTCCAGGGGTACCCAACGACGGTTTCCTCCTAAATGCATTGAAAAGACTTTTTAGGCTATCCAGAGTACTTTTAGATCTCTAGGAATGTATAATAAGAGGCGCTAAAAAATTTATATCTATTCGGTCATCCTAGGGCAACTTGAGTCTTTTCGAAATTACAAGGGCTTCAGAATTATTTTCCCGAAAATTTTAGCGGTAATTTTAAGTTTTACGAAAGTGATAGTTTTTCTGATTCCTCTCTGCGTTGCATTTTCGATTCCGAAAATTTTAGGTCTCCTTTCTCTACGAAAAATAGCCTAAACTGGGGAGTGAAATGGGGAAAAAACTTTAGAAAATCGTAGCGAATTTATTAGATAAGCTTCGAAAGTTGTACACGAATGGAACGGTCATCTAGAAATTTTTAGCCTTCCTCAAGCTATAGAAAATTCTAGGTAATTTTTGCTTCTCCGAACAGATATTTCACAGAAAACAGTCGTTGCGTGCCCCTATATGTTTCAGTCATTCTCCTGAGTATAATAAAGGGTTGAAATTTGTCAACCTTGGAAGTGGAAACCACTGCGTTTTGCCAGAGTAGTAAAATATAAAACTTATATAACACGAATCTGTGAAACTTATATAATACGTGAAATGTTTAACACGAGTTGTAGATGGGGCCTAAATAATTAAAATTTCTAAACTCGACCACTGTTCAAATTTTATTCACTGTAGGCATGATTGTGAGATCCTGATACAATGTGATTTATACGCTGCCATTTTGTATCAAATACTGAGTTCTCTCGCACGATTTCACTGTTTAAACGTGGTAAAGATGTGGATATGTGGATAGTTTGCATTGCAGTTAAAATAGTTTGAATTGCATTTTGAAAGATCGGAAGTGATCGCATTCAGCGTAGACATTGTACGTGCCGTAGAACTCAATTACACCCACGACATTTTTAGCACGCACGTGATTTTCATCAGATTACAGTACAAAGTGCTTGTAATCCTTGTGTGCAAGGGTGGCTATCGGACTTTGGCCATGGAAGATAGATATATCGGGAAATAATGTCAGTCTTTTATTTTAATAATTGGAAATCCTACCTTTCAGTAAACGATCACTGATCGATAAATGTCAGATAAGGTAGTCGCTTAACAAAGGTCGATCTGAATCATCCCGGGACCCTCGTGAGATGTACGTATTATTTTAAATAGAGAGGTAGCGAACCCAGTAGAATTGGAAGTGAGATTATGCGCGTTTTGTGACATTCTATGTATACAGTATTCTTTTTTTCTTAGATGTGGTAGATGAAAAGTGCGGAAAAGTTAGGCTCCATGCTGCGATGCCTTAAACAGTTTCGCCAATTTTCCTTTTTTTTTTTCGCCACTCATGTGACTTAATTGTCGGTTAATTCTTACTTAACTGTTGAAGCATTAAATGCGAGTGTTGTGAGTGCTTTTTTGGGTTGTTTTGATTTGATTTAGATATTTTTCATGCTCAATTGAGTGAAGGCTAGTAGGGAAAGCCGAAAAATTAAGTAAGCTTCTTATGAAATACGTGCCATGCATTGCCCTTAACGGTAAGGAGATTTTTCGACCCAAAGATACTTGGCCGTAGTCATCTTCTGTAGATAGTAGTAGTTTGTTGACTACAAAGGAACATCATGACCGAATCACGACGTTGATCCGATAAGGGTATTAGGACGCTTTTTTAGATCAGTGTTATACTATCTGTTGTTTTTGAACTTGTTAGGAAATGCTGGATCGAGAATCGACGTGGAAAAATATCTCAGTCTGAATGCTTGTGCACGCGCGTTCGACCTAAAAGCACGCGGACAGCCACACCATCAGTTGCCTTTGTGATATCACTTTCTTTCAGCGTGGACCGCAAAACTATATAATTCGAGTTCACTCGAACTGTGTTTCTTCAGAAATCTGGGAAAAGAAGCAGCTTAAGAGGAGATTTTATCCTGCGATTGCGCTGCTTTCACCGACTGGCACGCTCAACTTTTAGGTAAATTTTGCTTAAGACGCATTTTTGCTTAATTATTTTAAGTTATTATTCAATTGTCTTTGCAGTGATCTGTACTTTAATCAGGGTATTTCTGGTTAGATAGACGTCAGACAAGAGAATCGTTCCTCTGTTACGCAAAGTGTCGTAGTAATTCTTGGGGTCCTGAAAGAGTATTGTATACCTAAAAACTAAGCCGGCGTTAACTGTAATGATTATGCTGACCAATGTTTTTCTACCGAACAGAAAAATCGCTTTGGTTTTAGACTCAAAATAACGCACTAAATAGCCATAATTGTGTCGAGTAGTCACAAATTAATAGAGCTATGTATCGTTCGTCATAAAAAATAACGTCTGGGAAGCGCTGAAAATCTAAATGTGTTTAATTTGAAGTTTATCAACTGTAAATGAACTTGTGCAGGTCTGCCTCATAACAACGAAAACTAAGCGAGATTTCAAAGCAAATGGTATGCGGAATTAAACTTTCCCGATTTCTTGCTTTCTTTGTTTTAGCTCAGGGTAAATAATATTGCGCAACAGCATGACCTAATTCGTGATTTTTAGCACGGGCTAAATGAAGTTTTTTTTTCGTTTGGCATGGCACCCCTTGAAGGTCAACAGTAGCCAATATTAAGTTAGTCTCCTTCGCATCCACTCGCCCTGAGAAGCTCTCAAAACGTTTGATTTGGTGAGTTATTAAGAGGTAAGAAAAGAACAAAACGAGTTTACTAACGCTGCCCGATCATTGAATGATCTCTCTATCCGAGTAACAGGTAGTTTAGATTCATGCCGTAACAAACTGAATTGATTAGATTCATGTATTTGGGTAGACGGAAGTGGAAGTGTTTATTGCGTAAAAATTCTTGAATCTGTTAATTAAAAAAATACTTAACATCATCGAGTTCAATTAGTTCGTCCATATAGATTTGACACTTTACTGCGAAAATGTCCTCAAACTTTCTTAATTCGCAGATTGTAATTTAACTACAAAACGGCAAGGTTTTCATTCGTGTTTCTCATGTTCTTTATCGGGTTATTTGCTCTATTACAACTCATGCAGGCATACCCAAGTTAACCGAAAAGGTAGCATTCAGTGCTATGGGAAAAGTTTATAAAGTTTTCGTTTATAGTGTTCCGCAGTGAACAATTCAGCACTAAATTTAAGTAAACCGTATACTGAGACTGTAAACGGCCTTATTTCCTGGTGCAAGGAATGCGTACATCAATCATTTAGTTCTGTTTACTGATTATGCTTATCCAGTCGCTCTGCGATTGGCCTGTCCGTTGTTTGCTTGTTAGTGGGTTCTGAGTGACATCGTTCGACCGATCTGAAACCTTGTAACATTATGTTACATCGTGTAAGATCGGCTGTACGCAGTCACTCAGTACGATCTAAATACTCAAAAAAACATTAAAAGCAGTGAAGAGAAGAGACGAAAAGGAATTTTAAAATTCACAGTCAGACACATTCGCATTCATATGATGTGGTTCCTTCCGTAGATAGAAAAACCTAATCGAGGTGGGCAGAGATTCCTAACTTGTACACGATGAATGAATCAAATAGGAATAATTAATAATTTTATTGCAACAACAGGGAAACATTAACAAACTACATAGAGGAGTTACAGGAAATATAAAGTTAAACAATTACAGGATTTTAGGAAGAAAGTGGGTAGGAATAAAGTGTGAACTTTCAACCTTCTTGGACCTTTACGCTTTAAAATTAAGAGTCTTACTAGGAATGTACTCCACAGGGCTAAAACTTTTAAGTTTCACAAAGAAAAAAGAAATTTCATATAACCAATGCTGGCCATTTTTCACAGCCCCAGCTTAATTGCATTTCATAGTCGATTTATAGATATAAAGTCTGCACTGATTTCTGGATCAATGTGGATTAGTCTCTGAAATTGGTGCTAAGTTAAATTTCAGTTGTAACCAGTTTTTGACACTGTAAACAATAAATGTTTTGACGAAAAAAAAAGACTAAACTTTGAATTCTTAAGACATATATGCTTCCTCCTCCCTAAAACAGCTATCTCGTGAGAACCTCGAGATTTATTCTTTGGCATTTCATCAAAGGGGCCCATAGGCCACTCTATTTCCGTCAAGTTTGCTTACTTTCGTTTACTGCGTGCGGCACTATTCCTGAATGATTCCTTTTTCTTATTATATCATATTTTTTTTCTTCAAAGGAAACGCCTCCGATTGACTACAACGAACTGAAATAATGGAAAAAACGTACTTCAACGTGGTTGCAATTGTCTTCATCGGTGTTTTTTCAAGTACGTATATATTTTGTTTTATTTATTTTATTGATATTCACATTATTTACAATATTACAAAAACATTTACAATAGACATTCACTAACAAACAATACACTAAGTCTAAATTAATCGTTAAATTATTACAGTTCTAAAAGAAATTAAGACAGAATCCATCAGAAAATTCACTAATATTAATTTTCAGTCGACAAAAACCTTGTACCAGAATAATTTAAAAAATATTGCATTATTTTTTTACATTTTTCAAGGGCTAAAGATGTAGTTAGTTGTCCGTAATAACACCAAAGAATATTTCTTATGAGAGCCCGAGAAAATAAATGTCAAATTTCACAAAATGACGTCTTACACACGAAATTATCCGAATTTTACCTGTGTCTTCACAATTTCCCATGAGAAATAGTTAAGGCGTTTCATATTGGGAGTAAGTATATATTGATTATAGTAGATTATAGCTGTTTCAATGCTCAACAGGCTCTTCCCATTTAGGCGAGTTTTCGCAAGAACGTACAATAGCCATTGAGGTTTGCGTTAATCACTTAACATGCTTTTTGTTTGTATAGGTATATATTCACAAGACATTTGCCCCAGTGGTCCATTGATGTTCGCTTCAGTAGGTGACAATGTCACCTTATGCTGGCAAATAACAGCAAAAATAAACGAGCTCGAGAAATACCTAAGACTCTTCACAGTTTTGGCCTTAATAAGACCAGGCCAGGTTCAGATGCAAAAAGTGGCATCGGCGAACCAGAATGGAACTTTTGTCAGAACATATGAGAGCTATCACCTCGGTCTGTACAAGGATAGGGTTACTGTAGACGCTGATTTACAAGCCGGGAAACTGTTTTTAAGAATCACAAATTACACCAACCAGATGGAAAACGTGTACTGCGTGTTGTACGAGATGACAATTATCAATGACGTACGATCTTGTTTCGCTAATGCAGTTATTCTCCGAACTAAAGGTAACTTACAAAAGGAAGCTCAGATTATTTGCTTTATAGTTCAGAAAGGTGATTTAAGTTAAAATATTTCAAAAAATTACCGTTCCCCACCTTTCTTTAGTCCGTCGAGAGCGCGTATAAAAATAAAAAACGACATTGACAGCCGTTTTGTGCGCCTGCGGTTCTATGCGCCATTTGGGATAAGAAGTTTTCTTCCTTATCCCTCAAACGGCTATAACCTTGCTGTTACGTTTACGCGCGACCTTCCATATATCGCCTCTGGTTTATTTACGCGCGTAAAAATTATGCGAGAGTGGGAATCCACCCTAACACACGTGATGTAAACGCACCAATGACATTACGAGTCTTCATAGCCAATAACATCACGGCTTAACTGACAGACGACCAATAACAACGCGACTTATTTGACCAATCAGGTCAATAACCAGAGTTTAATACCATCAACTGACGTGATACAACTCACTTTGACTCTATTCAGGACTACGTTCACCCGGACGATCATACTCAACCTACTTATGAAACGTGATATAGACGGTGCGCCCATACACCCTCCCTCCGCTGTCGAGTTGCCATCAGTGATCCGTTATACGGGTATTTAAAGTTATCTTAAGCTACACGGAAAGGAAAAAAAACGAAGCAAGGATTTGAGGTCACACCTGGGAACTGAACTCAGGACTTCTCGCTAGGCCTTTCCCGATTGTGCTCGGCAACTTTTGAGCAACTTTTGGCGTTTAGAGCAACTTTTTGCGGTTCTAGCAACCTCGAGCAAATTTTGCCTTTCTGAGCAACTTTTGAACAAAATATAGGTTTAGAGCACATATCAAGCACGAACAAGTCAACGATTTCACGGAAAACTTCAACTTTTAAAATTTTTTTAATTTTTTTTTTCTTGGCCGATGTTAGTAATTATTGTGAAGAACGTAAAAATAAAGCTTTTAATTAACGTTTATATAAAAATATCAAGAAATTTAGGTGGCAACTTTTGAAATTTAGGTAGCAACTTTCTGGATTTTTGACCAATTTTTTAGCACCTTTTTGGCATTCCAGTGAGCAACTTTCCAGCATTTTACGAGCACAATCGGGAAAGGCCTACATGTCGCACAGAAGGCCCCGCACTTACCAATTGTGTTCATCCTTTCTCCTTTTAAAAATAAGATAATATGTGGTAAAAAACACATATTATTATATTAACACCAATGAAATACCAAGTGAGCTTTCGCGCGAAAACTTGATATCTTCACATGTGAAAATAACATGTTATCTTCACATGTAAAATTATCACCGTTGCTATGGCTTCTTAATAAACCGCACCTTTCAGACCAAAAAACTATTTAAGTAAAATGGTGTGGTATTTCATTTGTGTTTATATAATAAATAGAACATTACATGGTCGCTTGGAGATACCAAATTTCTCTTCTCGTGTTGAAAAAAATATGCGCTCACTCGCGAAATATTTTTCAACACTCAAAGAGAAATTTCGTATCTCCGCGCGGCCATGTAATATCCTCTATTTATTTAGATAAAGTTGTTGATTTATTTTGCTCTTTAATTGTTAGTTGCAGGTCCTGATCTTCCCACAGGTAGTTATGTGAATAGCACGGCAAGTGCAATGAATTCAACAGAAACCCCGCAATCAACTGAAGGTAAATGAATAAAAAAATGAATGAGTGAGCCAAAATGCTGCGTACCTTACGTACTACTAAGAGAAATTAAAATACTTATATTTAACATTGTTCATTTTTTTGGTATTTTTTATTTTCCCCGTGCTGTCATTTTGAACAACCGCAACTAATGTTCAGCGTTCCTTGTATGCAACATGAATGATAGCAACCGAAAAACGCCATGATCATCCAAAATCACTAGAGTAATGGAGATTTTCATGGAAGTAATTTTCATCTCAGTTTTTCGTCCACTAAATGCTAGAATGCTTAAATGCAAAATAACAAATCGGAATTTTTACCTTTTCTGGCGATTCGTCACTTCAGAAACTAGAGGAAAGCTGAGCCAAGTCAGCTTTCGCAAAGACTTCTGGGAGTTTTACTAATTGGCCAATAGCTGACCGGTGCGTACCCAGGTAACAATCCCGGAAACCATTGCGGACGTTCCCTTCTCGTTTCTATGTTAAATGCTGAAAAAATTAAAGGTCAAATTGTTATAATATTTTGATTTGTATTAAATTTTGTAGTTATTTTCTCCAGTTTAGTACGTGATTCCATCTGTTAATAACAATTTTCTAAAGGAATATGTTACTAAAGAGGAGAGGGTCACATCTTGGTTAACTAATATCCTGCCCTTACTACAATTATTGTTGTTATGATAAAGGAAAAGAATAGTTAATTCTATCACGTATGGAAGAAGATTACATAGAAAAACGTAGTATAGATGAAATGTATATAGCAAAGCAGAATTTGTTACATACGATTCAAAGTCATCTTCTTCCACTTTTTTCCCCTTTCTTACTAGACATTGTAGTTAATTTTTTTTCCTCAACTCGCAGGGTTATCGAAAGCGCGGCCATCCAACTTGCTGACCGCTGACCTACAATAATATTTTTGCTCTTTTCCTTTCTTTCATAGGGGAAACGGAGATCCGAACAGGAGAAGATTACCGCACCGAACTCATCATCGTGAGCACTGTCCTGGGTGTATTCTTGGTTGCTGTGGTCTGTTTTGTAGTCTGGAACAAGAGACGGGAGGTTGCGAGAGAGTCATCGATCCAACAGAAAAAGACCATAGACTTCACGGCAGGACCAACATCAAATCCTCCCTTGAAAAATAATAACTTAGTATAACTCTCTATGAATTTCATTGCTGTAAATTTTTATCATGGAGCAGACAGACACAGACTATGGAGCAGACAATCAAACAGACAGAGACTAAAAACTTTACGATAGGAAATGCTTAGCTTGTTTCCTTGAGAAATTTTAACTTAAGATAGCTGTGAATCAATTCGTTGTAAAATTTTACAATAGAGCTTGTACGTATTAATGGATACATATTTAACTTAATATCTATTTTGAAAAAAAAGGAAACTTACATAATTGTTTTTACGTGGGCCATGTCATTAAATTAAACCTTACTTGTTTTCACTGGTCTCTTATAATTTGCCAAGAGATAATGATCTTTCTCTCTTGAATTTGCCTAGTGCTCCTAAATCGTTTAATCCGCACGGCCTGTGCGTTTCGGGTCACCTGGTCCGAGCTAGTTTGTCTCTAGGCTACATCACCGGGGCTACATCGCCGAAATGCATTGACCCGGAGAAGGCCTGGGAAGACGCAGTCCTTGTACTAGACTAGGACTTATATATGAGGACTTAAATGCAGGGAAGTTGAAGAGCCTGGATAAAGAGGGGGGGGGGGGTAGGGGGGGTGAAAGACCTTTTTGTACCCTTTTATGCCCGCTTTCCAGATTTCGTTGGCCAAAAAATCCAATAGGTTGGCTTCATGGAGTGTGACGAATCAATAATTTTCAGCGCCAAAAAGGATAGTTTAATGTGGTATCTTTAAATTTTATTTATTTTTTAAGGTAAAACTTGGGGGGGGGGGGTGGGGGTGGTGAAAGACCTTTTTGTACCCATTTATGCCCGCTTTCCAGATTTCGTTGGCCAAAAAATCCAATATGGTGGCTTCATGGAGTGTGACGAATCAATGATTTTCAGCGCCAAAAAGGATAGTTTAATGCTGTATCATTTAACTTTATCTATGTTTTAAGGTAAAACTTTGCTATCATCTTGGGTAGACTGTTCTCAGTCCTCTATTTTTTCGTGAGATCGTCGAGATATAGCGCGTCTAACCGTTAATGGCGGCCATCTTGATTTTCAAATGTACCGAGGGGGCGGGCGTCGGGGTTAACTTCCCCACCCCCTAAGTAGTTTTGACACTCCTGCAAGATGGCAGCCCGTGACGCAAAGCGCTCGATCTCGGCGATCTTACGGAAAAATAGAGAACTGTGAACAGTCTACATCTTGGGCAAAGAGGACGCCAGATGTAGCCACTTAAGTGCCAATAAAAATGCAGTTTTTGTTCGTTTAAGCTCAGAGTATGCAGGATGGTAGAACTGTGTATTCCAACAATCGCATGTTTTTTGTTTTTCGATTTTAACGGGTTTTAACGGGAAAATAACGTCACAAGATTGATATGACAGCAAAAATAAATTTTAACTGATGGTGTAACAAATAGGTAATTTTGAAAGAGAATACGAGATAGAAACAAATGTGAAAAATTGTTTTGAAAAACTCAATTGCTTTAGGAGATATAGCATTTCGAAATGTGCCTTTGTTTCTAAAAATAGTAACAAAATGGCGGGAATTTCAAAAATCAAGTCTTAATAATTCTTTAACCAATTGAGCTGTTCACAATCGTTACTATTTCGTCACCCTCTTTCAAAATTACCTCATTGTTACGCGTTTTCTTTGGACTGAGCTGGCCTTCTATTGATATCTAACTTGGAAACGAACCCTCTGAAGCAAAACTCCAAAGTAGACTTTTCAAGAAGGCGTGAGAAATCAGTTGTCAACTGGTGAGAGCGTTAGACAGGTCGCGAAATCGTGAGACTCACGACAAAGTCGTGAGACTTGGCTAGTCTGCGATTCACCCCATGTGAGCGTATCCAAGACATTCCTAGATTCTGGATTCCTCAACGCGGATTCTGGAACTAATATTCTTGATTCCAATCGTTAGTGGGATTCCGGATTCCTTGAGCTGTATTCCGGATTCCAAAACCCAGGATTCCAGATTCCAAAAGCACAATTTTCCTGGATTCCGTATTCTACAAGCAAAATTTTCCCGGATTTCGGATTCCGGAATCCGGAATGCAGATTCCGGATTCCTTTGCATGGGGCAAAGCAATGCTTAAGTATTTAAGAGAGTCAGAATAAATACAGACAAGTAACGGGTCAAAGGAAATCAGTTTTTTTAATGACCACTTGGTTAATATATTGTTTATATAAAACTATCAAATGAGAATGTGTACTTACACCGTATAAAAACATTTGACTACGAATTCCAATTCCATAAAACGTGTTCTTTTTTTTATACATTATGGAATTCTGTTGCATTGTTGTAATCATGATTATGGTCCAATTCAATTCTAGTAAAATTGTACAAAAATACACAAAAACATGTGCTGACAATTTTCTTTTGAGAAACCTTAGTTTTTGATTTATAAACAAATATTGTCAATACGAAAATATAGAACAGATTCTAACTTTAATACAAAAATAACGCATATGAACGTTTTCAAATCGAAAAAAGTCATGAGAAAAAGATCACGGGAAATTTGGTAAGCTTTTGTATTGATTTTCTAACTACTTAAAAATATCGAGCGATTCTTCTGTTACTAAGTTCAATACGTTCGTTGTTTGAACTCTAATGAAACATTCTCCCTCGTGTTTGATTAGATTTTTACGTCCGACAGACGAACTACGATGTCAACTGATACTCTAACCTATCAAAACACTTCAATTTTCGCCTCATCAGCGTAGACTGTACATGTAGCTATAAAAATATTCATAGAACGTATAAGTATAGGTAATAGCATGATTTGTAGTGATATTTGGCATAAATACCACGAGTGATATTTCAAAATTGTTATACGTAATTTCACGAGCCGTTAGGCGAGTGAAATTTGAGACAATTTTGAAATATCANATAACGCATATGAACGTTTTCAAATCGAAAAAAGTCATGAGAAAAAGATCACGGGAAATTTGGTAAGCTTTTGTATTGATTTTCTAACTACTTAAAAATATCGAGCGATTCTTCTGTTACTAAGTTCAATACGTTCGTTGTTTGAACTCTAATGAAACATTCTCCCTCGTGTTTGATTAGATTTTTACGTCCGACAGACGAACTACGATGTCAACTGATACTCTAACCTATCAAAACACTTCAATTTTCGCCTCATCAGCGTAGACTGTACATGTAGCTATAAAAATATTCATAGAACGTATAAGTATAGGTAATAGCATGATTTGTAGTGATATTTGGCATAAATACCACGAGTGATATTTCAAAATTGTTATACGTAATTTCACGAGCCGTTAGGCGAGTGAAATTTGAGACAATTTTGAAATATCACAGGTGGTAATTATGCCAAATATCACGTACAAATCATGCTATTATTTGTTTATACCACTACCCGCAAAAGGTCTGTAATTTTCAAATGTAGGTATTTCAAATTAAGCTGAAATACCACTGCTCTAAGCCAATCAAATTGGAGAAATTTCTCATGTAGTAGTATAATAATTAGGAATCTCTGAAAATATAAGCCCGATTTACTAGATACTCTCTGCAGAGCTGCTTTGGAAAACTTAAAATTTTACAACAAAAAGTTTGGCTCATTAGCGTTTTTTGGTCAATCATCAACAACAGAGCTTTTTCACTCACGTGGTTAGCAGATATGCGAATGTATTGGAATAAATTAAAGTGTTTACTTAAGAGAAAAGTTTACCTTCCATAGGACTGGTTAAGAACACCAACATGGTCACCGTTTCATTGTTTTGGAAAACCAATATGGTCGACGTGACGTCACGGGGAAACGCCCTTTTATGTTTACGACAAACGGCAATCGTCAACATCCACCACGTGACCAAGTTTACCCTCCACTTGCCGTTTACTCTTCATTATAACTACACATAAACAAGTAGTTTCGTGCCAGTTTTATCTATAAGAATTATTTTGGACTGTCTTCATCTGCTCATTTCCTAATATGAGAAATTGTCATTGCCGTTTACGATAAAAATGGTGACCGTCCTAAATCTCGTTCCCGTTTTTGAAGGTTAGAGCATTTCCTTCCGTATTGCACCAAAGAGCTGAGCGCTGCGTAGATTAGAAGTTTTACCAGCTCTTCCATTAAATCAGTTAGTATCTACCGAGATGACATCTTTAAAGCGTGGTTCCGATGTAATTATCCAGGTCGTTTCGATTGCTCGATTCGTTTCACAGTGTGTCAAGCGATCGACACGATTATATGAAAATAACTCTGATGCGATGTAAAACGATCCGGACTTGGGAAGATTGCAAACGCCGGGTAGAGCTGCAGTCTATGCAAGGGCTGTACAAACCTGGTTTGAACTGGCCTTCCACGCCGACGATATTTTGGCTCGTCACGCAAGAACGCGTGACGAAGCGTTAACCTGCTTTAAGAAAGTCTGTACGTTAATGAGCCACACTGTAATTAAACTTGCCTTAGGAAAGTTCGTACTCTAATGATCACACTGTAATTTTACCTGCCTTAAGAAAGTTTGTACGCTAATGAGCCACACTGTGTAAGAAAGTTTGTACGTCAAAATGAGTCAAAATGTAATTAGAGGAGTAAAAGCTGATTATTAAGAGTTCTCAAATATGCATTTGAACATCGCAAGAACTAACTTCTTACTTTTAGGAAAGGAAGTTTCAGGCCTGCTTATCGAATTTATAAGTTTTGAACTCTGAGAAGTACTGTATTTCACGATCATGAATACTTTTATATTAATATGTGTCTGAGGATTCTCTTTACATTACAGTTTTGGGTTACTGTAGTTTTCCTGTAAACATTTGTACAATAAGCACACCACAAAAGTAAAGCAACTACATTTGAAACAAGCTCAAAAATATTTGGACTAACTAATATTTCCCATTTCCTGAGCGTTCGCTGATTGAATCGTGTTTAAATTTGCTCGAGGAAGGTGGAAACTATGATACAATTAGTTTTGTCTTGACAGTTTGTTTCAGAGCCTCATGATAGAAATTTTTTGATGGCACCAAGAATCTAGAAGAGAAAAATCAAAGTTAGCTGTGAACAAAAGGTCAGAGTAGATTGCGAACAGTCTCTCTTTTTCTTCAGATTTAGTGAGGGGAGTGCACGCGAGAGCGCACGCGAGCGGAGGCCTCTCCCGTATCGCGCCTTCAGTGACGCGCGTGGTCACTTTCGTGTCTCGCGCGTTTTGCTCGACGGACTAAGAAAAAAGAGGGGCTGCTCGTTGTCTAAGTCAGCGGGACAAAGCAAAATGAGCAAGCAATAATAAAAAATAGCAACTTCACCGGACGACGGAGGGATATTTGAGTCACGTGTACACTACGAGTAGTCCCCATTTTTCCTCAGGGATAGTA